ATTTCGAGGTTCCCGGGTTCGAGTCCCGGTCAGGCTGCACATTTTTCACACCCTGTGACATTTGGCGCCAAATGTGGGGCCCGTGACTGATATAGCTTAGAGTTTAATTTACATTGCTCTGTAACTCTGTAAAACTTGATGACGAATTTCAATATAACAGGGGAATATGTCAAGGTTCAGAATTGTTCACTATTTAGGGGAGAAAATTTGTAAGCAGCCGGATTGCTCAGTCGGTACAACCGTGGTACGGTATTCCGAGGGTCCCGGGTTCGAGTCCCGCTCAGACTGCACTTTATTCTCACCCTGTGACAACTGTAAGAAACCTGTAGTACGAATCTTAAAGTTCCACAAAGACTGAGAACAGAACATAAAAGAAACTTAGTCTATTATAATTATCATGAATTAAATGAGGTAAAAAACAACAACTAAAATATATATTTAGCTAAAATGACCTTCACACAAATAACTGTTACATGTCATACAAAGGCCAATTTTCGAAAAACAGATAAAAGAAACAACAGAAGCCTATTTATCTTCACATCTTGAATAAACAATCATAACATTTGATATTCATAGACATAATAGTTCAACATTTAGTTTCACCAAAGAATTTGCTTTTGTATAAATTAAAACAAAGAAATATATCACAAAATTACAGTTTTATTGAGTTTTAAACTAACAGCTTATATTACTTAAAAAAAGATATGGTCAACCAAATGAGGTTAACCATACGGTTTTGGACTTCCGTTATGTTTAAAAACTAAAGCTATGACTTTAGAAGGTTTCTTTTTCAGAGATGAGGTCACACTGGATAATATGTAAAATCATCCTTACGAAAAAATGTTACATGTTTATTATTGTTAAGAAACGATGAATAACATTCAGCTAACAAGAGCCTGTATGCTGAATGATTGCTTTATTTCAAAATTTTAAAACTGTTTCCTATCTCACGCATTTTAAACGCTTATTTGACCATTTCCTTGCAATGAGTGCCTTATTCAAAATATCACTAGAGAGACTTATTTCAAAATTTGCATAATTATCCTTTATGATATAAAAAACTTTCACCGTGCAGGTATCATTTACGTATATTTGTAAATAAATTCAGATTTTTTATCCATAAAATACCTATGAAAACAATATAATTAATCTTAAACGCCTCTTCCCTTTTAAAAAGTATCTGAGTGATACATAATGTTCAAAGAAAAGGAGAAGAGTAAAAATAGTTGACTCATATGGTATATTAACCCACAGTTCTAAGTTTCCTTACATTTGGCATTGACTCTAGCCTATTTAATTACTCCTTAGATAGGATGTAAGGCATAAGTTTGTTTTTATCTTAAAATAATGTTTTTTAAACAAAATTAAAATAGTGTTAACGTTTTGTATTACTGCGTGTATTACAGCAGTTTTGCATGACAATACATCTTATCATCGTCTTGTAATATGACATATTCTATTTCGTACTTTTCATTCCATACATTTTCAATGAAGATTTGTGGTAAACATCCTTCATGTTTAACTTCAACTCTGCTAACATTAGGATGACGTACCAGATCCTTCAGCATCATGCCTTTTGACGGTTCTAGTGTAGTATCACCAATGACTGGTTTCCAGCAATCTTGTGAAATATTTCCTTCTTCCGTCGTGTGACTGGTTCCCACGGTCAGTAGTCCTAACGGGCTTGACGCCAACAGTCCTGTTGCCATGGCAATACCACCGGCCGCCACAGAGCCCATGCCTGCTGCAGATATACCGCCAATTAATGCTCCAATACCTGCACTGGTTGCTGTTTTGCTTACAAGGGCACCTGCAATGGCCCCTGTTGAAGTCCCGGTACCCACAGCAGACGATAATGCTACAGCTAAAGGTTCTGTCTGAATCATCAATTTAACACCCGTTACTACAGCACCTGCCGCCGAGCCTATTGCTGCTGGTATTACGTGACCAGTCGAGCTCACAGTAAAGGAGTACACGCCAGTTGATAATATTGTCATAATGTATCAAAATCTGAAAATATAGCAACTCGTAAAAATAAAGCTTGTATAGTCTGATTTTATTGACCCGTAAATTATGAATACATTATAGAACTCATTTAAATATCCGATCCCACTTCGGTTTTGTCCGTGTAGTTTACGAGAATAAATATGGTGTATACAAATGTTTTCAAAAGTCTCACAATCCTAATGTATCTGTCGTTGTCATATCCGCAATAGTACAGTCTGTTAGGTGATTGCCCGAAATATGGAAGGTCTGTGGTTCGATCCCTACTGTTGCAATTGTTTAAGATCTAATCTTACTTTATATTGCAATATATTTTAACGAAAAGTGCAAACTGCTAAAAACGGGTATGAAGCAGCTTATAAACTCTGATTTGTTTCGATTTGCATATTGAAATGATATTTATTGATTTTAATCTGAACGTATTTTGAATATTGATTTTTAAACCATGTTATTTAGATAGAGTATATTTTTATCAAAATAAATGCGAAACATAATAAAACAAAACGAACAAGAGCCGGTTGAACCGGGTGATTCTCCCTGAATAGGTTTTGGACACATAGAAGTAGTTCCTTATTAATACCTCTTGTAGTTTCAGAGTTATGTCCTGGACAATGTTAAAAGTATTAAGTTGAAAAATGTCAATAACTCCAAAATAAGGCAAAGCAGAGTTACGGTTCTTTTGCACTGCACTTCTACTCAATGAGATCTATCTACCAACACACTTTCTTGTTGATACCTTTTGTGATTTCAGAGTTGTGTCCCGAACAAAGTTTAAAGTGTAAAAGTGAGCAATAGGCTGTAACTCAAAAATGAGACAAGGCAGAGTTACAGTTCTTTTGCATGCACTGCACATCGTCCCAATAAGATCTTTCTATCTACAAAGTTTTTCGTTGATATCTCTTATAGTTTCAGAGCTATGTCCCAGACAAAGTTAAAAGTGTAACATTGAAAGGGGCAATATCTCCAAAATTAGGCAAAGCTGAGATACAGTTCTTTTGCTCAGCATATCTTTCCAATTAGATCTATTTACCTACAACGTTTCTTCATGATACCTATTGTAGTTTAAAACTTATGTCCCGGACAAGAAAAGGGGATGAACGGATGCATGGGATGGACGTGCTCAAAGTTTGGTATTTATGTCGCTTCTCTTTTGTTCTTTCTTTTGTTCTTTTAGCCACGTAAGAGAAAAAGAAACCACATAAGAGCTTACTGAATGAAAAGCATCAAAGAAAATTTACTGTTACCTATTGTTCCCATAGCCACCTAAGTATCTATTTGTTTGTACGGACAGACAGACGGATGAACACAGCGGCGACTATGTGCTTTCGAGGAGAATAACATTGTAAAAAAAACATAACGTTGAAAAGATAAATAAGAATAAACATGAACCTGCGCTGTCTCGATGTTACCACACGTAGGACATTTAGATATTATAAAACCGTAGTATACCCCATTAGTATAATTATTAGACAGATTAAATTAAATCACAGCTTACTGCATACATCTCATGAAACTTACAGTTAATTAATTGTGTGCATTGACCGTATAATCAGGTTAATTAAACAAATAGCAATTTAATGCTAGAAGTTCATACGGTGTTCCGTTTGGACAATCGTGATTTTTCATTTAGTCTGTACCCGCGATGCACGATGGTACGTTGGTGAAAACGCGATGGTACGATGGTGAAAACGCGATGGTACGATGCACAGACACTTGGGGTGTGGAGCTCAAAACACCTTTAAAATCCAAATAAAAAGCATATTTGTCAATCCCAGCACATAAGCCGTTTTGAAAAAAATTTATATTTCAACGACTATAATAATATTAAAGTCGTTGAAATATGAATTTTTTTTCAAAACGGCTTATATTAAATTTTTTTGATATATATGATCAGTACATGTGCTAGGATTGACAACTATGCTTTTTATTTGAATTGAGCTCCACACCCCAAGTGTCTGTGGTACGATGGTGAAAAAGCGATGGCACGATGGTGAAAACGCTACGGTACGAACGCGATAGTACGATGGTGAAAACGCGGTGGCACGATGGTGAAAGCGCGATGGCGCGATGGTGAAAACGCGATGGTACGATGGTGAAAACGCGATATAACATCGCGTTTTCACCATCGCACTATCGCGACTTCACCATCGTACCATCGTGCGTTTTCATCATAATGTCATTGTACCATCGTTGTTTCACCATCGTACCATCGTGCATCGCGGGTAAGGTCAAAATAAAAATCACGATTGTCCAAACTGAACACCGTAAGTTCATGACTAAATTTATACCAATATATCAACAGCTCGAATTCGCTATTCCTTTCATTATCTGTTTACATCAATATTGACAAATATGGATGTCGATTATTCCTATATAAAAGCATATTATTTCTCGCCTAATTCTTTAACCAGCTAAACATTTACTCATTTTTATCTGTTCAACGGTAGAATGTTCGCTTTATGAGTGCAGTGACCCTGGTTTGAATCCTGGCAAAAACATTCTTTTTTAAATTTTTACAACCAACTAGATCTTCAAATTCTGAAAAACATTAAATAAATTACAGGTTTATAAAGAGAAAATAGAAAGTTAAGTGACACACTATACAAATATATTCTGAACTCAAAATAAATGTGCAAAATTAAAATAAAAAAAACATTTTCATAACGTGAACTCTTTATATTCTGAACTCTCTAACTACTACGCTACTGTGTTCATCCGTGCTGTTCTACAGAAATTAGAAACTTCGACGGGAGCGATAGTGACAGGAGAATGTTTCTAATTTCTGTAGAACAGCACGGATGAACACTAACATATTTAGTGTCAAGCTTTATTTGGCCTCATTATCATTCACTTTATTACGTCACTATGCGGTTTTATGAAGTACTATGAAAAATAGAACTCGACTATGGACGGAATTCGATATAGTATCGACTTTTGTACTTCTATGAAAATTAACGCACAGAATTTTGAAGAAATACAGCGTTTTCATTGGATGACAAATAAAGCTGGACACTAAATCCATTTTTATTCTTCTATATTGCAATCAATGTGCAAAATATAATAACTGAACATCTTGCTAAACCCATTATATCATAATGGTACGACCGATTTATGTAAACGTTATCGTGTTCGACTTATAAAAGTCCACCTAAATTAAGTATATTTTATAGATATAAAAGTAAACACGTTGTAGAAACCGAAAGTAAAAACTGTTTACCTGTTGATTCGCTTATAGTTGTGGATCGGTGCTCATTTTGAAATTGATGTTTTCAATCACAGTTTAACCAAAATATACTTTAACTCAAATATATACATGTACATTATCAATGATTACACCCTCTATTTTCGTTTACATATAAACATGTATGACTCTTATACATGCCGTTGATGTTACAAGCGTGTATTATGCGTATGTACACGCGTGAATGTTCAGCAAAAACACGCATTTACAAGTATATATAATAAATTAATTAGTTCATTTAACAGTATTATTGCATATTGATTTTAGACAACACATACTGTCATTAAACCAACTTAACATAACGTCTAAAACTCATATTTCAAAAAGAAAGTAAGAATAAATTTTAACAAACCTCTGCTTTCCGAAACAAGTATTTCAGTATGTAACATCTACTTCAAAGTTCGCTTATCGTGATTTTCGTCAATTCTGGTTTTTCCGCATAAATCACCTAGCTAAATGAAAATAATGTACACTTTTATCAGTCACGCCCGTTTAACTCACAACGAGTGAAAAATGTCCATCGGTAAAAATGTTGTGAGCAACTTCCGTTCCTCGTTGTGAGCACCCATCTAGGACGTGTGACAGGATAAACAAGGTGAGTTTTTCATAATTTTTGAAGATTACAGACATTTATGTAAAAATATCGGAATGCAGTTAGCTAGCGATGTGTTTTCCGAGTATGCACATGTAAAGATATTGCCTGTTGGTCGACAATTTGATGGAAATACCGTGCGACGCAGTCCATTTGGGTAGCTGGAAAACTGGAGACAACTTCTCTCCGGACCAAATTTATCTTTGAAAAACGTCGATTTCTGGTGACGTTTTGTGCATTCTTCTTACCTAAAACGGATGCCCGTAAGTCTTCAGCCGTAAATTATTACATGAAGTCTTAATAGAAATGAAGAATATACCCTTTTTTGCTTTAATCGTCGGTTGTGAGCACCATAACCTCGTTGTGAGCAAGACAAGCGCAGTGCGTGTCTGGTTTTAATATGTAATTCAAGTGGGGAGAATACAATTTTCAATCTACCCAAAGCAATCAAAACGTTTTTGCACAATAGTTTCTCTTTGCAATAGTTCTTCTTTGTCTACATAAACTTGGCCCAGTCTAACATGAATAAAAAATCAGGATAAATACATGCATGTTTAAATATCACACAGACTGCCCTCTATGTTAACTCTGGCAACACGAAGTATATGCAATTAAATACATAATTTACCACCACTTATTAGTTCACCACCATTTGCACAAACAGCAAAACATCTGCAAAATTGTAGGTATAAGTAGTTTTTTTTTGTTTACCATTATATATTAAGCTAAGAATATACTAGTGAAGTGTTAAAAGTTACAATACACAAAATAAGTAATCCTCCCGCGAAAAACGACAGTCCCATATAATAACAGATTCAAATAGTTCTCAGCGATTGTTTGCTCTGTAACACGAGCATTTTCATGATTTTAGTTGCACTGTCTTTCCTAGAAAAGCTCATGACAGTCTGTGTTTGACATTTAAATAGCATTTTCATCATGAAATAGTGGCATTTTTAAGAAATCTTCTTGACTTCTTAGGTGTTTCACCACTGGTACAATTTTGGGTTAGGCTAATTTTCACGAATGTTTTTGCAAGAGACATGACCAAAACTTTTCTTTTGATTTTTATGCATCACTGACAGTTTTTTCTAGAAGTTCTAATCTTTTTTCAGACCCAGGGCAAGTATATACTTGATGCCTCGCTTCGGTCTCTCCTTGAACGACCCCATGTCCAATCACTGAAAAGAATAGTACTGCAGTTGGAAGGCCTTGTCCCAAGAGGTTGTTGCGCTTTAATATGAATTAAATTGATTTACTTATAAGGACATTATGGCCAATCTTAAATGTTTTTGAACAATTTGACCTTCAAGGTAAAGGCCATTAAGGGGTCAAGGAAAAAAAAATACAGGCCCGTAGGAAGGTCTTGTGCAAGGGATGTTGTTTCAAATATGAATCAAATCCGTTTACTTAATGAGGAAGTTATTGCCAATGTTAAAGTTTTCGGACGGATTGCCGGACTGACGGACGGACAGTTCAAAACTAATATGCCTCCCTTCGGGATATGCACAACGTCTTGCAAAGAAATTCTGCTGCGCAAAAACGTTTTTAATTGCTTTGGTAGATTGAAAATTATATTTTCACCATCTTTTGTTTTTTTTGGGTTTTTACGTCACATCGACACAGTATAGGTCATATGGCGACGTTTTACTGGTGAATGAAGACCTCAGGTGCCCTTCCGTGCATTATTTCAGGCACGAACGGGTACCTTAGTAGAACCACCGACATTCCGTAAGCTAGCTGGATAGCTTCCTCATGAAAGAATCCAAAGTCCCTGTCGGGATTCGAACCCAAATAGGTTAGGGGCAAGTGGTTTTGAAGTCAACGACCTTAACCACTCAGCCACGGACGCCCCCCTTTCCCCATCTGAATAACATATTAAAACCAGACACGCACTGCGCTTAATTGTCTTGCTCACAACGAGGTTATGGTGCTCACAACGAGGATTAAAGCAAAAAAGGGTATATCTTCCTTTCTATGAAGACTTTCATGTAATAATTTACGCTGAAGACTTGTGGGCATCTGTTTAAGGTTAGAATGCACAACACTTCACCAAAATCGACGTTTTTAATGTTAAATTTGGTCCGGGGAGAAGTTGTCTCCAGTTTTCCAGCTACCCCGAGTGACTGCGTCGCACGGTATTTCAATCAAAGTGTCGACCAATAGGCAATATCTTTACATGTGCATACTCGGAAAACACATCGCTAGCTAACTGCATTCCGATATTTTTACATAAATGTCTGTAATCTTCAAAAAATATGAAAAACTTACTTGTTTATCGTGTCAAACGTCCTAGACGGGTGCTCACAGCGAGGAACGGAAGTTGCTCACAACATTTTAACCGATGGACATTTTTCACTCGTTGTGAGTTAAACGGGCGTGTCAGTAACAGTCCATAAAGTTGAATATTTGTACCTGATGTACCAAAATAACAGTTAAGGTAATTTCAAGTGATATAATTTTCAGAAAACTCGTTTCCTTTTAGATGGAATGATTTTCAGAGAGTTCTAAAATTAGATACGAAACAGAAAGTACATTACTTTCTGTTTTAAAATGTTAATTAAAGGCCCATTTAACCCAAAAACTACTATTATTTTAATTTCTTAAAAGATAAATTGTATTTATTATGAATGTTCTGTTACAGTTACCCAAAAGGTATTCATATGTCATAATTATGTTGCTTTGTCTCTATTAGTAATGTTATACGTATCACTCGTACGTACCACTTCGTTTACATTTTTCTACTTATATGACCAATAATTTAACATTTAACTCTGCTTTAATGGTTAAAATTATATTTAATCCATTAAGATAGTTCCATTTTTCAAGTTATTTTGTACATTTATTATTTTTTTTAATCGGCACTTACTTCATACTATCTTTTAAAATCCACTTATCATGCTCGCACTGTTCAAAAATTCCAAAGTAAAAATTAATAAATTAAAAAAATTCGTATATATTTCTGAGGCTTGGCGTGCCTTTAATATAAATGATAGCCAAATCAAGTTCTGGTTTTTTGGGGGTTTTCTTTGTGGTTTTTTCTCTCTCTCTTTTCCGGAAAACAAGCTGTAAAATCCCAAAAAATGTGTAACTTGATAAAGAAACTAAATGGTCATTTATATCTGCAAAGCCCGGAGCATTCGGAGGCACGCATATTTAATTAACGAGAAAGGGTATTTAGATTTTCTATCATTTTATTATTTTTTGTCAGACGAATATTCTTTAAGGCATCATTTACATCGGTTCATCAGAAAATAAAATTTGTTCCAACAGTAATCTTAACTTATCTTTTCAGATAATTTAACATTAAAAACTACATATGAAAGTGTCGTAGTAGTTGCAAATCTAAGGAAATCATAATCATTTATATTTGTTCTAAAGCATTTTCCATTTGAATGACAGTTTCAATATATATCGGTGAAAAGTTGTCTTTTTTTTCTTCTAAGCAGCATCTTAGCATTTAAGTTTAAACAAATATGGATTTTAATAATATCTTTATTGCAAAGCCCTTACTATATACAATCAGTAAACTGTGAGAATCAATTTCAGGTTAAAAATGGTTGTTGGGACAGTAGCAGCGGTATCTATTATATGTACTGGTGGGGCAGCACTTGCGCCAATTACTGTTGGTAGTGCGTCATTTGGAGGAGCAGCTGGAGCAGGCGGCGCGATGGCTGGTACAGCTTCAGCAGTGGCAACAGCTGCTGGTGTAGGAACAGCTGGTGGGGCGATAGCAGGAGCTGGTGCTGTGGCAACGGCCGGAACGGGTGCAGGGGCGGGCACTATTGCATCTGGTGCATTATGGGGTGGTTTGGCCGGAGGAACAGCCGGTGCCGGGGTAGGTGGCACAGGTGCTGGAGCTGGTATGTTACACCGATTTATCATTCAAAAATAACAATGTTATTTTGTGTTGTACTTTCTGAACGCTATTTTGAGATATATACATACGAGGGTGACATCAATGTTCAACTTTTGTTTAATGAACAAACATTTGTGTCCAACAGTATCTGAATAAAGATAACAGATGACGAGACATATTTTAAATTTTTATATGAATTTGTAAATTTTTATGTAATTTGCTTGTTTAACTTAATTACATGTATTTATGACAGTAAATGAGATAACATTTTATGACTGTAAAAACTTCGCTAAAAATATTTTTTTTTAAATATATAAAATTAATTACAGTAGATATAATGGATGTACGTCAATTCAAGTATTCGATTTCAGGTGCACTTGTTGCAACTGTGGGCACTGGTGGCTTAGCCTTGTTAGCCGTTGGTGCAAGTGTTAATCAAGAAGATGATGAAATAAGCTATGATTGTTGGAAACCTGTGGTACATGATACGTCTTCGGAAAGATCAAATGGGATGCTCCTGAAAGACATGGTGTGTCATCCTAATGTTGCAAACGTTACCATGACAACGGGAATATGTGACAGCCTTCCGAGTATCCTCATTGAAAATATTTGGAACGAAACGTTTGAGATCGAGTATGTTTTTATACACAACTCGGGCAAGATAGCGTGCCATGCTAAACCTCTTTGAATATGAAATAAGAAAATAGCAAGTCGTATGTAAAACGAATGTGAGATCATTTTCAATTTGGATAATGTAAAAAAATCAAGTTTTGAAAGGGGAAAAACATATTTTTTTATTTACTTTCTTTTGCAAACATAATATGAATTCCAATGTAATACATTGTTGAGTTTAATACTGAATGCCATTGGACGAGTACTCAGCTGTCAAATCTTCATTGGTAAAGGTTTGGCAATTTTGAACTTGTCCAATAGAATCAGTATTTTTCTCAAAAAATGTATATTTTGTGCTCTATTTTTATGGGAGACATTGAATTATTCTGACAAGGTGAGATGAATAGTGGAATTACATTGGATGATTTTAGTATAAATATTGTTTTATTTGCCGATGACATGTTTTTAATTGGTAAAACTCGATGAGGTCTCCAAAATAGTCCTAAATCTGTATATAGATATTGTTGTTATTGGGGTCTTGAGATAATTACGACTAAAACAAAAAGTGTTGTTTTTCGAAAAAGGGGTCGATAAAAAGGTCAGGGAAATGGTATTATGACAATTAATGAGCCGTTGGAGATTGTAAATGATTTTAACTATTTAGAAGTCGCTTTAACTATACAGGTTACTTTGTTTCAAATAATCAATTTATTGTAGGCAAATCGTGAAACATCATGCGACTTTTATGAAATATGATGTTAATCTATCTATTCCGATCCATATATTTGACTTTTTTGTTGGCTCTATTTTGAATTACGCATGTCCAATACGGGGTTTCTCTAAATCTAAAGATCTTGAGAGAATTTCATACTAGTTTTGTAGTCATACAAGTATAAAAACATATTGCACGTGGTGAACTTTGACGATATCCTTTATTTGTTAATCATTAAGTATTGGTTTAAGCTAATGAATACAGAAAAAAAATGCAAAGGGTATTTATCAAAATGCGCAAGAATAGTATAGTTTAAACGGTACAAATAACTGGGCATAATTATCTTGTTAAAAAGTTGCTTGATGAATATGGATTTTCTGATGTTTGGAACTGTGTAAGAAGATTTGACGTAAAAACATGCATACCGATTTTCAAACAAAGAGTGTAAATTGTTTTAAACAAAAATGCTTTGCCCATATAGCTGTTAATAAATGTTTTAAATACTTTATATGCATATGTGGAAAATAGCTTTAGTATGGAAAATTATCTGAATTTGCTATGATGTAAATCTTCAAGAATATGTCTCACAAAATTATGTATATCTGCCCCTAAGTTAAGAATTGAATCTGCCAGGTATGGTCTGAATATAGGTTGGAACGACAGGAACGTATCTACCAAGTATGTGATATCAACAAAATTATATCAGAATTGTTACAGTTAAACAATTAATGCATTCTAATCAATTCGTGTAAATACACGAACTCGGCCAATAAAATTAGAAATGATTTAATGCAAAGAATTAAATAAGAATTTGAAATGTAAAAGCGTTTACTAAATTATAAGATAGACAGTATTACATGTATTTGAAATCGTATATATGCATCTAGACTCTAGCCAATTTTCCATCTTAATAAGAATGAGTCTTTTCTCCACATGTTTGTAACGAAGTAATGCCCTAACTGATGTGATATTTAAATACATGTATGTGTATTTACAACATAATATTTTCATAACGCCATAACTTGCTGATTCTTAAATCACCAAATTATTTCAATATTGATTATTTGTTCATTCTCTGTGATATATTGAAAACATGTTTGCTTATTACGTGCATTACATTATATGTATCTAATTTGATGTATTAAAAAGATACATGAATTGTAAACGTTAATAAAAATTCTATTCTATTCTTTTCTGTTCTATATTACATCACAATATTTATTTCACTTTTTGACATTTTAAAAATAAGGAATTTATATCAATTTTTTGACCCCAAAAAAATGGAAATGAGGCTAGATGGAGTATGGCATGCGTTTGGAATATATAGTTTGGACTGTGAAAATGAAAACGAGGCTATATGGCGTGTGGTATGCAATTGATATAAATATTTTGGACTCAGAAAATGAAAACGAGGTCAAATGGGGTGTGATCTGCATTTGATACAGATGTTTTGGACTCTAGGAATGGAAACGAGGCTTATCTCAGATTGATGGCCATTGATAAGACTAGATCCGATAATGGTATCTATTGGAACATCACGTGGTCCATAGGCCTACACTGGCAGTTTGTTATTGGATATATTTCAGAAAGATACAAGTAAAAGGGTTTCCTGCGGAGAACATTTTTAATGGTGATAAGATATTTCATTTAACTATCTTCAACATTGTTTAGGGGGATAAATAAACGTTTGTATCAGGTATATAGTTGACAATAATCGATCAATTTAGAAGAAGGTCTTTGGAAACTGGTGACCGTTAAAGACCTGAGACCGGAGAAGGTCGAACAAAAAACAATTATTTCTTTTTAAGAATATGATTAAATACCAATTTCTGAATAATTCCGAGCCAAAAGAATAAAGTAAACACACAAATTTACGCAGAAAATATCTCTATTTTATACTTTAGTATGGCAGGTGCCACTACGAATATTTTAATTTTGTAGATTTTCAGTATAAAATTGTAAATGAGATAGATATTAAAGAAACATTGATAATTTTCAAACACATCATTCAAAAGTTTTTCCACCTTAAACGGTAAAATAATTATAGAAAATTAGAAATATCACGTAATAGTTTTTTGTTGTTAATTAGGTGTAATTCGGACTAATTCCCTAGAGGTAAATCCGTAACGTACCGGCAAACGGTATTTAGCTAGGTTTTCGAAAAAGGTCAATTAACCAATCATGTACGGTTTACAGATCACATGCTCCTCCATGTACCGAAAACAGGTCACGAGCTCCTCCATGCCTCAAAAGTTAAACGCGTACCAATACCCTGCGGTCTCCAGACCGCAGGGAATAAAACCTGTCGGAATGATATGAGTATTATAATTTAAGCTCTCGGAATTTTTAAAATGATTGATTAATTGAATATAGAAATGCTTATCTGCTGTAGGAACACAATTATTCCATCCATTGAAGTGGGTGTAAGAAAGCTGTTGTTTCTAATTTAATACATAGTTTTGGTATACCACGGCGCTATATGTCAGCGCAGTGTGTTTTGTTTACTAAAATTAACGGGTGTTTTCTTTTGTTTTCTTTTGTGTTGCTGTTGTTGTTGTTGTAGTTGTTTTGGACAGTTGGAGTTGAATGGTGTGCGCTATTTATTACCTTCAGGATTGTACAAAATGTTTGGATATATTCTGAGGCATTTTAAATGACTTTATATATATATAGTATATATATAATACTTTAGCGTATGTTCAGTATTTATTCATGAATGCAGTAAAATCACTCTTATGATAAGTTGCCGGTCTTTTTTATTTTTGTCTTTTGACAGTTGTCTGTGATACACTATTTTGAAAGTTTTCTCTTTTGGCTTATTTGTTGTTGTTGCTGGTTGTTAAAACGTGCAACGCTTGTACATATAATTTATAGATGACTTTAAATCATGTAATATCAGTATTAAAAACATCTCGCCTACTTACGTCATAAATATTACATCTATATATATATTGTGATTATGTCTGTGGTCAAATATAAAAGAAAAGAAATCGAAGGTAAGCTCAAATGTATATAAGGAAAGTACATGTACCTAGTTACCTACTAAATCAAATATACGTCAGGTATCTGGAAAAATATAATCGGTCGTCTGGATCTCGCAATTGTCTGGATCTTACAATTTAGCATCGGTAGAAAAATATGTTCACGAGATAAGGTAGAATATGTTCACTTACCCAATATGATCTTCACTCATTTACAGGCGGCAATTAAAGTGCATAAAATTGTGCCAACTTAATATCAAACACGCTTCAAACATTTCATCTACCAAACAGATAGGACAATGAGTCAAGTGCATTAGCCTGTTACACGATATATGCACAGCATGAAAAAGAAGTAATGCTTACACGTCATATGACCTTAGATATTGCGTCAAATAACCAAATTACGTCAGAAAAAATACCTCTACGCTTAATGTAGTGTCTAACATTTAACCTGCAAGATCATATATCAGTAATAAAAATAAATACCGATTTAATTATGGAATCAGAGGTCAAACTTTAAAATGGGTCAAAAGTTTTCTAGATAACAGGCTGCAATCTGTTGTGCTGAATGGCAGCTGCTCTAACCCCATCCCAGTATCCTCAGGTGTCCCCCAAGGCTCTATTCTAGGACCCTTCCTGTTTCTGGTCTATATAAATGACATCCGACAAAACATAAATTCCCATTGTTTGCAGACGATACTACAAAATACATTGATCTGGCGTCTGCAAACCAATCAGTCACCCTCCAAATCGGACTAAATCAAGTTGGAGTAGGATATGAAATTTGACCCTTCAAAGTGTCAAGACATCCACGTTGAAAAAAGGAAACATCCTATCCCAACACAATACTACCTTCATGGAGTCCAATTAGAATCGGTTACCTCGACTAAATACCTAGGCGTGGATATATCAGAAATCTCACGTGGGATGTCCATATAGACAGGACATCCAAGAAAGCAAACCCAGCTTGAATATGGTTCCGAAGTATGGTCTCCCAAAAACACAAATAGATAAAATCTAAATTGCCCAAAGAAGAGCAGCCCGATGGATTAAGCTAGATTATGTGAGACCTCTAGCGTCACGGACATGCACAAGTAAACAATTTGTTTCATAGAAAAAAACCTTATGTAATAGGCATGTTGCATTGTTCTATAAAACCATAAAGTATGGTCTGTCTGTCTGTCTGTCAGTCCGTCTGATCGTATGTCCGCCCGTAACACTTTCGTGTCCGCTCCATAACTTTTTAACCGCTAAAAAAATCAAAATAACTTGGCACAAGTGTGCAGAGCGTAATAATTGCGTTGCTACCCACAAGGTCATGGTCGCATTTAAAGGTCTAAAAGTCTTCATTTCATAATAAAAGTCTATATTTTGTGTCCGATCCAAAACTTTTAAACCGCTGAATTTTTTTGGAAATTACTGGGCACAAGTGATCACCATAATAAGACGATGTGCAGAGCGCACTAATTGGGTTGATACCCCAAGGTTAACGTCACACTTAAAGGTCAAATGTTAAAAAGTCTTCATTTCATAATAAAAAATGTCTACATTTTGTGTCCGCTTCATAATCCTTAAACCGCTGTAAATGTTTTAAAATTACTTGACTTAAGTGATCACCGGAATGAGACAATGTGCAGAGCGCAATAATTTGGTTGCTACCATCAAGGTCAAGGTCACACTTAAAGGTCAAATGTTAAAAGTCTACATTTCCTGTCCGCTCCATAACTTTTTAACTGCTGAAATTTTAAAAAGATAACTTGGCACAATTGATCACCATTATAAGAAGATGTGCAGAGCGCAATAATTGGGTTGCTACCCCCAAGGTCACACTTAAAGGAACTCCACTGAGGTTAATAAGCCTAAAACCATAAAATTTTAATTTCTCACATTGATCAACTGTTGCACCTTAAATGGAAATATATACAAAGGATAATTTAGAAATATACCTTGAAATACACTGAAAATGGTATGTTTGTGTTATTCTCAGTCCGATTTGAGTGAAAAGCGTTTAAACGCTTTTCAATTTTAGGTCATTTTTGACAATTAAAACAATTATTCTGGAAAAACGAAGCGAGCTAATGATCTGAAATTTTGCACATAAGTTGTTGGTATAGACCTACATCAGATGGAGTAATAATCTCAAAAAAATATTTCCAGTCCCGTCATGTCAAAAAAAAACCTCAGTGGAGTCCCTTTAAAGGTCTAATGTATAAAAGTCTACATTTCCTGTCCCCTTCATAACTTTTAAACCTCTGATTTTTTTTAATAGCTTGGCAAAAGTGATCACAATTATGAGACCTCCAAGGTCAAGGTCACACTTACAGGTCCAATGTTAGAAAGTCATTTAAGACATTTAAACCGCTGCAATGTTTTAAGATAACTTGGCAGAAATATATCACCATTATGACTCCATTGGCAGAGCACTATAATCAAGTCAAAACCCTGAAGGTCACAATCAAAGGTCCAATGTAAAAACATCTATTTTTCATGTCCGCTCTATAACTTATTGACAATTCAAAGATTTATAAATTACATGGCACAAATGATCCCCACCATGACACAATTTGCAGAACTCAACATCCAGGTTGCTACACCCATGTGCTTATGATATGCATGACACAACATCAAGGTCATGGTTAGTAAAAGGTGAAGAAGTACACTGTTCACTGTGGAAGGGGATTTAGCTGTCCTTCAGACTGCCTTGTTCTGATTTTCTCGAAAAGTTCGTAATTTACGAAGATTCTTAAGCATCTCGGAAAGTTATGGTAAAAAATCGACCACATAACAACATCGTTAGTCTACAATAACGAATATTATTGGAATAATATTGGATTCCTTCTTGTCAGTTCAGCCTCATTTTGTTTTCAAGAGTCAAAAGAATCCATGTCAAAAGCATAGTGTACCCAATGAAGCCTCTTTTTTCATTTTTACAATCCAAAGAGTCAATCAATTGCATATTGAACTCCATATAGTCTCGTTTTCATTTCGCAAGTCCAAGCAATACATATCATATCCATATTGTACGCAAAGAAATAAAGTTCTGGCAAAATGTTAAAACATAGATGGTGTGAAATAAAGAAGTCGCGCCTCGTCAAGCTGTGTACTCGTCCAATAGAATTCAGTGTTATACACAACAATGTATTATAACCTGTTATCACACACCCGTGCCGATTTTGCGACTCCGTAAATATGGTATTGCACGACCGTGCATATATTTTGACGTGACGTCATTAGCGTTATATATGAACGATAAATGTTAGCGTTATACTATAGACGCGCCAATGAAAAATGACTCTAATTTCACTTTAAACGGTTTTTATCTTGGATATGTGATAAATAGAATATTAAATTCGTGTAAGTTCATTACTGAATTTATTGCACGAGTTGAATGAAATTATATTATGTGAGCCTCTGGCGAGCATAATATAATTTTATTCAACTCGTGCAATAAATTCAGTTTTGAATTTACACTCATTCAATATCCTCTATATATTATTAGTGAAATAAAATCCATATCACCCACAGTATATCAATCACACTGGGACTGGTATAGCAAACTTCTCACTGATAACCCCCCTGATAAGGGGAGATCACTGGGCAGGAGAGTGCTAGTATAGCTTTTGGCGAACATTTTAATTTTCATGATTCCGTAAGTTTGTAAATTTCCATTATAAGCGTTTTGTTCTAAATGGCATATTTCTCGATTCAAATGTCAATGTTTCTCTGTTTAAAAAAGTTAAAAAAATACGCTGCAATTTTGACTATAAACTTGAATTACTTTTGTTCACGTAGCGTTCGCGAAGCCGTCGAACGTCTGACGTCATCTTTTTTACGTGCATTCATTGAACATTGCCGTTTTCTCGACTTTTATGCATTAGATGAGAATAGAATGAGTTTTTCGTGAATATGCTATAATATCACACATCAAATTGAGAAAATAGTGCATTTCTTTGGCCTGTATATCATATTTACTCACAATTAACAAATATGCTGTATTTATTTAATACCAACCAGTGGAAAAACTGAGTTATGTCAGTGATATAAAATCCATAACACCCACAGGCCGTCACACTATGCATGAATGTCTTTTGGCGAACGTTTAAATTTTCATGATAATCCACTTGATTTCTAAAGTTGTTAATTTACTTAATAAATATTGTTGCGTTGTGCTCTTTATGGTATATTTTTCGATTCAAATAACATTTTTTCAAAAACAGTTAAACATTACACCGCAATTGTGACAATACACTTGGATTACTTTTAGTTTGGCAGCGTTCGCGCAGCCGTTGAACGTCTGACGTCATCTTTTTTACTTGCGTCCTTTTCCTACGCGTCGTTGAATAGACTTGAACATTGTTGTAAAAAGTTGTGTTTTTTTTTTTTTGTTTGCTTGTTTGCTTTTTTTCCTTCATGATTATGCAATATACCCAACTTCTTTCTTACTTCTGTGCAGCTTCTTTCACAGGACGAAAAGGAATTCACTTTTGCTCTCATCTGAACAGATTTTTTTTCTTTTCATAAGGGATTATTTCAGAAAAATTGCTGAAAAGAAGTGATTTGCTCTCAGTCACCTCTCTTGCAAGTACATGAAGTTCATTTGTAGAAAAAAAAATTGGCCTCCTTGTTTCTTGACCCCGCCATTTTTCTAAACTAATTTTAACTATGATATAAAATACTGCAAAAAAATGCATCAATATCAAAACCGGCCTAAGATTTAACTACACAAACCCACCTTTACATATACGACGTCGTAAATAACGTTTGAGAAACGAGATTGGTAACAAGTTTAAGATGCGAGAATTTTTCGAGACAACCACCCCATAATTGTACGTTATAAAGTTTTGTGGATACGACACACTATACAGTTCATATTTTAGCTACTCAAATTACGTTTCTAGCATAATTTGAAGTACTAGTATATAATTGATTTAAAGGAAACAAATGGATAAAGCAATATAAACTGCGTCGTATCCACAAAACTTTATAAATAATTATGGCCCGCTTCAAATTGCAAGTTCGCTATATAACATGTTTTACAAAATAGTTGTGCAAGCAACATAATTATATACCGAAGGAAACGGAAAATAGTGGAGCATGTTAATACATATATCTGATTTTTGTCATTTCCAACAAAAAGAGTAATAAACAAAAACATACATGTACCTTTTTCATTCGTTTTTTTTTATCATTTTGTAGACCAGAAACGACGCAGTTCTGATTCCCAGCCCTGAAAGCGGAGATTTTGTACGATAGTTTGACCATTAATGGAAAGGTAAACGTGCCGAACGCCTGTGATTGAAATAAGTCTATAAAATAAACCTCGATCCGTTGTTAGTTACGTATGTATGTATATTTTTAAAAATGTTATTCATAAAAATGTCATAGTTTTTTTTTTATTTCATAAAAGTACAACATAAATGTTTGACTGTTAAGTGTTGTTTTGTATTGTTCAACCTCGTCACTTACCGTTATTATTCCAGATTAAAATCAGATTATTAAGAGTATTCTAGTTTTTGTCTGTTTTATACGTGATTAGTCAAATTTCGTGTGATAATGGTTACATATATTTCTTATAAATCTCAGTTGTTAAGTCTTACAAGTTTTTCTAAATGTATATGATTTTTATGTACAAGTTATGTTTAAATAGTTATAATTTTTGATAATGAATGTCTGTTTCATGTATTGTTTTGTGTCTTGGTTTTTAATTGTTAAAGTTTGTTTTTCTAAAGTTGTTGGTAATAAATGCATGTTTGTATAATATGTTTTGTTTAATAAAGTTTATGTTCAGTTTTGTTTGTTTTGATTACTGTTTTCCTACTGTTTTAGCCTCATTATAAATATTACAAAATCATAATTAGATTAATTAATCAATTAATTCTTTCGTTCATTTGTTCATTCATTCATTGAAATGCATAAACATTCTGGTATAACACACGTAAAGGTTAAGACTTATTCTGAACTGAAAATGGGAGAGATTTAGTGAAGAGCTGAAACGCCGGGGACCGAAATGTTTTACACACTAAATATCTAATACGATCCCGGATCCCGGAATTTTCCGGTACATTAGAGTTCTTTCCCTTGACAAAATGGCAGATAAGAACGAAAATAGCAGCTTAGAACACACAAACGGCGATACGCAGCCTGCGACTAAAAAGATCAAAACAGATTATATAAGGTTTAGCTAAGTGTTAATTATATTTTAATGGAAATTACTTTTCTTTTGAATTAATTTATTTTTTACTGTTTTCCCCTTATTTTTCGAAGGCAAATAAATGTGAATCCGCGGGTTATTTTAGTTATTTTTCATTGGTCAAAATGAATTTGGAGTAGTCCATTCATCAGATGGGTTAATAAAGTTTAATAAGATTTTCTGCCTTATCCTGACCATTTTCTGTAACAGTTCTGTATGTCTTTTATATATTCTGAAGTGAATGTTCTACAAATCAGAAAAATTTTAAGTATTAAAACATTACAATCCCATCTAAAATGTTACCATTGCGAAAAAAATGGGAAAGTCCACGTAGTTATATAGGTTGTGTGTATCGTTAACTCTTTCTCATTCACATAAAGGATCATGGCAAAGTGAGTTGTATTTAAAACTTCCATTTGATGTACTTAGCACTGCATCATCATTGAAGCAAAATGAAATAGGTTCCAATAAAATAATTGTTTATATTATAAGGCATGCAGATTGTTATATCATTTTTGTTGTGTTGTACATGTGACAAGTTCAGAAATTGTGCTACCTAGTGATGTGTACATGAAGTAGTAATATTTATCTCTCTGTTGATAATATACCAGAAATGGGAGTATGATATATGACATTTCTGATCAAGGTCAGTGAGTAAATTAGAAATAAATAAAAGTAATAAATTAAGCATTCTTTCATTTTATATTGTCTATAAAACTTTGTTGAAACATATTTTTTTAATGATAAGTTTTATACATAAATTTAATACAACAATTGATAATTTCAGAGAGGGTGTATTGCTTGGATATGGAAATCCATTGTTGGATATTCAAGTTGTGGGCACAGCAGAGTTTTTAAAAAAGTAAGTTAACACTTTTTATGTATAAGCTTTTTTTCATTTCAGTTGTGACATGAGACATAAGTAATTTTTTTAGTGTGCTGCAAAGATACCTATTATTTATCTTTCAAATATTTCACAAAGTGATTGGTCATAACTAGTAGATGATCCTTATTGATTTTGGGGTCACTAGATCAAATTTCAAGGTCACAGGGGCCTTAAATATCATAATGGTTTCCGCTGATTATCTTAAAAAAGAATTCATCACAAACTCTTTATATTTCACATAGTGATTGGTCATAACTTGTAGATGACCCCTATTGATTTTGGGGTCACTAGGCCAAAGGTCAAGGTCACAGGGACCTTAAATGTCAGAATGGTTTCAGCTCATTATCTTGGTTACAATTCATCACAAAGTCGTCATATTTCACATATTGATTGGTCATAACTAGTAGATGATCCCTATTGATTTTGGAGTCACTCGGTCCAAGGTCATGTTTACAGGGGCCTAGAATGGTTGTATGATTTCCGCTTATTATCTTGGTTACTATTTATCACAAAGTCTTCAGATTTCACATATTGATTGGTCATAATTAGTAGATGACCCCTATTGATTTTGGGGTCACCAGGTCACAGGTCAAGGTCACAGGGTCCATGAATGGAAGAATGATTTTAGCTGATTATTTTGAAAAGTTTTCATCACAAAGTCTTCCTATTTCACATAATAATTGGTCATAACCAGCAGATGACCCATATTGCAATTGGTGTCACTAGTTCAAATGTCAAGGTCACAAGGGCCTTAAATGTCAGAATGGTTTCCACTTATTAACTTAAAACTTTTTATCACAAAGTCTTCATATTTCACATATTAATTGGTCATAACTAGTAAGTGACCCCTATCGATTTTGGGGTCACTGGGTCAAAGGTCAAGGTCACAGGGGCCTTAAATGTAAGAATGGTTTCGCTCATTATCTTCAAAACTATTTATTACAAAGTCTTGACTTCATTATTATTCTTTTTTCCATAATTGAACACTTCCATGTACCCATTTATGGCAAGTTTCTATAACAAAATTACCAAAAATGTGAGTCAAGGGCTAGAAAGTGGGGCATATGTGTCGTTGGACATTTCTTGTTAATGCAGTGTCTATTCTAGGAATTCAAAAATAGGGGTGATTTTCCCCCCTCTATTTCAAAAAGGGGGGGGGTTCAAAATCAAGGGGTGCCAATATAAATTGCCTGTTTTAATCAATTTACATGTTTTATTGCTTGACCTCATTTAACATGTTATTCATTTACATGCCAGCATTAAATGACAGTTTTTGAAAAAAAAAATATCTGCTTCTTGGTATTGAATTCCAGGAGAACCCTTGAAGCATCAAGGGTCGATTTTTTTCCCAAGAATTTTGGAAAGTTGAGGGCTTGGATTTTTAGAAGGACCAGGTTCATTAGCAGTCTCATTTTCATTTGATTTGAGTCTTGAAACAATTGTACAATCTGACTGTTTATCGTCAGTTGATGATGCTTTTTCATTGCATGTTTTACCTAAAAAATCTGTTATTCTGTCTTTAGACATATCGCTAATTTTTCTGCATTAAGTTATACGAGGAGAGGCGTTCAACCGATGTAATAATTAAAACAAAAATATTTATTTAAAGGGAACAGGAGTTGTCCCCCCTAAAGTTTAAACGAAAAATATTTATTATTTTTAGCTGACAGTTACCTCCCTTCGGTTTCCAGTGTTCATGTAAACAAAACAAACAAATAAATGCAGGATGGAAGTTTTACGATTTCTTATTAAGTTTTTTCTATATAGAAGCGCCATTTTCACGCACACATAATTTTGAATTGTGCGCGATATGTGAAATACAAGCGTGAATCGCACGTCCTAGAATAGACACTGTTAATGTTTTCTTGTCTGTTAATGTACTGTTTCAGTACATGAATGATTTTTTTTTTGCGTAGACTATGAAACCCAACTCTTGATATATATTTTCATATATGATTATTGAGAATATAATTTCATTTTTCTTCAGGTACGATCTAGAAGCCAACAATGCTATACTAGCAGAAGATAAGCACAAACCCATGTAAGAATTAACATTTTAATATTGATTTTTCATCACTAAAGATAAATTATTTAATGTTTGTGCATTAATATGGAATAGACAAACTAGGTTTCAATGTTGTTTCAAAACTTGATTTGACATGCTGCCAACAGCCTAACTAATGTCAGATTTATTATCCCCCGCCGAAAAATTTCGGCGGAGGATATAGAAATAGTCTCCGTCCGTCCGACCTTCCGTCCGTCCGTCGTTCCGTCCGACATTTTTGTTCGGAGCATATCTCTAAAAGTATTTGAGTTATCAACTTGAAACTTCATAGGTGGATAGACCTCATTGAGGAGGAGTGCAGTGCACAAGAATGATAACTCTACCTTGCATGATTTTTGAGTTATTGCCCTTTGTTATTTTTCAAAATTGATTTTTGTCCAGAGCATAACTCCAAAAGCCTATGAGATATTAACATGAAACTTCATAGGTGCATAGATCTCACTCAGGAGGTGTGCAGTGCACAAGAATGATAACTCTACCTTTCATAATTTTTGAGTTATTGCCCTTTGTTATTTTTCATACCTAATTTTTCACCTGAGTGGAGCATAACTCAAAAAGTGTTTGAGATATCAACATGAAATGTCATAGGTGGATAGATCTTATTGAGGAGGAATGTTGTGCGCAAGAATGATAACTCTTCCCTTTACAATTTTTGAGTTATTGCCCTTTGTTTTTTTTTTCATGCTATTTTGTCCAGAGCTTATCTGAAAAGTATTTGAGGTATCAACTTGAAACTTCAAAGGTGGATGGATCTCATTGAGGAGGAGTGCAGTGCTTAAGAATGATAACTCTACCCTGCATTATTTTTGAGTTATTGCCCTTTGTTATTTTTCAAAATTATTTTTTGTCCAGAGCATAACTCAAAAAGCCTTTGAGATATCAAAATGAAACTTCATAGGTGCATAGATCTCACTCAGGAGGTGTGCACTACACAAGAATGATAACTCTACCTTTTATAATTGTTGTGTTATTGCCCTTTGTTCTTTTTTATACTTAATTTTTCAATTCAATTTTTTTATCAAAAGGTATTTGAGGTATCAACTTGAAACTTCATAGGTGGATAGATTTTACTGAGGAGGGATGCAGCACACAAGAATGATAACCTACCCTGCATTATTTTTCAGTAATTGCCCTTTGTTATTTTGAGCCATCAGTATTCACATAGGTTTCAAATCTGTATTCACTATAGCCATCAGTTTTCATTACCAAAAGACCTCTTAAAATGGAATTATTCCGCTCTACTACATATACATTCTTCCAATGAGCAAACACATTCGGCGGGGGATGGCCATGTTGACATGGCTCTTGTTGAAAGTGTATTGCAAGTTTGCTGATGGTGTTACAATATTATGGAAAGAAATCAATTATGAATATAGGCTTACTCAGTATTCTCATCAGCTTACAAAGTGTATCATTGTAACATGATATTATGGTATAGAATGTTCACCTACTTTGCAGTAATCAAAACATTTATGTATATAGGTATTTAAGTAAAGATTCCACTATGCACACAATATGTAATTTAGCATACCAATATGTAATTATCACTTTGAAGTGTCAAGTGACATTATTTTAATGTTTCAGGTATGATGACATGACAAAAAGTTTTACAGATGTACAATATGTGCCAGGTGGAGCAACTTTGAATTCTATAAAAGTTGCACAGGTAAATACATCATGATTGATAACTAGCTGCAGCATAGGTAGATGAGATAGTAATGATAACCATGACATCATACAATATGTTGTGGATACCTTTTAGTGTAAATGTAATATGTCAGATACATGTAATCAGATTACCATATCACATTACCAATCAGTCAAGAATACAAAGGATTTATTATACCCCCACAAACGAAGTTAAGGGGGGTATATAGTTAGTAGTTAACTTGTCGGTCCATCAACTTCATGGTTACCGGATGATAATTATAGTATGGAATGACTTATTGTAATCAAACTTATATACTTAGCAACCTTATATGGAAACCCCAGTTAGGATTGCTTTTAGATCTCCTAGGACTCGAGGTCACTGTCACTTAAAATAGAAAAATAGTTTCTGGACAATAACAAGAGTTAGGAATGAGAAAATATAATCAAACTTGGTATAAAGCATGTTTATAAAAAGGCCCAGTTAGGATTGCTTTTGGACCCCACATAACTCTTAACATGGATTTTGACTGAATTATAGCCCTTTGGGAATAACAAAAAAAAATGGTTTAGGTTTAGCTTGCAACATTAATTAATCTTTCAAAGAAACACTGATTGCATTAACTTAAAACTTGAGTTATGCTTTATTACTTACAATTCAAGGTCACTTTGTAATAGCCATAACTCTTGCATGGACTTTGAACCTTTACAAACTTTACAAAATTCTTTTGTCAATATCCAAGACTTTTAACTATATCATGTATTGTTTGTATTTTTGTAACTGAAATTTTCCTCTTTGCTAATTTTTATATTATCCAGGCTCTTGCTTTACTTATAAGCACTGAAAAAAGTTGAGAGTACTGTCCTACTGCCAGCTTTTGTTGTTATAAAGAAATTATGGACAAAAGTCTATTTAAAGGTGATTTGAGTAGTATATATGTTAATTTTATCAATATACTTAATATATGTCTTCATTTTCTGACAAGTAACTGATTATATGATAAAGTCAATTGATTTTTTCTTTATATTGCAGTGGTTAATAGAAAAACCAAATGCCACAACGTTCTTTGGTTGTGTAAATAAAGATACATATGGAAAGATTTTGGTAGATAAAGCATGTGAAATGGGTGTGAAGATGCAACTTCAAAACACAGAGAAGGAACCAACGGGCACTTGTGCTGTGATTGTAACAGGCGAAAACAGGTACATCTACATACTATAGTAAGATAGAAGTCAGTCATGTTTGGAAAACTGCAAGTCAGAGCCAATTTCATAAAAGTTGTTAAAAACAATATATTATATTTAGAGTTGTAATAATTTACCATCTGCCCATTACTAACTTTTTTTCTACAATTTTATTTAACAGCACATTTTCTTGAAACATGTAATATATTTTGACCAAACTTGTTGTTTGGATCCCCTATTCAAATACAAAGCATTGATTCCACAAATAAGTTTGCATTCAGGCATATAGGGCTTTAAGAAGCCACCAAACTGTCACGGGTTCATGAACTCTTAAAGAAAATTCGATAGAGATATTCGCCTGCCATTGTATCGCTAGATTCGCAAACTTATAAAATTTTATTCTTAGAGTAATTATGCTTGCATAGGATTGATAGTCATCATTAAGACTGAATTATCAAATAAAAATATGTAAAAAAAAACTGAAGAAGTATAAGCTTTAAATAAGATTGTATATACTGTTGCTTGTTTTTCTTCCAGATCTCTATGTGCAAATTTGGCTGCTGCCAACTGTTTTACTGAAGATCATTTAGATAATGCAGAAAATTGGAAGCTTGTAGAAACAGCTGACTTCTATTATTGTGCTGTAAGTGTTTCCATGCAAATGAAATATGACCTCTTCAGTTGTGTACATAAGAATTGTATAAAATTTAAGTAAGCATCTTTGATTGTTCAAAATATGTACTTAGCTACATACTTTTGTTATGATATGATTTAGATTAAGTTTTGCTCTCTAACATTGTAAAGTAACCCTGTAGTACTTGCACATATTGTTATTAAGTAGAGATTTCAATTTGTGTTTCTATGTTGGATTTACAGGGATTTCCATTGACAGTTAGCCCACCCACCATACTACGACTTGCCAAACACTCTCATGAGAATGGTAAAACATTCTGTATGAACTTGTCTGCACCATTCCTTTGTCAATTCTTCAAAGATAAAATGCTCCAAGTGTTGCCTTATGCAGATATTATATTTGGGAATGAAACTGTAAGTGCTACATTAGATTCTTATATATGATGATATGTTTTATGCTGGTAATATTTTAAACTGGTGAACATCATCATTTCCTTTCATACAGTTCAGTTTATCCCTTGTTACAAAATACAATACTTCAACTTGGGATTTGTCATTTATACAGAGTTACCTACATGGATTTTACATGCATTAAGATAAACAATTACAGGTGTTAAAGACAATTTTGGAAGTGGCCTCCTTATGTGTATAAAGATATAAAGTTCCCTAGTTGTAGATAAGAATAATGGTATACTGATTTGTGTATTTCTTTTAGGAAGCAGCAACATTTTCTAAAGAAAATGAATTAGGGGTAAGTAACAATTAACTGTTTTCTTTAATAATTTATATAGAAATTGGTGAGTGGATCAGCGATATCACTTGTCCCACTCTGCCTTGATTTTGAATAGTGCTACCAACTTTGTATTCAATCAAATGGGACAGCTAGCTTATAGAAAGGTTCTGCATCTGTTTATGCTTTAATTCTGAACAGTAAAGCTGGAAAGTCGTGATAAGGCCTGAACAGGGTCAGTGTGATTTTAAAACCCAATAAAAAAGTTAAGGAGAACTGGCACAGCTATTGATTAGGTGTCTATGTCAAATACATAAATGCTTCCTTTAAGAGGTTTCTGCCACAATGGAAGCTAATTGAGAAGTATTATGAAAATATTTAAATTATTTAATAACAGTTATTATATGTTTATAGCTTAAAAAAGGTTAATCTTAGTACAATAGAAAGTAATTAATAATATATTGAACAAAATGGGAAGAATATGCCCAGCATAAAGGCATTTAAAATTTTCTACACTATTGACTTAAGAAATATTATGTTAAATAATTATATTTAAGTTATATACCTGTACAATATTTCATATTCTTTGCAGACTGAAAAAATTCCTGAGATTGCATTGAAGATGGCAGCCATGGGAAAGGAGAATAAAGATAAGCCAAGAATGGTGGTGATAACTCAGGGAGATTTACCTGTAGTTGTTGCATATGGTAACCATTACAAATGAGCCGCATCACGACAAAACCAACATAGTGCGTTTGCGACCAGCATGGATCCAGATCAGCCTGCGCATCCGCGCAGACTGATCAGGATCCATGCTGTTTGCTATCAGTTTCTCTACTTGTAATAGGGTTTGTAAGCGAACAGTATGGATCCAGATCAGACTGCGCGGAAGCGCAGGCTGGTCTGGATCCATGCTGGTAGCAAACTCATTACATTGGTTTTGTTGTGACGCGGCTCAAATGTTAATTTATATTTTATTTTCCTCTTAAAATCATTACAGTAATTTCTATGTTATTCTTTCCTGAATTTTTGGAAGTTGATCTGTCAACAACCTTAATATAAGAATTTTTAATAAAGTTTGATAATTTTACTACATTCATTTTGAATGTTTACTTCAAACTTAAAAACAAGACCATAACTCTTTTGTCAGTAATTTGAGACCATTATAGGTCACTATCCAAGGGACTTAACCATAGAATTTGACCATATTATGGCCCTTTGTGAATTTAGAAAAAAAATTCTGGTTTAAGTTTTGGCTTTTGCATATAACATAAATTTTAATAAATACTGCTGAAATTTTTCACTTGAAACTTAAACATATCTATAAGATCAACATTAGAGGTTACTATCCAAGGCCTATAACTCTAGCATGGATTTTCATTTAATTATTACATGTATTTTCAAAACTACTCGAGGTATTTTAAGATGATACATTGTAATTACATGTGAATCAGAATACCTGCCAGAGTCATAGGCCTTGGATAGTCAAGAAGGCATGTATTAAGATTCAAGTGAAGTGAAATACTTGTGGTATTCACTTGAATCTTAATGCATGTCTTCTTGTCCAAAACTGGAGGTCATATCCAAGGCCAATATTTCTGGCATAACTTTGACTGAATTGAATAAATTCTGGTCCTTTGTGAACTTAGAAAACTCTTGGTTAGTGTTTTACATCAGAACACTTGAATTACTGAAATTTAACACGTCTCCAGGATAATAATTGGAGTTCACTAGTTACAGTTACAGTCAAATAACACTTGCATGGAATTTGACTGAATAATGGCCCTTTGTAAACTTAGAAAATTTTTGGTTTAAGTTTTGCATTCATCATTAATTATCAAAACTACTGTTATTATCCACTTGAAACTTAATGCATGTCTTTGGGTCATAAGTTGTAGAGGCGCTGTGATAAGCAATATACCTGTATATTGCGGTGACACATCAGACAATACGTACAACAGTACATATTACTCATACCACAATATTTCCTTTCATATTATTCTACATCAGCAAAATAAACATTTATATACTTTGACTTTTATCAAGCCTTCTAAATGAGTAAAAATGTTTATAAATTGCATCTGGATGTCGTTAAATCTTATCTCTACATTTATTTTTGATGCTGGGCCCAAATCTTTGAAGTCGCAACATTAAAAGAAAATCAATAAAGACACATTGTTTGTGATAACATTCTAATATTATACATGCATAAAGATGGTTAGTTTGATTGGATTGAAATGGCTACAGTAAAAACTAGAATTTGGTTTCATTAAAACCTGTAAAATTGAAGTTTGCAAATTTAAAAAAGTAAGCTGAAAATTAAAAGCCCTAACTTCAGATGGCATACATTGTTCAGAGATTTTTGCAAATTATTATTAATGTGTCATTCAGTCTGTCTTTGGACATGAAATTAATGTCACTTCGTCTGATCACAAAGTCAACTTTTATGTTTTCTTTGTTTGATATTTTGACAAAATAAGTCTACTAGATAAAGAGTTCACATTACTAGTTCATCATTTGGATATAAAAAAAACCTTTTCATAGCTTATTGAGGTTTAATAATTTCGAAAATAAAAAAGAATTTGTAGTTTTATGTTGTTTTGTATTTTATTTTGTATAAAAGTGTAGCATTTGTAGTTCGTAAAAACTAAAGGCTTACTTTAAATTGTTGAATATTAGTCATTAAGAGTAAAATTACATCTCTTCTTTACCCAAAAGAAATATGAAAGTAAGGAAATATGTAATTTCTATATATTAAAATGACATGTGTTGTATACAATACAGATATCAAAAAAAGTGTAAATAATAAACAGCTAGAAATTTGCATCTATATTAAAGGAAGCATAGTTGCATACACAAAGATATGTATGTATGACTACAATTTTTCTATCAAACTTAAACTATTACTTGTAAAAGCATTTAAATAGTGCTAACTTTTAGAAATGACCCATTAGAGGTATTGCATAGTTTAAACATTGAACTTTATGTTTTCTTGTTGTTTTTTCCAGAGGGAAAAGTAGAAGAGTTCCCAATTATCCCAATTAAAAGCAAGGATATTGTAGATACAAATGGTGCTGGGGATGCATTTGTTGGAGGTAATATGTGAATGAAGTTACATAAATTGATAAATATTAGTATGGACAAAATTAGAACATGACAAGCAAAAATAATAAACAGGGCTTGTACTGGTGATCCTCAGATTACCAGTCTGTTCCTAGTGAAGGTTACTTCTAGCCATTAAAATATTTCTATTCAGTTTATGTTGTATTCTCAGGTTCTAGACAGTTATATTTCAGAGCATAAAAGAAAGATTATATTTTATTTTCAACAGTATATAATTATGCATGCAGTAAACCAACCTCTACCTTATTCTGTGATATAAACAAAGCTTCTTTAAATAAAACATAGAAATTTTACAACATTTGATTTGGTTTAGAATAAAAACAGTCATAAGAGTGTATTGTAAATTAAGCATAATTGTCATTCATATATAGGTGTTGCCATTGTCATGTAGGTCCTACATAAATTTATGTGTTTTATTAACTTAATAAAATACATAAATTTTATTACCTGAACAAAATAATAGCCATGAATCATTGAATATTTTCATTCATGTATTTCTGAAACAATATAATAAAAGCATGTGTTTATTCTGCAGGTTTTCTGTCCCAGTTAGTACAGAAAAAGCCGTTAGCAACATGTGTAAAGTGTGGTAACTATGCAGCTAACCTTGTGATACAACGATCAGGCTGTACCGTGCCAGAAAAGCCAGACTTTAGCTAGAACTCTTCACAATATGTATTATATACATGAACTGTTACATGATCATGTCATAGGGGTACAATAGGGCATTCACTCATAGGGTATATAACAGCACTCAGCTGCAGCCAATGCTGACTTGCTTACACTTTACAACTTAATTATTGTGCTATTTTCTGCTTTCCAACATGTTAACAGACTTTTATTTATATATTCAATTATATTATACAAATTTTGCACCATGGTAAAGAAATTTTGTAATAATTTTGGATGATATTTAATTAGCAAGAAAACAAAGTAAATAGATAAACACGATAGTGCTAAACAGTTACTATCTATTTGTAGCAAAAGTAAACTTTTGTAGATAAGGATTAAAATATTCAAGTCTCAAGAACCCCACGACTACAGGTTTGAAATATTCAAGCCACTACACGTGTGTATAGCACAAAATTGAAAGTTAAATAGTTGTATAACTAGTCCAAGAAGATATAAGACATGAATCGACCCAAGAGGATGTTAGCACAATCTGATTAAAATCATCTCCTAATTAATGCTATGCATTAGGATCTGACGGGCATAGGAGGTCACTTTATCATGACCTTTCAAACAGCCATTCATCAGCAAGCTTCACAATTTTGAGAAATTTTAATATTTACGGTTCCGAGAACAAACATGTGTTCATGTAGCCATTGGGTAAACTGGCAAAACAGTCTTGCCAATTAAAGATTGAGTCTATTATTTTCAGTTTATTTGTTTCAAATTACTTAATACAATTTTTTTTCTAACAAAAATCAACAATTTGTTTCACTTCCACGGACAGCAATATTTTGATTCTTTGTCAAATGCCTATTTGTAAGGGACAGTTTGATGGCATGGCTAAAATCAGATCTTCGTGCAAGAACTAACTTTAGTGGATCTGAACTTTATTCAGATTGATGTAAGAGAACACAGTGTATTTTGCTAAGCTTAATTTTATTCAAGAAAAATGTATGTCAGAGCTTCATGTATAATATTTTAAGATTTTTTCTCTTGTTTGATCTTCGATACACCTATTTTTGTTGTGATAAAAGACATTGCTCAATAATAGAAAAAATATTTCTGTTTATGATAGAGCCTATAATTTTATTTAGTTTCATTTAAAAGCTGTTCAAGCTTTATAAAACTGCATGGATACTTTGAACAAAATTTTTGATACTACATGTACAACGTTTACATTATTATTTATGAAAGTAATGTATTATGTTTAGCTTAAAGAATAAGAACAATAGCATTTATGCAATATTGTTTCAGTTCAGTATATTTACTGCTGCATGACTGTATTGTTTTAGATGATATTTAAATGGTTAAAGTGGTGTGTAGTCTATGTTGAATGTAGAGTTTGATGCAATTAAGTTCACAGATTTGTGTTCACAAAAAAACGTTTCTTTTCTGTACATTAGAGTTTAGAGTATGTAAATGGTACTGAATATCTACAGTTACTTAGTAAATTACTTCTCAGTTAACAGATATTTGAAGAAGAAAAAAGTGACCCACTATAAGATCAATTTAAAACAATATATATAATGACTAGTCTTATGCTTCTATCATTTACCAAAAACTTAACTGAGTTATTTTTCTTGCTCACCAATGTAAATTAAGAATTCCATAAATTAATTATTCTCAGGAATTGTTCATCAGTTTTCCATTCGTACAAATTATGTGTTTACTTATGAATTGGTCAAAACAAGATGCAAGAAATACCATAGTATGTACATGTCCATTGTTTAATTGGTAATACTTGGTTTAAGTAATAATATTATTAATATTCCTTCAACATCATGATTAAGTTTTGTTATGTTTTAATTTAATGTTAATATAACTATTGTTACACATTTTACTATGCAATGTGGTTACATGTATATGATGCAATTGGGATAAAATTTGGCATTGACAAATCACCTTTAAGTTTTAAATTGTTATTTTATAATTACTCACGACATTTACAATAGATTTGCTGTTGTCTGTATGTCCATCCATCCAAATATGCATACATAATGATATTCCAGCGGTAACCATATGCTTTGTAAACATAAGAAGGTGAAAGAAAGGCACCAACCCTATTATGTTGTTGAAATGTGTTTTAATTTTCATATCAAAATTTAACTAAATCATTTATACCAACTCTTTCTATGTCTACTTGTTATAGTGTTTAGCAAGGTATCACAATTAATGTGTCGGTGTTGCTGTTAAATCCAAACAAATATCAAACCTATAATCTCAGAGTTATGACCCATGACTTTGTCTATTCACTGCTGTCAAAGAATATGACAAAAAGGTTTTCAGAACTTCTTTGGTATAAATGTGCACTTCTATATTGCATGAGTAACATTGAGTTATGTCCCTTGATTTTGTGAAAAATGAGGACGTCCAATTATGTGTAGAGGTTCAGTCCAGTATTATAGCTAACAATGCAAGCACAGAATTGTTCAAGAGAAAGATCCTTATACATAGCTATATAATCCTAGGAAGAAGTCCTGTAATAAACAGGAAACAAAACGTTCCTGGTAGGAAAGAGATCCTGTAATATAGATAGGAAGTCTATAGAAATGTACTTATTTCCAGTGTGGATATATATAGATGGTACATGTATTTGGAAAAGGTCCTGAAACATAGAAGTTGGTAGCACAGCAAGGTGATCTAGAGTGTTTCTGATGTCTGAGAATGTGAGACTTTCCATTATATAGTAAGGAAACGCTCTTGGTACATTAAAAGAAGTGTCGCAGAGATATAACCTGACATGAGAATGCGTCGCTTAGAAAGAGGACCTGCTACATAGAATGCCACATAGTCAAAGGTCCTGATTACAGAGAGAATGTTACATGGCGGTCCTACCCGACAGTGAGAAGGTCACGGGAGAACCTGCCATAGTGAGAATGTCTTACATAAAATGGTTTGAGATTGTCTCAGTTAGACAGTTCCAAACTCGTTTTGAACCGGTCATTAAATATATTACACCTGAGAAGTGGGAAAATGTGTCTGATTAATCCTGTCAGATGTTGTCTCAATGTTTTCTAGAATATTGAAAATTCCTTATCACGTAATATACCTGTCTGAGTTAACGTGATGAGAATGTCTCATAGAAAAAACAGCCCACGTTGTCCACAGTGCTCATGTTTCTGTTTTAGTCACAAACCAAATCATGCGCATACCGGCGGACATACTCATTATGATAACTAATACCAAATACATGATAAATTATTGAATAATGACCGCTGGCTAACATTTTCCTTTTATCATTAACAATCATTTATACAATGTATTACATAGGAGCGTGGTTGCTTTCTTTAATTCCAACAAAAAATTTTGTTATGAATATAGTTTTGATCATATCTAATCACATATAAATAAAAATTGACAAACTGTCATAAAAAAATTGGAAAAATAGTTAAAGATACATATAAAATGTAGTCTAAACCCAATAAATAAGAGTTTAAACTTTTTGCTTATACACTCAGCCAAAAAAAAAAAAAACTTTACATTATTTATGCGTACTCATCATGGTGATAATCAAGTCTACCTCATTTTTTTGACCTGTTGATACACTACACAAACCTGATAATCTCGTGCAGTTATATCACGCTGGGGGACTTAAACGCAAAATTCTTACACAGAAACTTTTGCTCTTATCAATTACTTCGAAAAACATTATTGTTAAATCTTAAGACTTTCCGCAGCAATGCCACGGCTCTCTGAAAATCAACGTAATCAGACTATTGGGATGCTGTAAGCGGGTGCCCTTAGACCATATACTGGTCAGACACTGAGACCCCGCCATAGGGTCGCCAGGTTGGCCTGGGCACATCGTCACTTACGCTGGACACGAAACCATTGGGGTCGGGTTATTTTCAGCAACGAATCTCGCTTTAGAGTAAGACCATCGGGGTGCGAATTTATCGTCGCAGAACATTCCACACAATGTAGCATCCGGGAAAGGGATAGGTTTGGTGGAGGAAGTGTGATGATACGGGGAGGGATTATGGAGGACCGAAAGACAGAGCTTGTGGTTGTGTGCAGCAACCTTACAGTACAGGGTTATCAGGTTATGTGCATATTCTGGCAAACACTCTTTTGCCATTTATGCAGGCTCATGGTCCTGGTTTAACTTTCCAGACCAAACCCTGCCCGGTTAACAGCCAATTTTCTAGCTCGCAACCACGTTAACGTCTTGCCCTTGCCCGCTGTCTTCCATTGAACATATCGATCTGGGATGAACTTTGGCGAAGAGCGAGGACAAATCACCAGATATAGACAACGTTAACGACCTCGCACTGGCACAGCAGGTGGAATGGCGGACCCTACCTAACGTAACTACATAAAGACAAAATGGTAAATGATAGCTGGTGTTATGTAACGCTTCGTATGTGGTTTTCTGGGCGAGGATTTAACTGGACTCAATATATTATAACTCTCCAGCGTAAAAGAAATGTATTATTCTCACCAAATATCAAGTATACTGAACCAAAAAAGAAACTTTCGCAAAGTATGTGCCAGTTGTTCAAGGGTACCACTTAGATGTACACAATTATATACATGTAGTAGCTCGTAAAACTCGTTTTTTTTGCAAAATCGGTCAGCTAATCCCCGTATAAAAGCCCAATATGTTTATTCAACGTAAAAATCGAGTTTCAAAAGGATTGAAAAACTGAACTAATTAACATACATGTATCTATATACATTCAAACTTGGAGAAAGTTTCTTTTTTGTTTCAGTATAATATTCCATATACAAATACAATAACTAAAATACAAGTAACAACTATAAACTGTATGACTTAACACACTACCGCTGATCATAACATCCTTATATATAGGTAAAAACTAGTCTTCTTAGGCCAACTAAACCATCTATATGGTCCTAAAAAGTCAATGGTCAATGTGACCAATCAGAATTCATCAGTTTTTTATTTATTTTTTCTTTTCTTTCATATATCTGATTTAATATACTATCAATTATAAATGTACATGTATTTGTCAGTCTAATTAAGAAATAATGAAGCATTTATATATCCTCTCTATCTGGGAGTAAAATAAAGAAAATAATCTTTTGAATCCCCCAAAGGAAGTCCAACACGGCATAATTGAAAAGGTTAATTGTAGCTCGGTACGACAACTACCGTCCACATTCAACATTTTAAACATGAAATGATAAAATTTCGAAGACGTCTTCACAAACTCTATTGCGAAGGGGCCATTTTTTCTTCGTATATATTTTAACAACTGAAGTCTTTTCCGTTCTAAATTAAATTATCAGTAAATAAAAATGAGTGATTAATCGAGATCTAACGTTTCTTTAGTTAACAAATGTTTAATTAGGTCATATTTATGACCTGTATAACAATATGAACACTATGTTTTGATAATAAGCCGTATTTATATGCCATAATAAGATGTTAATCAATCATAATTGGGAATAAGTAATTCTTTGAGACTGTACAGTGACCTAATTTTCAAGTAAATGCGCATCACTTGATTTGATGACATTTTCCAATCACCAAATTTATTGCGAGATGTATCAATTAATGTTGCGAACCAATCACGTAGCTGCATTATATTGACCGAATGCAAACCGTTCAACAAACGATAGAATAAGAGATTAATGATCACGTGACAAAAAATAAACGGTTTTAACTTGATATTTTACGATTGATTTTAAATAAAATTCATTGTTTTGTATGTATAAATATAAATTTGATATATTTTCAGTAAACATATTACCAGTATATTCTTATTTCTAATAAAATTATAAAAATCCTGATCTAGGTCACACGAAAGTCTCCCAACTAATAGAACAGCGTCTGTTGTCCATCGGGTAGCCATATTGTGTTTTGAACAGAATGTCGAAACTGTGATCTATTATGTATTTACAAAATTAAAATGGTTAAAGCTCAAGACAGAAAGAAATCGGTATGTTTTTGTAAAGCTCATATAAGCACTAAGTTTACTGAAATGTCAAAAATGTCCATGAATTTCTAGAAACCCATTTATTTTAAACGGCAAATTTGTTGAAATTTTAGTGAAAAAAACCCGATTTTGCGGGACAGCGATGTTACGTTTAATGATTTAGTTTTAAGGAGAGCTGAATGGGTCTATTTAAAAATGAATGGATATTTTTCTTATTTAATTGTTTATTCTAACATATCACAATATTCTGCCATCTGAAAACCACTATTTTGTTTCAAAAAATACTTCCAAAAATTAAAATTGCAATGTCGGCCATTTTGTTTTCCGCCGAGATCTGAAATTGGTGCGATTGAAATGACATGGACGCTTTAGTTTTTAGTTGGGCTCATTTGTTGTGTTCTCGTTTATTTCGAAAAAATATTTATTTGTCTGTTTTAATGTTATTACTGGTTTAATCGAAGGAAATAACGACAAAATTGATTTTTTTTTGTGAAAAAAATAGCATTCCCGCGTACCCATCGGTTTGTTTTGGCTTAGTTGAAATATGCCTTTGTTCCGTGCACTTTTGCGGACGCTTAACTTTTACATTTTATTCAAGCTATCTGTTAATTGTTTTTCAGGTACATACAGATAATTAAGTCCTGGAAATGGCCAATAACCTTAGTTGCAATATGAATTCATATTTTTTATCATTAAAAGTGAAATGATTTGGAATGAAAATGTGAGATTGTGAGAATTATTTTAACATTTAAAAGTCCAAAATGGTCAGAGAGGTTGAGGCAGGGGAATCTGCCAATCCCACATACACTAAATGGCTATTAGAAGCAATACATAAGGTCAAAAGTCAAAAGCAAAGACCTAGTGATGATCGGATCTGTCATGCTGTTAAACAAACTCATAATGTCAGCAAAGACTCCCTTAAAGAACAACTTGAACTTGCAGTGAAAGGGGGTTTTATCTTGAAAGTATTAAATAAAGGAATTTGCTCCTATAGAGATCCTAACTTAGGCCCAAGACCTAAGTCATTAAAAATTAGTCGAAAGACAGATTTAACAAAATTTGTTGTAAGAGCTTTGAAGAATGGCTCAGAGACAGGTCTGACTGTAAAACAAATTGAAAAATATGTAGAAGGTATCTATTCAGTAGAAGTTGAAGAAACTAGTTTATTTGAGAATATCAAGGCATCCATTAGAAAGGGCATTAGTAGAAAATTACTTGAAAAAGACGGCAAGCTTATTAAATTGATAGAAAGGCCAAATGCTGGAACTGGACCGAACGACATTGCTGATGAATTTTCAAGTGACCATTCATTTTGCTTCGAAGAAGAAAATAAGGTGTGTAGTAATTCAGACTCCAATTTATCATTTTCATCAGTCACAATCACAAAAGAATCCAGCCCATATCATTTCATGTCATGTTCATCAGTTGCATCCATTTCATAATTATGTTGCATGTTGTTCTGTTTTTGTTTTGATGTTATCTATATCCTTATTTACTTACTTAAGCTAACATGTTTAGAAATAAAAATTCACATCATATTAACATTCTTTGAAGTTTATACAGGAATTGTACTATGTCAGAAAGATCGCTGAAAGACTTGAACATTCTTCTCATTATTAAATTTTTAATAGATTATATCAGTATATTATCAAAAAATTCATTTTGAGTTAAATAGTCAGTTAAGTTTTGCATGATATTTTGGCAGTTACTGTAAAATAATACTTAAAAAGTATGAATAATTTAACAGGAGGTTTGTCCACCGTGTCCAGTTTGCAGTTTTTGCCTTGGTGATGAGAAGAAGAATAGGGATGGTAAACCAGAAGAGCTCATCTCCTGTGTTGACTGTGGGAACAGTGGTAAGGAATTTAGGCAGGATAATTTTTCACAAGACTCTTTTTTTCAACAAAATTAAAATAAATGAAGTAAATCTAAGGTTATTTTTTTAATCAGTTTTGTGTATTTAAAGGATTACAACCTTCTCTAAAAATTACTCCGTAATTAATTATGAGCTGTACAGCATGTCAAGCATCATATTTTCTTGTTCTGTCACAACTTGTACAATGTATTTTAAGTAGATTTTATTGATTTACTTTTTAAATTGCTTTAAGCACCTGTATGCATCATTTCCTAACAAAAGCTGGATTTTGAATTCTGTTTATTGGATTTTGTAATTCATGATGTTTTAAAATTGCACAGGCCATCCGTCTTGTCTAAAGTTTTCTGAAGAACTCACTGCCAATGTTAAGAAAACACGATGGCAGTGTATTGAGTGTAAAACATGCTTCTTTTGTCGGAAAGCTGGTAGAGAGGTATGACATGATTCTTTTTTGTGTTATTAATTGCTTTTTGAATTGGATGATCTAATTTAGCTTTTAATTAGTTTTATCAATGGAAATAAAAGTATTGGAAACTTCTTTAATTTAACAGTGCATTTCTAGAAAATTAAACCTTAAGAAGTAAAAGTACTTTAAGTTTTTGTAATAATAACCATATGAGTATCATGGCTAGGTACTTAATATTCTGAGTAAGCTGGTTGGTGCATATCATTAATTTTGTATATAATTTTGTGATAAACTTTAATGTTTGATTTCTTATTTCAATAGGACAATATGCTATTCTGTGACTCTTGTGATCGTGGTTTCCACATGGACTGTTGTGATCCTCCTGTTACAAAAGCACCTAAAGGTATGTAGTTGGGCAAGTTTTTAAATTTTATCATACATATACTGTGAACTCATGAGCCAAAATGGGCTTCATCTATTTGACTGTTGTTAATTTCGGAACAGTATTCCAAGGGGCCTGGGTTTGAGGCCATCATAATTTACATTTTTCTCACCCTATGACATGGCGTCCAATGGAGGACAGTGACTGTATAAAGCTCCAAGTCAATTTGTTTTACTCTCTGTTCACATTTAAAATTTGAGGACAAATTTCATTATAGCAGGGGAATATGTTACAGTCTAGATAATAGCAAAGAGAATATGTAAGCATCCAGGTCTGTTGGTAGAGTTGGGGTATGGTATTCAGGTGGTCCAGGGTTTGAGGCCCAGTCAGTCTGACATTTTTTCACCTTGTGATGGTACATATATATAATCATTTGTAGAATGCCTTTTGTATGAATTGTTTTATTTTAAATTTGAAAAGTTTTGGAAAGGAGAAAACAGAATCAAAACTTTCTGATCTGCAATCACATACATTTTCAGAGCTATTGATAAAAAGCAGTATGAAAGAGATGGCAGGTATATGTCACTACCGTCTTTTGTTAGTTAACTGTAATTGCTTGAAATATACATATATATATATGCTACTTATTTCTACACAAAGAAATGAAATAAATGTTACATGCAGAAATATATTTTTACAGGCCAGTGGGTATGTAATATCTGTGATCCTGATAGAGGCAATAAAAAAGGGAAAAAGTACCTTGAGTTGGCTGAAAAATATAGGAGGAAATACCATAGTAAGACAGGAGGTCTTAAAACTCCAGATAGTATAAAAGCAAAACTGAAAGAAAAGTAAGTAGCCAAGCACTATCATCTTGTAAGTATGAGTAGTAGTTGCAGTAAGAGGTTTTTGTCATATTAAGTGCTAATGTTATATTATGTTTGACTGTGGAAAAAATGAAATTGCTTATAATCGAATTGTACAATGTGCAAAATTGTGCATATTTTTTAATTGTTAATTACATTGAGTGTTGATTTTGCTTACAATATAGACTTGGATGTTCAATATATAGCCATGCTCTAGGGTAAGTTTATTGTTAGTTATGTATTTAGCTCAAGATTGTAATAAAAATGTGGTACTCATTAAACATTATTTTATTTTAAGCGTATTCATTTAGTGTACACCATCATTGACACATTAAAATTTTTGAAAAGTTATGATAATAATATTTACAGACATAATGAAAGCATTCTTTTCTTCAGATGCCCTACTCCAGGTTGTGATGGGTCTGGTAATATCAATGGCAGATCATTGCACCATAGAAAGTAAGTTTGGTTTTTATTTCTAGCATAAATTACTGTATGTGATCAGTCTCTATAATGCTAGTACTGAAAAGTCTTCTCAGTTTGTTAAACATTGCATTTATCAGTTATGTCCTGGATTCATTGATAAAGTTGCAAACTTAACTTCATTAACCTTAGCATGATTCCTGAAACTCGAAAGGGAAGCTTTGAACTGGGTAAATGAAAGCTCATTATTCTACCCATTTCTCTGTTGTGTATAAATTAAGTATTAGCGTACTTACTGAATTTTGCTGTATATAATAATATATATTTATGTTCTATATGTATTTTAAAAGGTAATGAGGTAAAATTAATGCATTTAAATCTGTTAACATAAGTAATCTGATCTTACTGTTTTGCTTTGTAAAGTTTTCAAAAGTTTATGTTCTGTAAAGTTCTCCATAAAAGTCTACATGTGTTTGGATAGTAAGCAATGACACTTCTGCCTACGCAGAGATTCATTTTTATTTGCCTGAATGGCCATGTTATGTTTCACTCCTGGTTGTTTGTCTTCATTTAGTAACTTGATGGCCATTTATATCTCTTTTGATACCCGTACATAATATTCCTTTAAAATTTATAATGTTAGATGTTTATTTCATTGGGGGAATCATTGCGACAACCTTTTGAACCCAGGTTTCAGATGCTTAAATCTAAGGACAAGGTCATTGCTCATGATAAAGGTTCGAACAAGCAGTTTCTTGAATCATTTGCAGAATATTCATGATACTTGGCTCAAACTAATATAGTGTGACTTAAAGTTTTATAATTTCAAATAATAACATATTTCTGACAAGTTTTATGTACATGTTATTTCTTTTAGAAGTTTTCTTAAATGGAAATGATATTTTGATTTGCATTAGTGTGTTTTAGCCCTGCCTCTGTAGTGCTGTTTTATTTATTGTCACAAAATATAGCAAAAGTGTTAACCTGCAATTGTGGATAATTCAAATTCAAAACAAGTTTTTATAAGAATATTGATATTAATTATGCCCCCTTTTGAAAAAAAGGGGGTATATTGCTTTGCACTTGTCGGTCCGTCGGTCCGTCGGTCCGTCGGTCCGTAGACCAAATGGTTTCCGAGTGATAACTAAAGAACCCTTAGGCCTAGGAACTTCAAACTTGGTATGGTGATTGGTCATGACAAGTAGATGACCCCTATTGATTTTGGGGTCAAGGGGTCAAAGGTCAAGGTCACATTGACCTTGTAAGCAAAAACGGTTTCCGATCAATAACTTAAGAACCTTAAGGCCTAGGAACTTCAAACTTGGTATGGTGATTTGTCATGATCAGTAGATGACCCCTATTGATTTTGGGGTCAAGGGGTCAAAGGTCAAGGTCACATTGACCTTGTAAGCAAAAACGGTTTCCGATCAATAACTAAAGAACCCTAAGGCCTAGGAACTTCAAACTTGGTATGGTGATTTGTCATGATCAGTAGATGACCCCTATTGATTTTGGGGTCAAGGGGTCAAAGGTCAAGGTCACATTGACCTTGTAAGCAAAAACGGTTTCCGATCAATAACTAAAGAACCCTAAGGCCTAGGAACTTCAAACTTGGTATGGTGATTTGTCATGATCAGTAGATGACCCCTATTGATTTTGGGTCAAGGGGTCAAATGTCAAGGTCACATTGACCTTGTAAGCAAAAACGGTTTCCGATCAATAAGTAAAGAACCTTAAGGCCTAGGAACTTCAAACTTGGTATGGTGATTGGTCATGATCAGTAGATGACCCCTAACGATTTTGGGGTCAAGGGTCAAAGGTCAAGGTCACATTGACCTCTTGGGTAAAAACGGTTTCCGATCAATAACAAAAGAACCCTAAGGCCTAGGAACTTCAAACTTGGTATGGTGATTGGTTATGACCAGCAGATGACCCCTATTGATTTTGGGGTTAAGGGGTCAAAGGTCAAGGTCACATTGACCTTGTAGGTAAAAAACGGTTCCCGATCAATAACGAAAGAACCCTTAGGCCTAGGGACTTCAAACTTGATATGGTGATTGGTCATGATCAGTAGATGACCCCTATTGATTTTGGAGTTAAGGGGTTAAAGGTCAAGGTCACATTGACCTTGTAGGTAAAAACGGTTTCCGATCAATAACGAAAGAACCCTTAGGCCTAGGGACTACAAACTTGATATGGTGATTGGTCATGATCAGTAGATGACCCCTATTGATTTTGGGGTCAAGGGGTCAAAGGTCAAGGTCACATTGACCTCTTAGGTAAAAACAGTTTCGGATCAATAACTAAAGAACCCTTAGGCCTAGGAAGTTCGAACTTGGTATGGTGATTGGTCATGATCAGTAGATGACCCCTATTGATTTTGGGGTCAAGGGGTCAAAGGTCAAGGTCACATTGACCTCTTAGGTAAAAGCAGTTTCCGATCAATAACTAAAGAACCCTTAGGCCTAGGAACTTCAAACTTGGTATGGTGATTGGTCATGACCAGCAGATGACCCCTACTGATTTTGGGGTTAAGGGGTCAAAGGAAAGGTCACATTGACCTTGTAGGTAAAAATGCTTTCCGATCAATAACTTAAGAACCCTTAGGCCTAGGAACTTCAAACTTGGTATGGTGATTGGTCATGACCAGCAGATTACCCCTTTCGATTTTGGGATCAAGGGGTCAAAGGTCAAGGTCCCATTGACCTTGTAAGTAAAAACGGTTTCTGATCAATAACTAAAGAACACTTGGGCCTAGGAACTTCAAACTTGGCATAGTGATTGGTCATGATCAGCAGATGACCCCTATTGATTTTGGGGTCAAAGGTCAAGGTCACATTGACCTTGTATGTTAAAACGGTTTCGGATCAATAATAAAAGAACCCTTAGGCCTAGGAACTTCAAACTTGGCATGGTGATTAGTCATGACCAGCAAATGACCCCTATTGATTTTGGGGTCAAGGGGTCAAAGGTCAAGGTCACATTGACCTTGTAAGTAAAAACGGTTTCTGATCAATTAAGTAAAAACGCTTAGGCCTAGGAACTTCAAACTTTGTATGATGATTTGTCTTGACCAGCAGATGACCCCTATTGAGTTTTGGGTCAAGGGGTCAAAGGTCAAGGTCATGACCAGTAGATACTTGATAACCCTTATTAATTGTTTGATCACTGGGTCAGAAGTCATGCATAATTACCTTATCACATCAATAATTGGCTGCTGATAGGGGGCATACATGTTTTACAAACATATCTTGTTGTTAATAATATATCTCCCTGCCTATGCTGCACTCTTTGTATTGTCACATAATGTAACTGTACAATGTTAAAGCAGTTTGTTTCATAAAGCAAATTATAATATGCATTTGTGATTGTTTACCTTTAAAAGCGAGCTGTTTTGAGTGAATATTGGTGTTATTATATTAATATAATTTTTTAACTTTTGGAGCATTTATTTATAGTATACTTGGGTGTTTGTTTTAGTGTGGGAGTACATTATACTGTTTAATAATGATGAGAAGGCCTAGATAACAAGTTTGTTTATAAAAGGAATAAGTTTTCTCAGGCTTTGACTGTTTGCTAATTTAGCTTGATGTAATTCTTTTAATTTTCAGATGGGCATACACTTCTAGCTAGGTGGCAGTTTTATGTTTTATGCTTGAATTATGAGTAATCTATTTCAGGCAATATCAGTGCCCCAAAATACCTCCAAACCAAAGACCACCTCGAAAGAAGGGTTTAAAACCTGGTAGAAAGAAGCTTTTAGCCAGTGATGACAGCAGTTCTGGTAATGTAGTGAGATGTAAAGTTTCCAATGGTGAACCTATCTCTAGTGATAGTGAACAGGAGAGCACCTTTGAGCCACTTTCTGCACTCAATAAACCAAAAGGCCTTGTGGATGGCTTGTCTAAATTTTTTACACCGTCTGATAAAAGGAAGTCGAGAGTTTCATTAAGCTCTGGTGCAGGTCTAGTCCAAATAAGAACTTCTAAACAGAAGTCTAAAGTTAAAACTAAAAAACATAGTCAGTCTCGGCAGGCAGCAAGTAAATTGATAAGAAAATCAAAATTATACAATGCTCATAGAAAGAGAAGAAAGCTAGGTGAACCTCCAGGTAGTGGACAACTTAAAGGACTGTTTGATGGGCTTTCACATATATTTACAGCACAGGGGGAAAGAAAAAGAACTTCAGCTGTGTATAATAACACTCAAAGACGTAAGAAAAATAAGAGAGATGGAACAGATTTTTTATCTGTTGGAATCTGTGATAATTCTAGCACTGATGTAAAAGAATCATTAACTATTAGGCATACTGTGATAGATGGGCGGATTGCTAATATTAACATGTTACACAGGGGTAGGGGACGGGGTAGAGGTAGGGGACGAGGCAGAGGGAGGGGATACAGGTCTCGCAGTGATTCTCCAGCATCGGATGTTGGACCATTGTTCAGGGAGGACCTTCACACAGATGGCTACCTGTCTGACCAATTGTCAACAACAAGTGGAGGCAATTCCTCGCCAGCAAGGAGCTTGGTTGGGTTCGGGAGGGGAATGAAGGGTAAGCCTCGAAGATCTACCTCAGATAAATAGCAGCTAGATTGCTAGTAGTAGCGGGACTAGCGGCTCTTGTGTTTGCAGCTATGTTTTCATGTACCATCCATGTGTATGCATGCTTCTCTGAGTGGATGTTCTCATGTCATCACTTGTTACTGTCTCAAAGTTTCTACCACCAACCTCCCTGTGCTGCGCCTCTCTGCCTTAACTGCATGAAGGCCCACTTGCTTTTCTTCTCTTTAAAGAAAAAAAAAAGATTGATTATGAGCAATTGAAACAGAAAGTAAGGATGTATGCTGCAGCTTTATGTGTTTAGGTAATAGTTGAAGCCACATGGCCTATTAATTAAGGTTTGCAGAAAGGCTTAAAGGTGCTTACACACTGTTCTGATGACCAGTTATGGCAGAGTGGGGTACTCCTCTCACTTTCACTCATGTATATCATCACATTCATTATGGTGCACTGCTTACTTGCTAACCCTGCATGTTTTTTTTATCCTTTTATTTTCAGTTTAATTTGTAGATTTTTTAGGAGATGTATTTTGCTTTACTTTAAAATATGTACCCTGTTTTTTTTATTGTATTGTTCTTGATACATCGAATTCTGTGAGTTAAATAAGTGTTTAAAGAAAGAATAGCCAAGAAAATTTAAAGAAAAAATGTTAAATGGATGTTCTTTAGATTCATGTCAATTTTTATGTGTAATGAAATTACTGTGAACTTATTTTGTTGTAAAAAATTGGTTTTCTAAGTAAATATAAGTTTAAAAAATATAATGTTATTACTGAATTATTTCGTATTTTTTTAAGAGTGAGAATAATTGATAACTTAACATTACAGATTGTGATGATGGGGAGGAGTTGGATAATGTTTTACCTCCTGGTGTCTCTCAGGAGGATGTAGATCTCTTCAAACAAGCTCAGGACCAGGCACTTCATCTCCTTAAAAAGGTCAGTTTTATTTTTCCTGTGTCCCAACAGAAACATTATATAGTTATCTTTTCAGTTTCAACTGACACAATCATTTGTCTTATTAGTCCCCTACCGGTTTACCGGAGGGGACTTTAGGTTTACCCTCCGTCCGTCTGTCCGTCTGTCCGTCCGTCTGTCCGTCTGTCTGTCAGTCCGTCAGTCCGTCCGTCCACAAAACTGGATCCCGCGATAACTTGAAAAGTACTGAAAATATTTTTATGAAACTTGATATATGGATAGATAGCAGTATGGAGATTATGCACGTCTTTTTCTTTTCTTCCTATGTTGAAAATTCTGGTTGCTATGGCAACAAATAGGCTGAAAATATGGCAAATTTTACACATAAACTGGATCCAGTGATGACGCAAAAAGTACTGGAAATATTTTTATGAAACTTGATATATGGATAGATGGCAGTATGGAGATTATGCACGTCTTTTTCTTTTCTTCCTATGTTGAAAATTCTGGTTGCTATGGCAACAAATAGACTGAAAATATGGCAATTTTTACACATAAACTGGATCCAGTGTTAACGCAAAAAGTAATAGAAATATTTTTATGAAACTTGTAATATGTGTAGATGGCAGTATGGAGATTATACACGTCTTTTTCTTTTCTTCCTATGTTGAAAATTCTGGTTGCTATGGCAACACATAGACTGAAAATATGGCAAATTTTACACATAAACTGAATCCAGTGATAACTCAAAAAGTACTGGAAATATTTTTATGAAACTTGACATGTGGGTAGATGGCAGTCTTGATATTATGCATGTCTTATCTGTTCTTCCTATTTTGAAAAAATATTGGTTGCCTTGGAAACAAATAGGCTTAAAACATGGCAAATATAACAATATTTGTGATTAGTCAAAAAGAGCTGAAACTTTTTATGAAATTGCATCTTTAATTCCAGAGTTATCTCCTCTTTAAGAATTTTGCTTTTTGCAAATTTACTTAAAATAGAGAAAAATTTACACATTAGTGAATGGCCAATGGCCCTTCAGAATGCTGATGGGGTTCTATCCGGTAGGGGACTTATGGATTGCTTGCAATACTATGATAATTGCTTGTTCATTTAATTTCTTACATGTTAATCTTAAATATTACTGGATAGCTATAAATTATTAGGGAAACTTGCACTATGAATTTTGTTAATTTAATTTTTTGTTCTTGATCGTCTCTAATTATTCATAATAATAGGAAGTTCTGTTTGGAATATTAAGGAAAAAAAAATTGGGATGCAATCATCTGAGATCTAATATTTTAAAGAAGCCTGTTTTATTAATACATGTATTTCAAAAAGTTGTGCACACATGGTTTTTAAAGCAGGGTCATTTTGAGCTTGTAAAACTGCTGTTAACAAAGCATTTGAAAGAGCTTGGTCAGAATAGCAATCTATAGATTTCTTCTAGTCTGTAGCTTTTGTCTCAATTCATCAGTGAGGTGGAATTTTAAAGAAAGAGACTGCTTGCTGAGTGCCTCTTGTGCTACATTTTTGAATGATTTAAATAAAGATATTATTGCTTAAGCTTTTAAAATTAAGATGAACATATAATCAAACCTTTTCAAGTTGCTGCAATATTAGCAAATTTTCTTGAAAGCTTTACTAGTTTTGAAATAAATATAGTGGTTATACATATATTTTGTCTTCCTGCTCTCTGAATTGTAGATTAGAAATAAATATTGAGACTATAATGGAGTTGTGCTGCATGCTTTATTATTTATTGAGATTGACTTAGAAATACTTGTGAATACACATCACAATTTTAACTTTGTCAAATCAAGTTCTGCTAAATGTTGTTATTATGGGATAATATACTCCTTATTTAATCATATTTAGTGTGTAAAGGGACATGATTTAACCTTTAAGTTGAAGCACTTGTATGTATTATTTATGTTTTCTTTAGTTACTTTCCTGTGTGCATTTTTATAATTTCTTGTTTTAAAATCTCATTTTGAGTACAAAAAGATTATTTAGACATTTGAGACTTGCCTGCTGTCTGTTGTTCATTGTTCATCTATAATTTTTAAGACATTTTCACTGATATTTTCGGCTGTTTATACAGAAATCAGGTTTCTAAAGCTAAACTAAATCCTTGGGTTTGTAGCAATTAAATTGGCTTAAAAATCAAACAAATGAAATATTGATAATCTTTTAATTGACTAACATAGTTGAAAAAAATCCTGGACATATTAACATATATGTCTAAAGATCAAGAACAATTGAAAATTACTTGTACTTTTAGTCTTTGAAGTAATTATTTTGTAATGACTAGTGTATATTGGCGAAATGGATCTATTGAGATAAGATATCATAGTGTGTAAGATTGTATCCCAAAAATACTGATCAAAATAAATTTTCTATCATATTTCGGAAAGTTCTAAATGCAGGTATGAGTTAAAAAAAAAAGATCTGAATAACTAGCCTAGTTTTGAATGTTGTAGTATCAATATGAAGTCTTAATTTTATATATACATCCTCTCAATGAATTTGACATTACATAAAAAAGGTTTTCATGTGAGCAATTAAGTACTGGGGTAGTCTTTTTGTTAGTATATGTTGTTTTACATCCATTAATTTAGTATCTTTATTCTAAGTTTTTAGGTTTTAAATGTTTTCTGTTATCTTTGCATTATAGTTTTATTATTTGCTTTTGTTAGCTTTCAATATTAGAAATTTTAAATGTTTGTAAAACATTTTAGTGCATAGCTTGATTTTTAAATTCATATTATTTGCCATGTATTGCTTGCCTGCATGTATGTTTTGGTGTGTGCCTTATTCTAATGACCCAGTTTTGGGTGACAGCTTGACACTGCTGGTTTACAGGAGTGGGCAGAGCAACAGGGTAAAAGGGAGATCAAACCAGACAGGGTACCAAGTCCAGATACAGTGGCTGAGACCCCAACTCCAGTACAAGTTACAACAACATCATCTGTACCACCATCAACTTCCACACCATCATTGCTATCATCTACACAGTCATCATGTGCACAGCCAGTTACGTCTTCAGGATCTGTACCCCCATTGCCTGCAACACCAAGTCAGAGTACAACTGGTTCTAATGTTCTGCCATCTCAGGGAAGATTTCCACCATGTATAGAGTTTGGCAAATATGAAATACAGACATGGTACTCCTCTCCATTTCCACAGGAATATGCCAAGTTAGTAATACCATTACATTGTATATTTATGCTATTTATTGTTAAAAACAATATGATATAAGGAATTTTACATGTATTTTAAAAAATGTCCATTTTCTTCATGAAGTAGTTTCAACCTACTTTTGATTTGTCAATGTATCAGGAGAACCCTTCACATAGATTTTATTTTCTCATATCTTAACTAGATAAACTTTACTTGTTATCTCGCATTTTTGTCAAAGAGGAGGAGAGCTGTTGTACTTAGCCAGGTGTTGGCGTTATTCTTTGGTTATCTTCAAAACTACTGAAGGAAGTGGGTTGAAACTTCACACACTTATTTGAGGGCATAACAGGAAGTCGCTGTCCAAGGCCCATAAATATAAATTGGATTTTGATAGAATTATGGCTCTTTCAGCTTGGAAAGTTCTACATTTCGATAATCAAGCACTGAGAATAAGTCGAGCTGACTGTCTTACCGATAGCACTTGTGTTTTTAGCTCGACTTTTCTATGAAAAGGGGAGCTATCCTACTCGCCCCGGCGTCGGCGTTGGCGTCACACCTTGGTTAAGTTTTTCGTACCACCCCACTTTATTTCAGAAGTATTACAAGTATGGCTTTGAAACTTACCATACTTGTTCACCATCATAACCTCCATCTACAGACAAGAGTACATAACTCTGTCAAGGTTTTTGACAGAATTATGGCCCTTTTTTGACTTAGAAAGTGTATTGAGCTTGGTTAAGTTTTTTGTACCACCTCACTTTATTTCAAAACCATTGGAGGTATTGCTTTGAAACTGACCATACTTGTTTACCATCACGACCTTCATCAACAGACAAGAGGACATAACTCTGTCAAGGTTTTTGACAGAATTATGCCCCTTTTTGACTTAGAAAATACATTGAATATGGGTAAAATCCACTTATTGCCTTAACCCTTTGAGATATTGCTTTGAAAACTTTTAATGCTATTTCACATCATTACCCCCATCTGTACGCAAGAGAAGGTAACTCTGTCAAGGATTTGTTTTTAAAAATTAAGGCCTTTTATCGACTTAGAATCTTGGTTAAGTTTTTAGTACCAGTCCACTTTTTGACTGAACTGTTTGAGATATTAATTTGAAAGTTGGAATACTTGTTTACAATCATGATTCCCAAACATGTCCAGGAGAAGGTAATTCTGTCAAAGATTTTATTTGAATTATGGCCCTTAACTGAAAGAGATCCACTTGTGACCAACTGACAACATCTAAAAAAGCTTGATAAAATTTATCTATTACTTGTATTATAAGGTAACTATAATACTTTCACATACAAAGTCAAATCTATATATTATGCTGATTGTACAAAAATATACTGCTTCCTTGGCATAGATTTCTTGAAAAATTATGTTATTATGTCATTTACCAAGGTGTTCTGAGTGACGTAAAAATACCTTATTCTCTCAAAGTGGGTTTAATACTATTAAATTTATTTAAGGCTCAACTCAGTTTTTTTTTCTTTCTTACCAGCCCTCTTTTGACTTAAACATTTCAAACTTTGCTGCAGTGTTCAAGGGTATCACACAATTCAGTAAAATAATTCTTCACTAAATATCTTAATGCTCATGGCCATTGTTCACTTTAAAAATACAGAGATTCTTGTATTGCCTTTTACTGCAAAAACTTTTTTTATTGGCAAGCAATAAAAAAGTCGAGCGCGCTGTCTTACGGACAGCTCTTGTTTTCTTATTTCTTAACTCGTATGAGAAAATTTTTTTTCTGTATCATTTCAGATTACCCAAATTGTACATTTGTGAATACTGCCTTAAATATATGAAAAGTCGGAGTGTGCTTCAAAGACACATGGTATGTCAAGATGTGTTATGTCATTTATATTAATAGAAATCCTTTTATTGCTAATGAGTAGTAAATGCTTTCACAATATATAATTACATTACGTAACTTGTTTAATACAGTGTCTATTTACTATCTTTAAAATACTTTTTGTGCCCCCACGTTAGTGGCGGGCATTTAGATTTACCCTTGTCCGTCCGTCCGTCCGTCTGTCCGTCCGTCCTTCCGTCCGTTCACTTTTGTGTCGCACGTAACTCAAAAAGTATTTGACCTAGAGTCATGAAACTTTACAGGAATGTTGATCAGCATGTGTAGTTGTGCACCTGGGTATTTTCGTCTGGATATTTTTAGTATTTTCAGAGTTATTGCCCTTGAATTAGTAAAATTTTGCAATTTTCATCTTGTGTCGCATGTAACTCAAAAAGTATTTGACCTAGAGTCATGAATCTTTACAGGAATGTTGATCAGCATGTGTAGTTGTGCACCTGGGTATTTTCGTGTGGATATTTTTAGTATTTTCAGAGTTATTGCCCTTGACTTAGTAAAATTTTGCAATTTTCATCTTGTGTCGCATGTAACTCAAAAAGTATTTGACCTAGAGTCATGAATCTTTACAGGAAAATTGATCAGCATGTGTAGTTGTGCACCTGGATATTTTCGTGTGGATATTTTTAGTATTTTCAGAGTTATTGCCCTTGACTTAGTAAAAATTTGCAATTTTCAACTTGTGTCACATGTAACTCAAAAAGTATTTGACCTAGAGTCATGAAACTTTACAGGAATGTTGATCAGCATGTGTTGTTGTGCACCTGGGTATTTTCGTCTGGATATTTATAGTATTTTCAGAGTTATTGCCCTTGACTTAGTAAAATTTTGCAATTTTCAACATGTGTCGCACGTAACTCAAAAAGTATTTGACTTGAGTCATGTAACTTTACAGGAATCTTGATCAGCATGTGCAGTTGTGCACCAGGTATTTTCGTCTGGATTTATGTAGTATTTTTAGAGTTATTGCCCTTCACTTAGAAAATTTTTGCAATTTTCAACTTGTGTCTCAAGTTACTGAAAAAGGATTTGACATAGTCATTAAACCTTATGGGCAGGTTGCTCAGCATATTTAGATTTTCACCTGGGGTTTCGCTTGTGGATTTATCCAGTATTTGTAGAGTTATTTCCCTTGACTTAGTAAAAAGATTGACAGAACAGTGGCGCGGTGGGGGCACCCGTGTCCTATGGACACATTTCTAGTTTGTGTTGCCTTGAAAAGGCGATATATAGGGTTTTTTTTGTCGGCGGTGTTGGCGTCCGTGGTGTTGGCCTCGTTGTCGACGTCCCCTTAAGCTTGTCCGGAGCATAACTCAGTCACTATAAGTCGGATTGACTTCAAACTTGGTATGCAGGCTTCTTTCAATAACACGAAGTGCAGTGCACAAGGACCGGTACTCTGCACTTCTTAATTTTTGAGTTATTGCCCTTTTTAAATTTTCATACTTTAATTTTGTCCGGGCCATTTCTCTTCAACTATAAAAGCTATGGACTTGAAACTTCATGGGATGATAGATCTCATTAAGAAGAAGTGCAGTGCACAAGAACAGGTACTCTGCATTTCTTTTTTTTTTTTGAGTAATTGCCCTTTGTTAATTTTCATACTTTATTTTTGTCCAGGTCATTTCTCCTCAAGTATGAAAGCTATAAACATGAAACTTCATAGGATGATAGATCTCATTAAGAAAAAGTGCAGTGTACAAGAACTGGTACTCTGCATTTCTTATTTTTGAGTTATTACCCTTTATTAATTTTCATACTTTACTTTTGTCCAGGCTATGTCTCATAAATTATAAAAGATATGGACTTGAAACTTCATAGAATGATAGATCTTATTGATAAGAAGTGCAGTGCATAGAAACTGCTGCTCTGCACTTATTATTTTTTGAGTTATTGCCCTTTGTTACTTTTCATATTTCATTTTTGTCCTGGCCATTTCTCCTAAACTATATTGTTCACAAGGCGACACATCCAACTCGCGGAGTTCTAGTTAAAGAAACATATAACTTTATTATTCAGCACCTTTTTCTTCTCGAATTAAATTTTAAGGACTCATTTCAAGGTGTATATTTATTTCAGAACAAGTGTGGATTACAGCATCCCCCGGCAAATGAGATTTACCGTTATAATGACTTATCAGTGTTTGAGGTAGATGGTAATGTCAGTAAGATATATTGTCAGAATTTATGTCTACTAGCTAAACTATTCCTGGATCATAAAACACTGTATTATGATGTTGAACCATTCCTCTTCTATGCTCTCACACAGAATGATGATGAAGGATGTCATCTTGTTGGATATTTTTCTAAGGTAATTGTTTGGGTTATATGGGAAATAAACTTGAAAATAAGCAAAGTAAACTGATGAATTTACAAATAATTTACATATGTGAAAACATACATGTATAATTAAAGCAATGGAGAAGAATAGATGGTTTCACATAGCAATTATTATCTCCCCTGGCCACCATTTTGACAGACATTCCCAATATATGATACGCTTAAGATATTTGAAATTCTATCATCTAGTTATGGCCCTTGAATGAAAAAGGTGTTTGGCCTTTAGTTATTTTTGTGTTGCCTGCTATACAATAGCTGATACATGCTGCAAAGTAGTAAGGACTTGTATATATCACTTTTTATCACCGGTCTGTCTTGTCACAAAACTTGTTTGGGTTATTCCTCAAAAACTACTGGTAACTGGTGCAATTTCATCCAAACTACACATCAGTACCAAGTTAAGTTATGCCTATTGTCAGCATTTTCAAGTTCATGATTTGCCACAGTTATAAATAGTAGCTGCAACATGCTACAAAGTAGCGCAACATATGCACACATAGGGAACAAACAGTCCACCCCTAAATACAACTGCTGAATTGGCTATCATCTGGCGACACATGTGATCACTGATCGCCTCTTATTATATAATATGCAAGTTAACATGCTTCTTATTCTGCTTTGTTTGCATACTTAACATTAGCGTTGTTAAGAAAAAAAATCTTTATTAAAACCTGAAGTAACCTTTTATATGTTTGTACCTTAATATTTGTCTTTTGTGATAACATTTCAGGAAAAACACTGTCAACAGAAGTACAATGTCTCTTGTATCATGACCATGCCACAGTGTCAGAGGAAAGGATATGGCAGATTTCTGATAGATTTTAGTATGTTATAATTTAAAAACTAAAAAGAACTAGTCAGTCTAATATAAGTACTTTTCCACTGTCTTTAGATTTGAATTGTTCAGAATTTTAAAAGAAACATTGATAAAAGGTGCTAGGGTAGCATTTTCTTAATTTATTAATAGATGACAAGATGTCTTTTATTCAAAAAGTGTTGGCCAATCTTTGGCTGGCCATGACACTTCAGATGACTTATCAAAACATGTCTATATATTAATATATTCAGAATGTAAGAAGATTGTATGATTTCCTAGGAGTTAATAAGTTGTGCAATAAGTGGTAATAAGACTTCAGAGAAGTTATAATTAAATGAAATGATGTTTTTGGTATTTGATTGTATGTTGATTTATGAATTAATTATATTTTAGGTTATTTATTATCTCGGCGGGAAGGTCAAGCTGGTTCTCCTGAAAAGCCACTTTCTGATCTTGGTAAAGTCAGCTACCAGGCATATTGGAGAAGTGTTATTGTAGAATATATAGCAAATTGTCCAGAAGAAACGTCAATTACTATTAAAGGTACAAATGATAAATTTTGATAATCATCTTTTGATTTTACTTTGGAAAAACTGTTTGGTGTTTCATTTTATTGGACAGATTGGTAAATGTTGTTTTTGTATGACTTTCCAAATATAAGCCAGAAATTGTTCTTAGTAATACATGTATATTGATATAGAGGTTAATATAAGGCCTGTCAAGTTTACATGTGATTCATTTTAGAACTACCATTGTGTAAGAGCTTTTTAGACTGTGTACTAAGTAATTGTATACACTATATATATAAAGAGTTATGTAATTGAAAAAACTCCAGAGCCATCATAACTGACACATATGCTTTATTTTATAGGTATAAGTCGTCAAACTGGAATGTGTCCTCAAGATATTACACAAACTCTACATCAGCTAAATATGATCATCTACCAGAACGAAAAGTATGAAAAACATTTATTTCAGAATAATCTTAAAAATGAACAAATGTGACTATACTTTCTGTAGTGAACATAGAAGAATTGAAGTTTTGCTGACTTAATTGATCTTGAGTAGCTAGATTTGTTTTAAAAAAAGAAATAATTTAAAAAGGTGTTCAAGTAGATAATCTTTATAGGTAAAAAAATACCAAGGATGAATATGAATTTTTTTTTTCCATCTTATTCAGAATAAAGTTATAAAAGAATGTTTCTACAGTTTTGCACATTCATGTCCTGTTTATTACAGAGTGGTGATAATGGTAAACAGACAATTAGTAAATGATCATATGGAGAAACTTCAGTCAGGCAAGATTAAACGGTTGTCGCTAAATCCTGATGCTCTCAAGTGGACACCTCTCATTTCTAGTCAAAGTTTGTTGGATGAGGAGAAAAATACTGCTAATGAGGTAAAATATCAGTTATAACTTATTAGTTAAATTGTTTCCTCTTTGATTGTCACCATCATTATCATAAACAATTTATTTTCTTTAGTTACTACTTTGCTGTTAAATTTGTGTTGAATTGTGAGATTTAGCAAACCAGCGTTTTAAACTCTTCAAGCTTTATTTAAATCCTCTGCACAAGTCACACTTCCCTGAAACCAAGCAAGTTATCCTTGCTTTAGTTACTGCTTCTGAAATTGATTAAAGATTTCTATTCTTTACCATTATAAATAAATAATTCATTAAAGGCACAGATGCTTCAGAAATAAATAAATTTTTACTTCATTAGAAAGGGCAAACATGAATTTTATAATGTTTAAATAATGGTTTTAGAGAATGTTAAATGCTTGTTACCTGAAATGAAAAATTAGCAATAAATGTGAAATAATTTGTTGTAAAAGTAGTATTTTGACTTCCATACAAAATACTTATTCACCATAATTATACTTATTGGTAAAAAAGCAAAAGATGAAATAAATAGTACATGTAATTGGCTAATGAGTAACTTTTTGGGTACTATAAAAGTACACCAAAGTTAAAAGGCCTTTCAGAATTAAAAATAAAAGCATTTCTGAGGCATGATGGGCCTTACACTGAACATATTTTATGTATTTGCATTATTTCCGTAGTGCTACATGTATACATGCATGTTTTTGCACTGAAATATTTATTCGAGACCATATTCACAAGTTTGGATAGAAAATGAAAACATTGTTGTGACCTGATAAAGAAAAAAAGAAAAAATTGTGATATAACTTGTACCATTTGTACTAGCAAATTAATTTGCTTTCTTATTTCAAGTTAGTAATGATTTTGTGAAACAAAGAATCATAAATGGTTGTTATTCACTTAAAACATGTATTTTTGACTTATTTTAAAATTAAATTCTTTGTTGATAGCATATTTATTTATTCAGATTTTCACATATTTTTCAGTTAAGAAAAATGTCAAAACTTGTGAGCAGTATGTCACACGAGTTCGGAAGCAGTCCCATAAAGAGCGATTTGGATGGATCATATTTAAGTCCTATCAAAGAGGTTGTTGAAGTTACTGACAGTACACCTGTGAAAACACCACCCTCACCAAAAGAGATTAAATTTCCAGTAACTATTTTTTGTCATTTTAGAATATTGTAATATACAAACATGATTTAGCTTGATTACAGCTAATTCATCAAAACTGCAACTTTCTCCTTATCCTGCTAAATTTGTGAATTGACTACTTGGCTTTGATTAAGTTGATTTAAGTACTATCCATCATAAAACTTAACACAACAAGCATGGTAGAGCATTGTTTTAAAGCAAGTAGCTGCAAATTCATTTGGATGTCAGCAGTTCAGTATTATTAATTAAATATGGCTGTTGGTCAAGATTTCTTTGTTTAACATGAAAATGGTTTGACTATTTTCTTAAACTTGAATGTTTAATTTGATCATATGTTGACATTTCTTTGAGTTTGTCATTCATTGAGTATGAATTCACATTGGTCACATAATGGAATTTATCTGAATTTTACAAAGTGAATTGTTCTTTTAAATTAATAAATTGTTACGTATAAATATACTGTATACGTTTATTGTATGTTTGATATTAAGTTTTGATTGTTCATCAGATTCGTAGGAAGCGTGGAAGAAAAAGAAAGAGCAGAAGCTTATCTATTGGAAATGATGACAGCAAGAGAACCAAGTATGATTCTGATGCTGAAGATGAAGGTAAATATTTATGAATGGTATTTGCTTAGAAGCTTTCTTGTTTCAATGAAAGTTTTTGGGAGTTTTCATTGTGAATTATCTGCCCTTGATTATAGCAAAAAAGTCCAATGCAGGGGCAGATATCTCAAAAATGAGGACAGTGACCCCCCAAATGTTTCTATTATTGTATTCTAACAACATGTCAAGTTCTAATAAATTCTATTGGACAGTTTTAATTTTGCCTTTATGTCTATATGAAAACTCCTGAAAATGTCCTTAAGTATTATATTGTCTTGTTTTTCTTTTAATCTGGACAATTCTTTATTTAACTGAAGGTTAAAAGGTGAGAAATGTTTTCGGCAAATATGCTATTATGTTGATATGATGAGAAATTAAGTTGCAAAATGATTTTGATTTATAAGAGATTATGTACCTTTAATCATTGTTGTTGAAAATTTGGCTCATTTCTTGTTTTGCAGTAACAGCTTATGTTTTGCAAATTTATCCCCTGCATTTTTCAAAGAATTTTATTATTAATTAATACTAATGATGGTGTCAATATTTTCAGATTCAGACAATGATGGTATAATGAACAGTACAAAGAATGATTCTCTGATCTCAAACTCCTCTAGAACTGACACTGAGACATCAGTGAACAGTTCTGCGGTTTACTCTCCAGCTCTCTTACCACGAAGAGCTAGGGGTTGGCCAAAGGGCGTTGCCAGAAATTCATTTAAGAAGAAAAAAATAGAAATTGTGAAAAAACAAAAGGTAGTAATAGTTTTAATTTTAGCTTTAATAATAAGTTTGAATTGATGGTATAAAAGTATCATGCATTGAATAAAAGTTTTGTTAAAAATTTAAAGTTAAATTTACAATTACATAACCACATCAGTCATTCCAAATATTTATTAAGAGAAACAATTTACAATTTTTCTTATAGTGTTGTTTTCTGTACAGAAATACGCTTAAGATTTATTTTCTAAAAACAATTGAGATATTGCCAAATAGCACATCTAATGAAATGATACGAAATTTGTTTTTTTAAGTAACGCCATTTTTCTCTTGTCATATTTGAAGATAATATTATTTATTTTACAGCCATTTGGACGTGGTCGCGGACGGGGTAGAGGTAAAAGACCACGAGGTAGACCAAGAATATATAGAAATGATGATGATCGTGACACCACTATTGATACAAATAGAGATGAGAATATGAGTGATCAGGATGAAGATTCTAATGAACTCAAAACTGACAATTCCAGGTACAGGGACAGAAGTGTTCCAAATGGAGAATTAAACCTCTCTAGTGACTCTTCATCAAATGACAGTGATAGTGAATTGGACACGAAATCTCTCAAATCATTGTCTCCTAGCTTGAGGAAAAATGCTCTGAGGAAAAGCATTCGTGTTGATTCCGATAAAGAGTCGGACAATGAACTTAATACTAGTGCTGAAATAAATGATCACAAGTCACCAATAAAAAACGACAATAGACTTGAAACATGTACAAACAAATCAAGTCCATCTAGCACGGAAGGTGTTCGAGAAAATTGTACACCAGAAGTTCCTACTCGTATTCCTAGTCCATTACAAGTACTGCCAGAATCAGGTTCTGAATGCATTTCAGACTCTATAAGTGATGATGTGCCTTCACTAACACCACAAATACCAACACCACATAGTGTTGACAGTCTAGACTGTCCAAAAAGTGTAGAGTGTACACCTGTAGAGGATTCACATTTGAAAAGTCCCAATTTTACATCCACACAATGTGCTAATGCTGAACAAAGTGACCCTACTCCTCAAGATAGTGATCAAAACATAAGTCAAACTACTCCGCAGCAACAACATGATCTGTCTTTCAGTGAATGTGATACTTTGACTTCAGAAAAAGATAAACTTAATGAGACATTAGGAAGTGATGCTGAACAAATACTAGCAGATAGTAGTGCTCTAGCTAGTCGCAGCATTGTGGAAGAAATGGAACAGCAAGATATGGAGAACATTGATGATGATGGTGATGAAATAGATAACAATTCTATGGGTGATATTCCAAGTGATGATAATTTGCAGGATTTTGATAGTGACACTTCAACACAGGAGGCTTTGCGAGCTACTGAAAATCTAGAGCAAGTGATAGCAGCAGAGTTGGAGAGTAGTTTAGAACAAACAGAGGAAAGTGCTGGCACAACACTTAACACTGAACCTCTTGTCCATCAGAGGGAAGACAATATGAACATGGAAAGTATAGCAAGTGTTGGCAGTGTTCACAGTCAGCATAGTGTTAATGTTCCTAGTGTAGAGCCACCAGTGCAACAAAATGAACATCCACAACCCAGTCCTCACCATCCACACCCCAGTCCACACAATATTGTTAGTCCACATCATCATCCAAGCCCTCATCAACCAGGACCAAGCCCACATTTACCTAGCCCACACCCACATCACACTCTCAGTCCACACCAGAATGTTAGTCCACAATGCAATCAAATTAATGCACAAATGTTCTCGGCAAACCAACAAATGAACAATATGAACAGTTCAAATCTAACTGGTAACCCTAGGTTTGGTAGTGATATAGATGTTAGTCAGCTAGCAGGGTTAGAATCTCCTACATCAATGAGCAGTACAGAGCTTCAGAATACATCTGGAGATGGAAATATGCAACAGCCATCTCAGCATCAGCAGCAACAACATAGGCAGCAACAACAACAAGCTATGGGACCCACCTCATTTTCTGACTGTGCTCAACAACAGCAGCAACAACAACAACAACAACAGCAACAACAAACATATAGTCTTCAGTTTAACAATAACCAGGTACCGTTGTCTTATAATTGTGGTACTTCTTATATGGACACTGTTAATTCTGCTATGCTTTCCAACACAGGCACATATATGCCTATTGTAAGTTCTGCACAGATGAATTTTATGGCTGCTGCTGCACCACCAAACAATTTTACTCAAGTGTTGATACAACAACAACAGCAGCACCAAAACCAACAATCTCAGAGACTTACACATAATGCAACACCATGTCCGCCAAATGTCAGACAAGGCAATCCAGTTGGCTTTGGTGGTCAAAACAGCTGTAGTTTAGCTAAACTGCAGCAGCTTACTAATGGAATAATGGATATCATGCCAGAAAATCAGATAACCCCACCTCCTCAGCTGACACCCCCTCCTTCAGTCAGTTTGGCTCCACCTACGTCATTGATGCGTACTATGCAAACTCCAAACCCGTCACAGCAGTCCATGCAGCAGCAACAGCAACAATTTCAGCAACAACAAAGGCAATACCAAAGACAAAAGTCTGGATCAGGATCTTCTTCAAATAAGAAAAATCAGAATATTGCACCTTCTGCTAGCCCTAATCCTAATGTAACATTCACTCCAAATATGGCAATACAACCAAATACGAACATGATTCCTCGTTATAATATTATGGACAGTTACAGAATGCAGCAGCCAATGATAAATACAAGTTATATAACTGCTAATCCAAGTTTCATTAATCAGCTCAGACAACCCATGCAGATGAGTTTCAATGTGAACCCAATGAATCCTATGAACCCAATGAATGCAATGAATCCTCAACAACATTTTCCTCAGCATATGCAGCCTCCTCAGTCAAACAATGTATACACAACATATGGATATATAAATGGACCTGGATTAAATATGAACATGAGAAGGTGATAATAACAAAACTGCTAGTGCTGAAATAGCTCAATTAAGTGTGACAAGTTTACTTATATGTGCTGCCTTTTTGTCTTTGAAATAAGAAGTTAGATAAGTTATTCTTATATTACTCTAATTCAATGTACTTTTTACCACAAAAAATAATGTGCAAGATAGAGACAGAATAACTATAGTATTGTACAAAATGTGGGCTGGTCTCAGAATATTAAAAGAGCATAGTAGTTTAATCCTTCATCTTTTCATTGTACATTTTAACATTACAGAATGTTTCTCAAATGACAGAACTAGACATATTTTTAAATCGTCTCATTAAAATATCATTTCATAATATGATTTTACTATTTATTATTGTAAAGTTCAGTAGTAGTGTAATATAACTCTATAAATGGCAGAACTGAACAATTTTATTAGTGTTGAGCTGGTTATTTTAATGTGACACAATAAAAACTGTACCAATGTGCTATGTTATCTAGTCGTGTTGTGCGGCTACTGTTCAAAAGTAAGCTGTAAATCACCTTTCAACTGTGCCACTTTGCCATTAGTATTAAATTCAGTTATCTCGTGCATCTGGTTGCCTTGTGTATATATTGTTACATTTTGTATATGTTGCCCGACCAGCATCTCACCGATGTAGACAACACTTAGGTTTTTTACGGCTTTTCAGACCTCATTCCATGCAATTTTTGTTTTATTGATGTAAAAGGATGTGAGGCAGATTGTCTATACAATGTATATATTCACTTGGTTGTTAAATGTACTAATGTGATACACAGCTACATTGTTAAATCCTTATTTATAGGGATAATTTATGGTTTCTATTGTGTTTTAGTTACTTTGTAGATTAAAAAATGTTTTGTAGTATTGAAAACAAGCAAGTTGACATATTTTTGTTTGACTACAGTTATGCATACAGTGCTTGCGTCTTTCTTATAATCAACCATTTGCTGGTACAGAGAATCTCGTGTTTTAGATCTTTTATTTCTTACAGCAATTCACCATTTTGACAAGAGTATGTTTGTAACATTTTACTTTCTTACCATTGCTATCATCCTTACCACCATCTTTCATAATTATATTTTTGTCTAATTTGTATATAATGAACTCCCATTGTGGATTGTGCATTTACTATTTAATTAAAAGAATAATTTGTTGAATTTTAAAGATGTCTTTGTTTGTTTTTTTAACCAAGCTCTGACAGAGTTTTTGGCAAATTGCATGTTGAATTATTCCCTATTTAGACCAAGAAAAGTTACATACATAGATACAATCGATTAAAAAATAGCATATTTACATTAGTAGGAATTTATAGCAGCAAACTTCATTCCAACTGAAGGACTGTTTATATATTATTCGTTGCCTGGTGACGTCAAGGAATCCTGCTCTGCAAGGTATTTTGTACTGAAAAAAATCAACAAGTACTTGGAGGCACTGTATAACTTTCCTTCTATACGCTATAAAAGGCAAGCAAATTGATATCTCCCCATGGTATAATAAAAACTACTTTATAGATTTAGGTACCACAAAATATAAAAGAAAATTAATTTGGTGCCTTAACTTACAGTTACACTGTTTCAATGCAAAGATCCTTGACCCGTCTAATTCTAATTATCAGATTAGTGGATACAATAAGAATTTTGTTTACAAACGATGTTTATGGTTAAATCTAATGTTATTCAAAGAAAAGGTCAGTGTAGGGATCTTTCAATTGCCACATAACTGATCAATGTTGAGCAAAATACTTTGTAGAGTACATACTTTTGAGAGAATTACAGGCAGCAGGGGATATAGTCCTGGTTTGTTCATTCCACATTTTTGTCTATAACTGGAAAATTATATGTATCAACTTAAAACTTTATAGAGGAATATATCTAATTGAGGAGTCTGTTAAAAATAATGTCGACTTCATAATTTTCGACTTGTTGCACTGCTATTTTTCATGCATATTTTTTTCCTAATAATACCTCGTATAATATTTGAGATATCAGCTTGAAAGGTCAGCGGTTAAAAGATCTCATTTAGGGAGTGCAGTTCACAATAATGATAAATCCACTTAATAATTATTGAGTTATTGCCCTTCATGAATATATTTTGCATAATTTTATTTGGATCATACTATTTGAAATATGAGTTTGAAATTTCACTATGTAGATTAGTGTCATTGGTGCTCAAGAATTGAAACGCATTACTTTATTATTTTGAAGTAATTGCTCTATTTCCTTTCTTGTCCAGACTAATTCAAAAGTTTAGAGATATTAAATTCAAACTTCATTGGAGGATAAATAGCAGTAAAATAGGAATTTAACGGGAAATGACAACTTGTCACATAAATTATTTTTATGCTTGGTTTGTAAAGACCATTAATATTTGAGATACCAATTTGCGGCTTCATAGGTTTAATTAATAGATTTCCTAAAAGGGTGCATAGCAAAAAAAACAGTCAATCTTCACCAACTAGTCGGGGATGGATAAAGTGGTGTTGCTTAAAATATACAATATGAAATCGCCAATGAACAATTTTAAAATTTACAGTATTTACATAAGATGAATATTTACAGTTCACTAATAACAAAAATCAACATTATCAATTAGTCTTTTCTATAATTATAAAAATGTTCTTTGTGGCAGAATAACTGATCGAAAGTGTTTTCTAATGTTTTCTCCAAAATAATTGTTTCGTTAGAGACCAATTTTACCAATTGAAATGTAGCAACACCAAAAAAATAAAATCTTCCTGATACAGAGATGATTTCCTGAACTTATTCCAGCATCCCACTCTGGAGGGAAAAAAACTATACAATCTTCCTACAACAGCAATGATGTCCTGAACTTTAAGCATCTCATCCTGGTGGAAGGTATTGTACATAGACTGGATCAAACTGGGATCATCCCACACGTCCAGCTGTTAAGGAAGCAGCTTGGTACCAAGCAAAAAACCAACTCCCTGACCTAAGGTCTAAATGTCTGCTTGTAAACTTATAGGCGTCAACAATTTGTAGTTAATTTAATAACATAAAACAATTTCCTCCTAACATGCAAAATGTGAAATAACTGATTAATAGTGACAATGTATAATAGAAGCTTTAACTTTAGAGGCCCTCAATAATGAAACTGTTACACATGCTAAAATGCTTGACTTTAAAAATATAAACTCCAATACATGTACTGGACTGATTTTAACCAAATGTAGATATTATTGAATCATCAAAAAGTACAAAAACTTGCCTAACATAATTCAATGAAAATTGATTATTTATTCGAAAACTAAAAGATGTTTATATTTTATGTAAAATTTATAATAGAGGCCCGTACATCAAATTTGTGTCATCTTAAATTGCCCTATTATATATGTCACAGGGTGAAAAATATGTGCAGTCTGACCAGGACTCGAACCCAGACCCTTTGGAATACTGTTCCGCTACTACCAAATGAGACATCCAGAGATAGGAAAATATACAGCAAATGGAAAAACTTAAAAGGGAATGACTGAGTTTATGAAAATGACTTGGCGAGATGTAGCCACATACAAAGTTAAAGGTATGTAACTAGAACGGTTTCAGTGTTATGTTCCAAAAGTGACTGACAAACGGCACCAAATCTATATCCATAAAAGCTATACATACAATGATGTATGTAATTTTGTCAAACTAATGGCTTGTTAACATTGATTACTGAAAAAGGCTTCAAGATCACCAAAAGCAAAGGGTCAAAATGATTCTCAAGAATTCAAACATTTGTATAAATGGACCATTGATCCTTAAATTGTCTGCTAAAGATAAAATTGCAAGTTCTTTACCTCTGTAGGATCTTTCTCAAGATTAAACAAATGGGTTTGATTGTCTCCATTAAGGACTACTGGTGCCCTACCAAGTTTCAAATTAATTTTTCATCTCTGAACAAAAAAGGTTAACTTGGGCCACCATTTATAGAAACTTAATAGGTACATGTATATCAAGTGCTTGCTCTGAGAAGCAATGTGCTCCATTTTTCTCAGTTCTGAATAGTTAAAACTAAAGAGATAATTTGAAGAAAAGATTACACAAACCTTTACCTTTTTTTATATGGCAGACAGAAGCATAATTGACCATCATACTTAATCCAAAATAAATAATGGTCATTTTGACCAAAAATGGGTATGGCAGGTATTACCAAAAACGGTGCAATATTGGCCAGTTTAATGTTTGGTTATCAGTTTTCACTAAGTAACTTTGACCTTTTGACATGAAAATGGGACTCAAGGTACATCTACATAGAAAATTTTTACATGAAAGGATGTGACTGAAAGAACGCTCAATGTGCATTTACATGCAATGCTGGAAATTCTAGGAACAAGTAATATTCCAAGTGACCTCTGGCCTGAAAGCAAGTGTTTCAAGGTGCATTCACATATAAAGATTCAATGCATAAGCTTCATAAGTATTGAAGTTAATGACCATTATCAAAAAAGATTAACAAACATAGTTGTTTTTGCGCCCCCTGCTTCAAAGTAGCAGCTTATTTCTCTGTCGTCCGTCACAAAAATTGTACGGACTACTCCTAAAAAAAAAAACTGGTCCAATTTCATCCAAACTACAGGAAAGAGCTGTCAAAGTCTAGTTTGGCATATCTTCCGCATTTCCAGTTAAGTGACTTTAGTCAGTTATGGCTCTTGAATGATTTTTATTTTTTTTAAGTTTACTGTTATACCAGTTATAGAATTTGAATGAAATTTTTAACAAGATTAATGGTACATGTAGTTCAAGTTCTTGATAGAGGAAATGACATGGGTTTTCCAGTGGAATGCCAAGTTATGGCCCTCCATCTTTGATTGTTCGATACCTCATGCAATTGCGCGTAAGAAATGGTTTTTCCAGTTGAATGATTTTTGGACGAGTTATGACCCTTAAATAAAAAAAGCATTTTGGCCTGTTATGATTTTTGTATCTCTACTACACAGTAGCTATATGATAATAATTTGCCACGGCATAAGGGGGGAAAAACACTGGTCAATCACTCCTTTATATAAATAACTGCTTAATTGGCTGTGTCATCAGGTGACGCAATGTGATCACTTTTGTCTTTGAAAATTTGATCTGAAAAAGTTTTGTCCTAAATTTTATACATTACATCTAATGATCTTATTATATAGGTTTTTTTAATGTATTACAATTAAGATGTCTGTTTATGAAACATAAAATATATGTGCATTTAAAATTCCCACTTTTTTCAAGGACACATTTAAGCTGATACTTCACAATGTATGTCATACAATATAAGAAGACAATAAACTCACAAGAATTTTGTACAAAATTTAATAAACCTCTAACATTTATTTACAACATTAAAATCACATTATTTCAATTAAAATCAACATTTAGAATAGAGAACACAAGATATAAGTTAAATGCTTTCACATCCACTCTCAAGTCTGAAGTTAACCAGTGAACTTGAGAGTTTCATTTTATCATAACATAATATCTTCTGTTCTACAATAAATGTTAACTTTTATATTATAAAACACATGGGACAGGAATGGATATTATACTGATTAAGACTAGAATATTCTGTATAACATTAAATTTGTAACATAATTCCAGAACATACACAACCTTCATTTTAATGTATTCCTGAAAGAACTTTGTATAGTATACTCAATTTTTATGTCTCATTTTAATACTGGGTATTTATTGTCATCAAACTGTCTGAGTTAAGAACAAATTAAAGAAAATCATTAAGAATTCACTTCCTTGAACTGTATTTAAATTAAATACATTTGCTGCTGATGAATTTTGATCGGAACATATTAATCTACGGGATGACAAGTTTATGTTAATCACGTGGAAGATTGACTTTAGATATGGCATCTTTGATGTCGTCCAGGTTTGCAAGATCACCAATAACTTTCTCATGGTGCTGGAACACTATACCTTGATTACCTGGACCTATCACAAACACGGCTGAAATGAAAAAGTTAATATTGATGAAATTCTGTATTATCATTATTTACCCTCAACTGTGAAATATGTGAAATGGATTTGCTCTGCATTTGAAGATATATCAGTAACAAAATACCTAAATTGAGCTTCCAACAGTATTAGGCTTGGTCGGACTGCACTGATGTCCAGGCTGGACAGGCTCTACACTGATGGCAAAGGCTAATCCCTTTCAATTCCAGCAGGTTAAAGATCCTGTAACTCATTTTTTTTATGGTTTTATATCATTTATATGATGCTCAAATTTAGATTTATCAATATTGTAAATTCCAAAAAGCATTATTTATAACAATAATACCAAATAAATAAAGGGAGGTAATTAGAAATTTATTGTCGATAAAGTCCAAGCCAAATTTTTCAAAAAGAAATGACTGCATATATTTTGATGATTACTCATAATGCGGCATAACAATCGCAATACATATTTAAGATATTCTTGGATGTTTGGAAATTGTTTTAGAAGAATAATTATATACATATATAAAATTTCACTTAAGTGTTTTTACATCCTAAATTACAACATACAGGATCTTTAAGGGTTTGCTGCATATGCTTACTTTATATTTACTACACCATTTTGTGAAAATAATTGGCCCTGCTTCAAATTTACACCTATCCATAGTTCAATAAAGGGATTTTAATATCAAATGCTGTTAAGCACCTTACAAAACAATCTGTATAGACTATAAGAGTGTTGACGCTAGTAAATCATTATGGTTGCTAGCTATGTTGGAAATACTCTAAATTATATGAATAGTTCCGTGAATTACCATGGTCTGTGTATGTAGAAGGAAATGTTAATAGAAATGTCAAACATGGTCTTAACTATATATGATTATTTACATTTTCTTGCATATCATACTGGATTTTCTAAAAATGGAAAATTTAAGATGATGTCATGATGGTATTGTCAATGAAGCTGTAAATCTTTATGGAGCTATAAGAAAAAGTGCCAAAAAAATTTTTTGTTTTCCTAATTTCTTTTTGAGCTATACAATGTAATTAATTATTTGAATTTGCAAGAAAAAAACAAATACTGGCTGTTGACACAGGCTGGGATATTAAGGGAAACTGTTTCAGCAGAAACTCAGTAGTCTTGTTACTGTCTTAAACAGTTATCCATGAGTCTGATGGTCTGGTCAGTACCTTCAGCTGGTAACTATAGCTTAAAATATACAATCCACAAGATTCATTAATCTAGTGCATAACTTTTAAATTAAAATATTTTTACCTCCTAAGAGTCGTCCTTCACCTTTTGAATTTCCTGGAGTTCCTTTACGGATTTCTTTGATAATACTGGCTAGTGTTTCGAAATTAAAAATTCCTGGAATATTCATCCATCTCTCTTGAGGGCCATAAAAATGTTTCTGAAATATGTCATTATGTTAGTTTTGTCAACAGTGTAAACATAATACAAATATAACAAGTATTGAATCATGTATTTATTTCTTTAAATTACTATTTAACAAGACTAACAACCGATTACTTCAGAAGTTTTATCTTCAAAATATATCGGAGACATTATATTACAATCAAATCTAGTGAGCATAGTCTCACTACCTTCAAACATTGGTAAATTTGCATACTTTCCTAGGAAGGGCTTAATCTAATGTTGCTAGAACTCGTTGCCCAACCCATTTGCTTTTTGTTATATATATACTCATCAATTGTATTACATTTGGCATGTATTTGATGCAACAAAATATGTTTAAACTAAACTTGCATGCTTTAATCATCATATAACACATATTAACACCACCTTCTATTGATAATTTTCATCCCCCAATTTTTCACAGGATTTATCATCCCAACACTTACACTTACACTATCTTCCCCTCTGTAAACCTTGTCTACTAACTTAGCACATGCACACAATTTACTATCATCTTACCTCAGGATCTAAATAAACATCTCCTTTAATGAATGATTTAAATTCTTCAGCACCAAGAACCTCATGCACTACTGCATGTAAGCGGATACCTCGGGCGTCCATCTCCTCTACAAGGGAGGACAAGCCCTGGGCTTCCTGAAAACATACAAATATATGTACCATCAATATTTTATACAAAATTGTTGGTGTTTTCAAAGACAGGAAACATTTACCAGAATAAAGAAATCGTCAGGGTGGGATTGCTTCATGTAGAAAGGTATGCTTTAGGAATCTTAATAATTATATGTTTTTTCAGCTTGGTGAAACAAGAAAAAGTGAAATGCCTTCAGAAGGGACATATATATAATAAAATTCATATAAACTAGAAGGGTAACCCTTCTAACATCAATGTTATTTAGCTAAACTAAACCTTATTAATACTAGTAGTATGATTGCATGGAAAAACTGAATCAACAAGAGCATTTTAATTATATTATTCTGCATCTATGTAGGTGTGAAACAAAGCCTAATTTATTCTGGAGATTTTTTATCAGTCCCAGACATAGAAGTCCTTTGAATCTTAAGCATCATAGAGGTCTTCTTCTGGACACTGGCATTTATCCATTGATTTTGAAAACTATGCATCATAATGTATCCTTAAACAACAAATAAGAAAAGGAGAAAAAGTTAATAAACAACTGACCGCTCTACATAAAGATCATCCTGGTCTACGGACAGCCATTACAACTGCACCATTTCTCTGCCACAACTCTTTGGCCTGCAAATATAGGAAATAAATACATACTTTTAATTGTATACTATTATTTTATAAATCTCAATAAAGCACTGTTTCAAATTTTGTAATAATCATACAGCCTAATAATATGTAAACATTTTAGTCTTTCAATTGAGTATGCAACTTTAAAGATTATCCAAACAAATAATTTTGTACTTACACTAAAATTTGTTTTTTTCCCATCAAGAGTTTGTAGTTTTGCAGCATTAAGGTAATCCAGGGTGGCTATCTGTGGTTTGGCAACAAGCCAAGGAGATACATTACAGATAAGTGCAGCCCCTGCAGCAACACCTGCTGCACCAAGGAAAAAACGTGACATCAAAACAACTGTGATGATATCCACAATATATTCAATAAGCCACTGCCTGAAATCACATAATCAAGTTTAACATGAAAAATACTTATCAACAAAAGCTTCATTAATTAGAAACACAAGTTAAAAGTCTTCTGAAAGGTTAAATAAAGTTGCCAAATGGCTTTAATGCCTTGGTTAGTACTATATGCCACAACAAAGCCTTTTTATATAGGGGAGACTGGGGTACTCTGGGACATTGGGCACTGTGGGACTATGGGATTTTTTGATAGCTTTTGTTCTTTGATTTAAACCTGATTCATGCAGATGATTGATCTTGTCAAGCTTCTTTCCCTACAAAAGTTTTATGGCGGAAATTGAGTAAAAATCAGTCTGGTGAGTACAATGTACTTTTCACCTTTCAAAGTGAAATTCTAAAAATGACAAATATTGTTTTCAAATTCTTCCATATTGAATACTTATTTGTATCATATTAGTAAATGATAATGTGATAAACATTGCCTATATTTTCTGATTTGAAATAAATCTTGGTTTGGTTGTCTTTTTAAATTATTGTCACATAAAAATTGTGGGGGTAGTTGGCACAGTATATAAACGATTTGTACCCCAACCGGATCTTGTGAGAAGATCTCAACATCAGTTCAGTACAAACAGGCGGGGTGACCAATAAAACTTTTTAAGACGGCCTGCATTTAATCTGAGATGGTTATAAACATTTGAATCATATTAAGAAATATTTTTTCTTTGCTTATAGATACATTTATATCCAGCTTCTTTTAATTAATGCGCATAAAATGCTTTGCTCTTCGCTTCGTGTTTTGTTTATGGCAACACACGCCGATTACACAAGCAAATTTATGCCTAAAATTGTTTTATTTCACTATAACTAATATCTGAATCTTAATTTTATTGTCTAAACTTGTCTTACTGCACAGACACTTGTGTGGATATCTTTGGATATTGATAAAAACACAGTAAATAATAGAGGCGAACATTCTGATAACTGTACCCGTTTTGCTAAAACAATTTTAATGATCTGTACCCTACTTGTGTTTTCACTGAACCATAACTTGCGAGTCACTTTTGATGATTTTTTTTGTTTTTGTCCTATGTTCCAAATTATATCTGGCAGAATATGAAGTTATTGTGTCACAAGAGCATGACACATCTTTTAGTTCTATATAAGTAACCAATACTGCACATGAATGGACCTTCATCATGTTCTCACTTTCCATGGAAATACAAGCATGAAGTAGCTTGTAATACGAATTAGAAAGAAAATTATTTCTTGACAGGAATTATCAACCAACAAATCTTATCTTCATTTACCATTCATTTTTCTTTGAAAAGATATAAAGCTAAGATATAACACAAGTACTATAAACGTTTCTACTATTAAGTTCAACTGCATTGTTGTTATTCTTGACGTGACCGTTATATAACGCCACATATCAATCCATCCTCCTCGAAAGATCATCACAGGATTACTTATTTCAACATGTTGAAAGCTTTACACGTACCGTTGATTTCATTATGCTTTTTGAGACACGGTTTTATATTCTCATAAATGCCTTGAATTTCTATTTCTTACATGCGCGACTAGGATCACTCATAATAAATCATTTTAAGGAGTTTCCTGCATATTGTTGTTAAATGTGTAAAAGGTAGTTTTCACTCTTGCAAGTTTATTTCCACTTTAATATTTTTAAATAGTTAACAGTCTTGCCAGTGTCTAAGACAACCTGTTAGTTTTCTTTTCACACAACTTGAAAAGTTTATCATTGGCTATCATAAGTGATCTTAAGTCAAAAGATATATATAAATCCAGTTCCTTTCTATAAATTGCCATATACATGTATTTCAGATGGATTTGGATGAATCATTTGTAGTTGAGGGTCTTGACAGTAGCTTTCGTGTAACAAACATTCCCCTGAAAACACAACTTAAATGTGGGATCTGTGGAATAATTTTGACTCCAAGTTTTAACTTAAACTCTTAGTCATCTGTACTAAAAAGTAAAAACGTATCTTTTGTCGATATGTGAACATCTTTAACAGGCGTTTTGATTTTTTGACATTTCTTAATTGAAGATTATTTTTCAAGTCCTTCTTGTCTTGAAACTTTTACTGTTTTTGTACATGTAATATCATTTGCTTTTAAAGTCCTTCTTTTATTTTTTTCAATTCTTACGTCTTTGGAGTATGATTTTAATTTTTAATGTTTATGTTATTGTTGTCAAACTGAGAAATTGTTATTTTTAGCTTTTGTTCTTATGTCATAATTGTGAACAATAGTGTTTCCGATTTTTTTTAAGAGAAAGGGGCAATTAAGACAACTGAATTCTTCCATTTTGCCTGTCAATAAACAAATAAATATGTTAAATGATAAACGTTCTCTCCATTAAATCTTTTAAAATACTCACAAGTCAGGGTACAGATAAAATTCGTAAACTCACAAGTAGGGTTCACAATCACCAGCAAGTAACGTTCAGTTTATGGAATTGACCTCCTTGGTTAAACTCTTAATTTAATGTTCAAAATACAGCAATATTTTTTGCAGATGACTAAATTATCGTTTGTTATTGATTATTTTAGTAGTTCGATATCATAATTCAATGTTTAACTAAACAAGAGCCATGTCAACATGGCCATCCCCCGCCGAATGTGTTTGCTCATTGGAAGAATGTATATGTAGTAGAGCGGAATAATTCCATTTTAAGAGGTCTTTTGGTAATGAAAACTGATGGCTATAGTGATTACAGATTTGAAACCTATGTGAATACTGATGGCTGAAAATAACAAAGGGCAATTACTGAAAAATAATGCAGGGTAGGTTATCATTCTTGTGTGCTGCATCCCTCCTCAGTAAAATCTATCCACCTATGAAGTTTCAAGTTGATACCTCAAATACTTTTTGAGATAAGCTCTGGACAAAATAGCATGAAAAAAAAAAGGGCAATAACTCAAAAATTGTATAGGGAAGAGTTATCATTCTTGCGCACAACATTCCTCCTCAATAAGATCTATCCACCTATGACATTTCATGTTGATATCTCAAACACTTTTTGAGTTATGCTCCACTCAGGTGAAAAATTAGGTATGAAAAATAACAAAGGGCAATAACTCAAAAATTATGAAAGGTAGAGTTATCATTCTTGTGCACTGCACACCTCCTGAGTGAGATCTATGCACCTATGAAGTTTCATGTTAATATCTCATAGGCTTTTGGAGTTATGCTCTGGACAAAAATCAATTTTGAAAAATAACAAAGGGCAATAACTCAAAAATCATGCAAGGTAGAGTTATCATTCTTGTGCACTGCACTCCTCCTCAATGAGGTCTATCCACCTATGAAGTTTCAGTTCGCGAAGTTCGATTATTTTATAGCTTTAATGCTAACATTTATATTTTGCATAACTTAAACATTTAATAAAGTTTCTCTTCTACGATATAAACAAAGATTTACTAACCTAACGTCCATAAGTATCAATATAAATTACCAATATATTAAATAAGTCAAGCTTCAGAAAATGGCTGACACATCTTCTCACAAGATCCGGTTGGGGTTCAAATCGTTTATATACTGTGGGTTGGGTACTCTGGGACAGTGGATTCAGTACACTTTTGGACACTGTCCCAGAGTACCTCATTCTGTTACAGATCACCGGTACAGTCTATTGTTGTTATATAAGGTATATTAGACTTACATTTTATGCAGGGTAGACTTTGATAATATCTTATAAAATCTATTTATGATAATTCCTTTGCAGATAAATCAATGTTATCTTCTACAAAGTCTAATAGACTAAGCCTATGCTTTACAAAAATCTTGATGTATCAAACATGGATATACTAGCCATCACAAATGGGGGGGGGGGGGGGGGGAGGGCTATGACGGCGTTGCCGTTCGCCATTCTTGTTGCCATCTGCAAACTTTAATCTTGATTGTAAGTTTTAAGTTCTAGATGTATTGGTTTCATACATGGCCACAACAACCCTTTAAAAGACCTTCAAGTAGACCAGACTTTCCTTGACCTTCATTCATAAATGATCTTAACCTTCAAGATCAAATGTTTATTTTTTTGCAGATTTTTGCTAACGGTGGCTATAATTTTGTAATTTTAATGGATTGTCGTCAATCTTCAAACATGATAACTTTTTAGGATAGACCTTCAAGCTCAGCAGATAAACCTTGACCTTCACTTATCAATGACCTTGACCTTGAAGGTCAAATTATTTAAATTTTCTTCCTTTGCTGTAAGTGGCTATAACTTTGTTTTTCATGAATGGATTGACTACAATTATTATGACACAACATTCTTTTGGATTAGACCTTCATGTGTATCAAACTCAAATTGACCTTTGCTCTTTTATGACCTTGACCTCGACAGTTAGATTATTGCACTTTCACAAATTTTTGCTATAGATGACTGTAACTTGGTAATTTATAAATTAATTATCTTCATGTTTTGGCAAAACAAAATTTTGGACAAGAACTTTTAAAAGGTTGAACTGACCTTGACCTTTAAATGACCTTGACCGTCATGGACAAATTATTAAATTTTGATTGTCATATTTTTTTATTATGGAAGAATTTGATTCATATGTGGACATAATCAACACTTGTGATCATATGTTCTTGACCTTGACAATGAACGTCAAATGAATGAATTTAGATAATATTTTCCTAACTTTGTCATTCATTTATGGAATAGATTCATGCTTGGACAAAACAAGTGTGACTTTACGCACCTATCAAAATTAAAATAAAAATAGAGAATTTTCAACAGAATTCCTAAAAAGCCTAACACAGCAAAATTGAAAATATTGCAGGCTCAGTTTGATTGAGCCTGTATATAAACAGTAATGGAAAGTGCAATTTACCGCCCCCTCCACAGCTTAAGCAGAATTCTATATTTAACATGCAATGGAAAAAATTTAGATTTTTGAAACAACCCCAGATTCTCATTTCCAGTAATTTTTTACATATCAACAGAACTGTATCAGACTGATACAGTTGATATGTTAAAGAAACAATTTGTTTATCTTAGAGTTTAACTTCAAATTAAAATATCTGCCAAGGTCTAGTCAGGTTTTTTTAACATGATACATGATGCTGTGTTGCAATAGTGGGAAATGTTGTTGTTGTTTTTTCATTCACTAAAATCTGAGACTGTTAATTACCATGTATTGTCTGACAATATTGACTTAATCAATTAAATAATAATGACAACATATGAAATATGGCAAGATTGAAATGGAGCTTTTTTAATTTTGGCCAAATTTGACATAAATGTTAAATACAGCTTAAAGTTGATATACAATGTAGATCTATAGGCCTATAAAGATTTTTTCTATTTACACTAAAATGTCCCTTGAATGTTTTGAAGTTTGAGCATAGGTTATAAAGAAATTCTCCAAGATCAAACTCAGATCTCGGGTATTTAACTGGTCAGAAACTGCCACTGAACTGCTGAATGTACACTGACCAGTGAAAAATATGAAATTTGAGACAGAACTCGGGAAATTTTTATAAACTCGATGCCTGGTTTGTCCAATATACACGGACCATTTTGAAAAAGGCAATCAAATTGCGTGACATTCACACAGAGATGAATAGAAACGTCCCACATGAAGATCATTTCATACAAACCGGTTAACCTTATGTCCTTATGCAATTCACTTTTAGCGCAGCCTGGTTCTTGTGAATTTACAGGTAATGTCTTATCTACCTATGAGGACAGGGAACCAATGATACAACCATCATTGGCATCATTCAAGTTTCTTTCAAAATTCATCAAAAATAAAAAAAAACTTAGAATAATAACACATTTCTTAGATTGATTAAAAAATATTAGAAAAAAATATGATAGAATCCGCCTTACATGTGTGTAAAAAGGCAAAAACACGAAATTCTCTCCTGTCCGTTTGCTTTATCTCGCACTTGCTATCATTAACGCCAAAGTCCGAGGTCAACCGAAATATTTACTTCGCGTAATATTTGCATTCCATAAAAATTGCTATATACACCGGTTTGTGGGCGGGGTTATGCCTTACTAATGGTAACAGATGCTGCCGATGCTAATACAACGATTCAATCAATGTAGAAATGTCGGAGAAAAGATTTGAGAATCAAGAAGACGGATACGGGTTTGTGCGACCTAATGATTTTGATCATACTGTTTACAATGAATTTACTTCGTCTTACCTTCCTGTGTTGACAAGAAGAGCTAGTAGGTGGCAGCAAGTAGTCGGAAACAAGGCAACTGTCACCAAATCAGCAACAGTAAAACGATTTTGTAGGAAAGGTATTCCATCGGCTGAACGTCCCACAGCATGGCTGCATCTTAGTGGAGCCTATGACAGGATGAAGAGCAATCCTCATCTATTTCAACAAATGCTCGATATGGAACATAATAAAGAACTTGTGGATACCATCAACATGGATATACATAGAACATTCCCTGACAATAAGCATTTTGCGGACACTCGAGCTGCTACAAATTTGAGAAAGCCTTTATTCAATATTTTGATAGCTATAGGACACAGAAACAGGACAATAGGTTACTGTCAGGGGATGAATTTTGTGGTGGGCTTGTTGCTGCTTGTTATGAAAAGTGAGGACAATTATGAAGAAAAAGTTTTCTGGCTTATGGATACATTAATCAACAATATTTTACCAGATTATTATCACCCTGACATGCATGCTGTCAAACTTGACCAGGAAGTTCTTGGTGAACTTGTCAGATGGAAAGCACCAGATATTTACCATCATCTTGAAACACAAGGTTTATCATGGTGCCTTATTGGAATGAAATGGTTTATCTGTCTATTTGCTGATGTCTTACCAGTAGACACCGTCTTGCGTATTTGGGACTGCCTCTTTTATGAAGGGCCAAAGATTTTGATGCGAGCGTCTCTAGTCATTGTTCTCAATAACAAAGATAGAATTTTAAAGACTACAGATTTTAGTCAGGTTACAGACTTGTTCAAGGAAACTGTTGTGGGTCAGGAAAGTCTTCACTGCCATCAATTTTTAAATAGTATGTTTAAAAGTATTGGATCTTTACCAACAGCTAGAATAAATAAGATAAGACGTCTTTGTGAAAGCAAGGTTTCATAACTTGAACACTGAAGGGTTCAGGCTGTAAAATAGCTGTGGTTAAAGGGAAATATAGTTAATGATGTTTATCTGTCAGTGGTTTGCAATTTAGAATTGTTGATTAATTATATAGAATATTTTCTTGGTTTAGGTGTCAATAATTTAGATAGACCTTTTCATTTGAATATACTAATGGCTATACATGTCTGTATACTAAAAGGGTATTTTTTCAGGTAACACCCAGTCAATTAGATTATTTTCTTAATTTTGTGATTCATAGATTAAATATGTATTTCACCACTTTGTCACAATAATATATTTTTCAAACTTCTGTAAATCAATATGTTCTAAATTTGGTTGCATGAAGTCATTGTTAAAAATATTATCTGATTTCACCGTTTTCAGTGTACTTGTATTGTATTCAGATAATCATGTGAGCTCTCAAATTTCATTTAATCTGTTTACTAGATACTATATACCAGTACAATGTCTTTTCCATGAGTCATTTTATCTTAACAAAGAACTTTTTCTGTAACTTAAAAAAAAATCAAGGGAAACCAACCTATTAGCTATTACCTCCCTTTTATACTAAGGTAAAGTTTTAAACTATTTTTTTACAGCAAAACAATTTCTTTTCTCATCCTTTCAAGTTCTATCAATGTGATTATCTGAACTTTTTAATTGCTCACCTTAATTTTATTTAGTGTAAGTATTGGAAATGAAGTATTTCAATTTGGCCTCCCAGTATGTTGATTCTTTTTTTTTGACACTCAGGGGTTTATTTATTTATAGTGATGATCACAGAGTTGTTTGCTATATTTTTGTTTTGCTTAATTTATGTGTAACATGATAATTATGTGCTTTATGATCAATGTGTTTATTTTGTATTTTTGCTGTCAGATGTTTTTGGCAAGTATACTCATCTTTGTTTTACAGATATTCATACTGAAACACTTTATAGTTACAAATAATTAACGTTACTTTGTGACCCCCAAATCATTCTTAATACTCTTTTTTTTTAAAAAGCAAGTATACTTAAATACTGTAAGTGAGTAAGAGTATATTGTAACAAGTAAAGGTTTGTAGGTATTTTTAATTGATTTTTATTATGTAATATTAAATTTGTTTGCTTGCACATTGTATGTGTTGGGTAATATTAATTAATATAAATTATAGGGATACGTTGACAAACAGGTGTAAATGTGATGTAAAAATATGACTTGATTTATTCATATACATGCACACTCGCATCACATGAATATATATATATGGAAGTCATCCTAATTAATATTGTAATACCTCTGTATTAACTAGTTCATTTATCATGTGTCAAGTTTTAATTTTTTTGTCATGTGTCAAGATTTAATTTTATCAGTATCAGTATATGTTGTGTTTGTTTTGCTTTTTAAAGTTGTGATTCCAGTATTTTAATTATTTTGTTTTTACATTTTTATTAAGCTTGTATGAACATATCTGTCATATTTTTTTAAAATTATTGTTTTAGTCCCTAAACATATCAAAATAATTTAATACTCATATTTTTGCATAATCTTCTTATCATTTTTTTTGTTTGCTCCTATATAAAAATTGCTGTAAAACATATCTTCCCTTTTTGGTCAAAACCCCCCTTTGGGGATCAAAGTAACCCTTCCAAAGGACTAATGGAAGTGGAAACTTTCTTTCATTTTCTATTTTATTTTTTGGGTATTTCCTAAAAAACTCCCTTCATATCATATTTTTTGTTTCCCTCATTCTGCGTGTCTTAAAAGCTTTTAAACTAAAAAAGAAACAATTATCATATTTGGATATGAAAATAGTCAGGGGAACAGTACAAGCCTGGTCAATTTCATGGAAATGCATCCCGCCTGGTTTTATACCGGTTTTAAAAACAAAAAATTTTGGTTTTAGCAGGGAAAAAATTTTTTACCCTTTTAGTTCAAAGTTGGGGTTTTTTTTACTTCATTTTATTTTTTTCTTTTTTTTGGGTTTTTGTTTTAAAATCGAAAATAATAACATTTAGGAGACACACAGAAAAACATAAAATTTTGTTTACAAAACCTGGGTGCTAATAATAGACTTTAGTAGTGCTGTTAATGTATTTAGGCTACACGTGATATATAAATACTAGTACAAGAATACTGTTAAAGAGCTGCAGAAAACCATGCCATATCAACATCACACTCTGCATATATTACATGGAAAAAGAATTCATTGCCACCATGTAAATACATAGGAAACAAGGGTGCCATAGTCACAAAATACGCCCGTTTACGAAAGCTTTAGATGGAGATGGGGGCATTATGGATAAGTGTTATCTAGCAAGCAAGTTTTTATTCTTGGCACTGTGTTGTTAAATGAACCTTAAAACAAATCAGTAGGGAAGATATGCACAGGATGTGTGACCTTGACCTTGGTCGCAGGGACCTGAATTTTATGCAAGGCACTCAGCCTCACAATGATGAACATTTGTGCCAAATTATATTGAAATCCCTCTATGCATGTAGAAGTTTGGCTCCAGACAAGCGTTTTTCTATTTGCTCTAACTGTGACCTTCACCTTTGACCTAGAGACTTGGTTCATGTGCAGGGCACTACGTCTCATGGTGGTGAACAATTCTATAAAGTAACATTAAAATTCCTCCATGCATGTAGAAAATATGCTCCGGACAACATCTGGATATTTAATCATCTCCACTGACCTTGACCTTGAAAATATTAACCTAAATTAAATGTGTCACACCTGTAGTCATGATAGTTACCATTTGTGCTACAATCCATCAATAAATGATGACTAAATGGTCCCTATACACATCTTCAAATTTTTATCTGAACTTTGACCTCTATGTGTAACCTTGACTTTGGTCGCAGGGATCTGAATTTTGCGTGCGACACTCAGCCTCACAATGGTGAACATTTGTGCCAAGTTATATTGAAATCCCCCTATGAATGTAGAAGTTTTGCTCCGGACAAGTGTTTTTCAATGAGCTCTAAGTGTGACCTTGACCTTTGACCTGGAGACCTGGATCATGCATGGAGCAATACATATCATGGTGGTGAACATTTCCATAAAGTATTATAAAAATTCTTCCATACATGTAGGAGATATGCTCCAGACAAAATCTGGATATTTCACCATCTTTAGTGACCTTGACCTTGCATATATTGACCTAAAGTACATGTGTCACAGCCGTAGTCATGATAATGACCATTTGTGTTACAATCCCTCAATAAATGATGATTAAATCGTCCCTGTACACATCTTCATATTTTTATCTAAAATTTGACCTCTATGTGTGACCTTGACCTTGGCTGCAGGGACCTGAATTTTGTGCGCGACACTCCGCCTCACAATGGTGAACATTTGTGCCAAGTTATATTGAAATCCCTCTATGCATGTGGAAGTTTTGCTCCGGACAAGCGTTTTTCAATGAGCTCTAAGTGTGACCTTGACCTTTGACCTAGAGACCTAGTTCATGTGCGTGACATGGCTTCTCATAATGGTGAACATTTCTATGAAATTTCATTAAAATCCCTCCATGCGTGTAGGAGATATGCTCCGGACAAAATCTGGATATTTCATCATCTTTAGTGACCTTGACCTTGTATATATTGACCTAAATTATATGTATCACAGCCATAGTCTTGATAATGACCATTTGTGTTACAATCCCTCAATAAATGATGACTAAATGGTCCATATACACATCTTCATATTTTTATCTGAACTTTGACCTCTATGTGTGACCTTGACCTTGGACGCAAGGACCTGAATCTTGCATGCGACACTCCGCCTCACAATGGTGAACATTTGTGCCAAGTAATATTGAAATCCCTCTATACATGTGGAAGTTTTGCTCCGGACAAGCATTTTTCAATGAGCTCTAAGTGTGACCTTGACCTTTGACCAAGAGACCTGGTTCATGTGCGCGACACTGCTCCTCATAGTGGTGAACATTTCTATGAAGTTTCATTAAAATCCCTCCATACATGTAGGAGATATGCTCCGGACAAAATTGGACGCCGCCCGCCCGCCCTGCCCGCCAGGGGCGTTCCCATAATACGTCCCGTTTTTCAAACGGGCGTATAAAAAATAGGACATGTTAATAAATGTTTTAATGGTATATGAGTAACATTCCTTGATGGGGCATCATAATGCAGTAAGAAATGAAAATTCAGTCACAAGATGTCCCTGGTTCAGTTGATGAGATATTTAACTAGATCCATGAATCATAATTATACATTTCTGTTTTGCTATTATTGGTTTATAACTACATGTGCAATGTACTGGCCAGTAACAAGGTATTATAGAGTTGGTGGTAACATTCTTTTTTATATATGTACATCAATGATGCTTTAATAATATGAACATTTCTGTTTGATGTAAGTAACAGATGTTCAGTACAATTATACACAAACATTACTTATTGTAAAGCCGTAAAACCATTTTTGGTCAAATTACCATTATGAATAATGTGGTATATTATAATTACATGTATTCACTGTATTGATATTACTGACGATTTAACACTCGTGCTTTTTAGTAGATATTGTACAATGTCTCAATTTTCACTTTATAAAATGTTAAAACATTATCATGCTGGTCATATCAATTAAACATTTAACAAAAGTATCTTATATGTTAGTCTTCTGTCAGTCTACCAATTATGTCCAAGTTTTATTAAAGTCTTAGTTTTCTCAACCAAGAACTCGAAACATATAAATTTTCAAAAATGGTAGGAACAATTACACTCTATTTATCCAACTGCCAAATTTTCCAGTTCATTTGAATCAGCTGTGAAAGGACTCTGGGTTATCAGTATTGGCAAAATATTACAGCATACACATGTTAGGAACAGTGAATATCACCCTGATTTTTTTCTAAACATCATTGTGTTTTCTAACAAGTATAAAATCATTACCAGGTACTTTATTGATCTGCTTGAAAAATGAATTGTTTATTCTCAAATAAAGATATCGCATATTAAAAGTACTAAGTAGGGACATCCTAGATAATGATACAAATTAACATGATATCAAGAAGCTTAAAAGATTGGAAAGACTTTGAAAATCATTTTTCTACAAAAGTCCATTACTTATACAAGTCTATGACAAATATAACCCCAGTACAGGAGCATATCTGACATTATTGGTATTAATTTAACTTTTTTAGATGCCACATAAAAGATTCAGAGCTTGAGACTTTTTAAAAGCTTTTTATGTAACTTCATAGACCCCCAAAACCATTTTTCAAATGAAACCTGAACAACTCCATTATAAAATTATCTAGCTTTTCTTTTTTTACCTCCCTTTATTTTCATAATGCTCTGAAAAAACAAATGGTTAAGCACAGAGACAATTTTCACCTTATGTTCATGATTCATATGATAAGGATAGAGATATACAAAGTTATGCCATATCTGTATGGTACAGGTTTTTTACTTACAGTTAATACCGTATTTTAAAGTTGTTTTTTTTTTGTTTTGTTGCAAAAGCAACCAGAGTGCAACTAAAGTTCTGCAAGGAATGGAATTATTTGAACATACCTGGCAAGTTTTATCAACATTAGCTCAGTGGTACCAGATATGTCATTATAAAGCAAACTGTAAACAGATAAATGTCAGAAAAGGCAGTAAGAAGTCCCAATAAAAATGTAGTTATCCACAACAATTATAATTATCTGATACAATGTAAAGATGATATATGACACAATTCTTAATGCCTGACAGAATGTTAACATGATATCTGACATAAATTTTGACATTTTACCTGAAACAATATTTAATTTGTCATCAATGTTTAACATTATACCTTACACAATGTTTAACATGATATATGAAATTATGTTTAACATCATACCTGGCACTGTATTCAACATATCTAACACGATGTTTAACATGACATCAGACTCAATGTTTAACATGACATCAGACTTAATGTTTAACATGATATCAGATGCAATGTTTAACATGACATCAGACACAATGTTTAACATGATATCAGACTCAATGTTTAACATGACATCAGACTCAATGTTTAACATGACATCAGACTCAATGTTAAACATGACATCAGACTCAATGTTTAACATGACATCAGACACAATGTTTAACATGACATCAGACACAATGTTTAACATGACATCAGACACAATGTTTAACATGACATCAGACACAATGTTTAACATGATATCAGACACAATGTTTAACATGACATCAGACACAATGTTTAACATGACATCAGACTCAATGTTTAACATGATATCAGACACAATGTTTAACATGACATCAGACTCAATGTTTAACATGACATCAGACACAATGTTTAACATGATATCAGACACAATGTTTAACATGACATCAGACTCAATGTTTAACATGACATCAGACTCAATATTTAACATGACATCAGACTCAATGTTTAACATGACATCAGACTCAATGTTTAACATGACATCAGACACAATGTTTAACATGATATCAGACACAATGTTTAACATGACATCAGACACAATGTTTAACATGACATCAGACACAATGTTTAACATGACATCAGACACAATGTTTAACATGACATCAGATGCAATGATTAACATGACATCAGACTCAATGTTTAACATGACATCAGACTCAATGTTTAACATGACATCAGACACAATGTTTAACATCCTACGTTACTCATTATTCAACTTATTATCTTACACAGTGTTTAACATGATATCTGAAACTTATGATAAATGATATCTGATTCAATATTGAATAAGAAACCTGACTCAATGTTTTCAACATATTTGACTCAAAATTTATGATACCTGACACAATATTTAACACAACATCTGAAACAATATGATCTAAAATGATATCTGACACACCATGATGTGTAACACTATGTATAAGCACGTTATCTGACAGTGTTAAACATGATACCTGCCACAGTGTTTAATATAATATCTGCCCAACATGCCACAATTTTAACATGATACCTAATACGATGTTTATGATATCTGACACAGTACTAGAATTTAATTTCATCCAAGAAACACATCATCTTTCAACTTTTAAATAAGTTTTTCATCACACTAGCACTCATTTATTTGTATTGTAAACAAAGAAAAGCTATAAAAATATTCAGACATTTATTATGAAAGTCAAACTTTGGATAACAGCATGATAAATCAAATGACAAACTGAAATAAGAGACATCTTTTGTATAACATTTGACAAATTTCAATATATTCTTAATGTTCAAATGATTCCGACTCACTTATATCAAGCATGTCAAGAGGTTCTGTTGTATTCAAGGTGTGTGTGTCCATCTATGAAATTCAGTTCATATCTTAGAGTTAACACACTCCAGTGAGTATTTCGGGTAATCATATTTTATAATAAGTAAAGTTTTTATAGTGAATAAAAGATGTCAGGAGGCTGCTATCTGTGACAGAGGGTCCTCTAAGTAAACAGCTAATGCTTCAGCCTGAAATAAATATATCATCACAGTAAAATACAATGTTTTTTTAGCATACAAATACAATGCGACATTTCTCACCTATTGTAACTGTGAAATTAGAGCTTTTGGCAAGTCTTGGTTGATTTGCTATCTTATTCAAATTAATGAAAATGAACACATGTGTAATACCTACAATATAGTTTGTAAAAATATGCCATTAATTTCTTTCTATGTTTTTATTGACAAATTTGAATGCTTTTATGATTATAACTTGCATACTCAGAAGAAATTTACTTCCAAATGTATAATTGTAACTTGCTAAACAATTCTTGTGTTGGACATACAACAATGCAATAGAAATAACTTTATTTCCAATCGTCACAGATTACATAATATACATTTAACATGCATCAGGCGGTAAAATGTGAATGAAAAGCAACATATATATTTAGTATAGGTAACAACATGATCAAAAATAGTCTAAATATATTTTGATTTTAGTGTCTCTGTATTTGATGGGGGAAAGTGGACAATATTTCAAGTACAATGTAGTTATTTAAAATTTACATTTGAACACATTTGAAGTATTGTAAACATTAACTTGTAATTAAACATTAACATTACTAATGAATTTTTCTGAGAGATATTATGTGTACTGAAATTGCTTACCTATGTTAAACAGTAATCATTAAACTCTACCAATTTTTAAAGACCATTAAACAACGTCCTAATGCATAAATTTACAAGATTCAACTAAGATACAAACCTTTGCTTTCAACATTCCAAATCCAACATTTTCTTTACAACACAGACATAAAAGAAGATTGGCAACATGTGTGATGGCTACTTTACCCTCCTGTAAATGGTAAAATGAAAAAAAATCATTATCAAGAATTGTTTGTAAAACTTTGCATTACATCAACAATAAAAAAACTAGAAATCATGTACAAGTGACATAACAGCCTAGCTACTGGTTGATGACAGGTATAAGATTGTTAAAACAATACCACCACTATTTTTTTCTTACGTTTAATCTGAAATTACATGACTGTACTTTAATTTTACACTTTGCACTGAATATTTGATACTGATACTTATTGTTTTCATTGAAAAAGCTTTAAGATTTCATCTACAATCTCTTGGTTCCATAAAGTATAGGGTTAAGAGCCAAAGTTTGCAAGACATATTCACCTCACAGTCAAGTAAGACAAATTTGAGTTTATCATCCGTTAATGCTGTTGCACCTGATCTCTGATATGTGGACCAGATATTGCTAGCAATGGCTGCTGTCACAGCAGCATCCTTGTCACCATAACCAGAATAAGCTAATAACGCTCCCTCATTGTTGAGCAACCTGAAAGATAATTTTAAGAACATACATACTTCCTCTTGCAGAAAATATTTCTCCAATGCAATGAATCATTTAATTTCACCCAAAATATATTTTAAAAAATGTCGACAACATATTAATTCTTCCATACTATTAAGAAAAGCAATAGAGCTACAGACACTAGACTGAAGAAGTGGTGCTAAAAATACACTATTTTGAATGAATAAAAGTGTATGCATCTATATGTTTTCAAACAAAACACTTGACTGTCTATGCCTTACTTTTTTAACTTTATCATCGAACAAAAACAAATAGATAGCAATGGCATTTAATGATTTAATTCAGTATTGTCAGCCTAATGGGACTTATTTAACGAGGATAAAACTAAATTGCACCGGCTATGAATTTCAGGACTAGAACAACCTTTGCAATCATACGTACAGGGTACTTTGAACGCCTCCGGAATTAGCTTGGCTTAAAACTTGCGTCAAGGCTTTTGGTTTTAACATTCTAACTTAAACTATGCTGATTAAGCCGAAAATTGTGTTTTATGTTTGCGATAAGTGATTCAGCATTGACTTCCGCATCACGTGCATTAAATGTCAAAAATAATATGTAACGAAGGATTTGATTGGACCATGTAAGTTCATGACCCACAAATTAGGTCAATACATGAAGGCATGGCAGAAAAGAATAACAGAGTTGCTGAGGATGTGGCGGAATATTGTCTTTTCCCTTTGTTATCCGGGACAGGAAAGGGATCAGATAATAGTAGTGTTTTAAGTGAATGTATTAATTCGTATCTTACATATCTCAGCCCAACGTTGATCGACGTTATCTGGCAAAATGAAGGTTTCAAACTGAAAGCAGTGGAAGAAAAGGGTATTTTCAACTTTTGTTTTTGTCATCTAAGCTAATATGACTTCTTTGTTTAACATTTATTGTTAAATATCTGTTATTATTATTATTATTATTCCTACTAAAGTACTCATAGTTACAGACTTTTACATACATGTATATATACATGTATTGTTTGTTCAAACTAATTAGACTTGTCAAAGAGACATCAAGATAATTTTGAACTAGCATCTGCATGTCTTTTTCCAACAATTTGACAGTGTAATGTCTTCTATATCATAGTTACTGTACAAGCATGGGTAGATAGATTAAACAACACAGCCATTCGGTTTTTAAATCTATTTACTACTGATACTACAGAGAGTTGATGCCAGGTGAATTTACGCGGGGCTTATCAGCTAGTGGCTAATACTAGCTGACCAATAGCGAGTCAATATATTACAGACAGTGTGAAAAAACAGTCTGTAAAATGGGTGAAAGCGATCACACTGACTTATATGTAGGCAGGGTACCTCATTTTGAAATCAAATTTTGATTTTAAAATCTTTTATCCAGATGAACTGATCCAAACTTGTTGCGTCAAGTTCCAAAATTTGATTACGTAAGCTTTTGTACTGTTGAAGGAATTAACTGGAATACATTATATTGTGTAGCAAGTGTTTGCTAATTTTCTTCATATCTATTTAAGTTTTGTTGTTTTGTTTCTTTTGGTGTTTTTTTAATGATTTAAGCATTTGTTCATAGTTTATAAATCAGTCTCCCCATTTAAGCCCTTTCCAATGATGTAAGTGCCATATTTGTAAACATTGTATGGTATGATCCAATTTTCAATGTTTTCAATTTTTACTCTAGTCGCTGTTGTACAATAGTCATTTATAGTCACAATAAATTGGCTTGATGTTTTTTTCAAATACCAAACAATATTTTTATGAAAAGATAAGCAAATTCTACAAAAGTGGAGTATCACTATCAGAATAATATTATATAATTATACTCTTAACACAAAAAAAAATGTGTATTGAAAGACTTTTTCCTCCAAAAGTTTTTTATGTTTGATACCATATTTTAGCTAATTCAATTGCCTTCAAAATGACATATTTAAATTAACTTTAGTAAAGCAGTTTCTTTAAATGACAGACATGTTCAAGACATGTTTAACAAATTATCATGGCTAGGGTGAAATTGAGAAATATGAAAGCTGTGTTAATGGATTTGAGGATTAGGATATTTTAGCATTATTTGATTCATTCATTAAAGCATGCCTCAGAACATTTTTCAGCCCTACACTTCCCTGTCCTGCTGTAGCAATAGCAGTATTTTAATGCCATCTGTCCTGTATGTGTCATTTTTAAATGTCAGTAACGTGAGGCCTGCCAGTTCAAATGCAACCAAGTATACCAGTTTGCTGAATCATTGAACAAAGATAACTCACTTTTTTGTGCGGCAATTAAAGTAGCACGCCTCCAGATTCATGCTAATTTTCATGAAAATTTAAAAAGTATTTAACAGTATAAAAATGTAGAGTTACCAAAAGAATGCAATTAACACATTATCAATGGCACTTACAACCTATGTTAATTACTCTAAAGAGGTCAAAATATGCAAATATAGCCCTTACTGGGTTAGTTAAGCAGTAGAAATATAGTTATAAATACTGAAAAATTCGGTCATTAATCGCACATAACATGCAAATTTTTGATCTTTATACCTTTCCTAAAATCTAAGTACATTTTTCTCAGGTTTGATTTTATCGAAATATTTTTGCTCATCTGGAGGCGTGCAGCTTTAAATGTTGGTGCAACAAATCAACAGAATCACCTTTACTACTAAGCATAATCAGGGTCTTTCAAATAGAAATTTGAAAGACCCTGGCATTATCAATGCTTTAAGACATTGACATTCAAAAAATGGCCGCATTGCAAGTTTTGAAATTACAATGCAATCAAAATGTTTCATGTTTTTCTTTCTCTTATTACTTTGATGCAAGTATTGACACATTTTATAACAAATTAACATTTATCTTAGACATTGCACAGTCAAATCGTGCAAAACATCACTATTAAGGTATTAACATACAATTTAGTAATCTGATGTACCCAATGTTTGATAGACAAACATGAGTGCATCACATGTTTGAACAGTTTAATTTCAGAGTAAAACATCTCAAAGTTAAAAAAATATTATCATGTTATGGACAGGATTAAAGAAAAGCAAATGTGGATTATTACAGTGGATACAAATATATATTCAAGGCAGGGGGAATGCCTTAAAATTTCTTAAGATATTTTGACGACAAAAAAACAACAAAAACAACAACAAACAATCATTATTAAATTTGGACTTTCTGACTACCATGCAGAATTTTTCTAATGCCATGAGATCATCTTTGTTTTAAATCTAAATGAACATGTTTTTATAAATTTGTGAATATTTTAGTGTTCCTTGATAATCTGTGATCTTTGATAAAGAACATAATATTTTTTTTTTCATTAATATTCTTTTCATTAAATTTAATTGTCTCATTAACCCATTACACAATATACACGCCTTTTAACGCCTTTTTCACCCCCCCCCTTTTTGTTGGTGAAAAAATGCCTTATTTAGGCCCCCAACACTTGTTTTTGTTTAAGAAATGTTGTTAAAAAAAGTGACCACTTTTTCGGCGCGGCCCCCCAACCAAAAGATACATCAGGGGGTTGCCAGAAGGGGGATGCCCCCTTCTGTTTGGGGGGTTTGAAGAAAAAGATAATTTTGGACTTGTGAGAGGCTATAAATGACCCCAGATTGATCATAAGGTAACGTGTTACCAACGCTGAAAAGCATTTGACTCTATCTCAATCCATTGAGAAGTTGCAGCACTTTGAAATCAATTTTGATGGAAAAAATCAACGCAAAATATTGATTTTTGGCAATTTTTAGATGTCCCGTCTTGTCATGGTAACAGAAAATTTAAGCCTGAGCATGTTGTTGCAAGGGCAAAGGTCCAGTCAACATTTGTGCCAAGTTTGATTAGTGTTGAAGCAGTTTTTATAGTATTATAGCTATTTGAACTTGTAACGGGAGACTTTTCAATGAAAACAGCCATTTTTCACAAAATGCTCATGAAGTAATTGGTTAATTTGTGGACAATGAAAACGTATTGTAACAGAAATTTTGATAATCATAAAGTTTAATTTCAATATCACACAGTTTAATTCCTTTTCTTGTACTATTATTGCTAGTACATTCAACAATAAGTATATAGACCAGATATATGAGCTGCGTCATGACAAAACCAATATAGTGTGTTTGCGACCAGCATAGATCCAGACCAGCCTGCGCATTCACGCAGTCTGATCAAGATTCATGCTGTTGGCTTACCAACTCTATTACAAGTAGAGAAACTCAGGTAGCTAACAGCATGGATCCTGATCAGACTGCACGGATGCGCAGGCTGGTCTGGATCCATGCTGGTCGCAAACGCACTGTGTTGGTTTTGTCGTGACACGGCTCAATTATGTACTTTTTGCCTCTCGCATCTCTGCAATCATCGAGCATGGAAGTTAGTGATCACAATTGTCAATTTATTTAATCACAATTCTGTCACAGTGCATTGTCATTATTAACTGGTGGGAAATATTAGAGCTTGTAACAGGGAATCTTGTTCAATAAATCAATATTTCCGAGCCACATCGTAAACTACATTTAGTAGACTTCCTTTTTTATGACCTTTGCTTAATGAAAAGGGGTTTTAAGGGGAATGGTAATGAGTAAATTAGTGATTAATGAGATTTTTTTATATCTAAATTGTATTGAACTGGAGAATTCTGTTTGAAATACCATTTCAGCATTTTGTTTGTTTCCAGCTTTTGTAGGTTTTGTACATATTCTGAAAAGAAATTTTGAAAAACAAATGTTGTTGATATAATTTGTGCACTCAATAATGCTTTTTTGGTAATAACAAATTGGAAACAATGAAAAATGTATACATGTATGTTGTAAAACACTGTATAATAAATTAATAATCACTAATTTACCACTCTAACTTTGCAGCTTCTCTATAATAGAAGACTTTCTCAGCTTTTGATTGGGAATCTTTTACATTTTAACTGTTCCAAGGTTTTGAACTTCTTTGCAATGGTTATTAATAAATCATCACAAAGGTACAGGTATGACTGAAGTGGTATTTGCATACAGTCATGCAATTTCATAGGAGTGTTGCATAAACATTGTATAGACACATTCTTTAGACTACAACGGCTCAATGATTATTCCAACAGAGCTTTGATAACTGTATAATAATCTTAATGAATTGTTGTATATAATAAATGTTTATCTTGCACGCAACAGATGTAACATCTTGCATTTAAATGTATCATGCTAAAGTTTTCAAAATTTCATTTAAAGGCCTATTATGCATAAGAAATACTATCATTTTTATTTCGCAAAAACTGTTTATTTTTGTATCTTGTTCTAGTTTCCAAAAATATGCTCATTTGCTATATACATATAATATTTTTTGTATCTTTAGTTCTGTTCACAATTGGTATAATTATATTGAATTATTTTGTATGGAAGACGAAATACTACTTTTTTACATTTTGCTAACTTTACAACACATAAATGCATGTTCTGCACTTCTTTTTGCAGTCATAAAACATCTAACATGCACTTAAACCATTATCTAAATATTATTAAACACAATGTTTGACATTTCTAAAGAATTGAAAAAAAAATGGATTTCTGAGGCGTAATGTGCCTCAAGTTAAGGGCTAGTCATTGTTTGTTTAAATGATTTCATTCATCAAATTAAGTAGTCAACATTAAAGAGTCAACAGAGACTGTATTAAGGCTAATCTAACTATATACTGATGGTATATCTCTGTCAGTTATATACCAGTCAGTCAGCTCTGACAATTGATTAACTCTGATAAGGTATAATTTAGGGCATATGTTTTATAAAAAAAACACATTTCATTTATTGATTTGTGTATAAAAAAAAACACTCCAGATGACAGTAGCTGTTAAAAAATATTGAGTTCGTACCTGCAGCTGCTGTTAAAAATTCAGTATTTTGGTCTTGTTGGACGCTATTTATTTACATAGTAATGTAAAAGAGGAAAGAAAACGCAATACCTTAAACAGTTAAATAGGGGAAATAGCTTAAAAGAATCATTATGGTGGTTAAATGTTCAATAGATTTCTTAAAATGTCATTTTGCTTTGGAAAAGTCTTTAAACTTAATCATTAAATTCTGTAGAGATAAGCGAAGCAGAAAGATATTTGATTTATTGACTGGATAATTTCAGACAGGAAATTCTCCTATAAGATACTCATTTAATCAAGACAAGGGATTATTTGCTGGAGAAACATTGACAAGTGATCTCTAGGCTACAGAGAGTATGTTTTACTACTGTATTTAATGATTCTGCTTCTATAAAATACCACATTCCTGGAACAGTTATAATGAAAACATTGATTAGTATACTTTAGACATATATACATTGTAACACATTTGAAAAAAGTTATATTACCATAAAATTGGCTGTAACCTGATATATGTATGGGGATGTATTATGATTTATATCATACTGATATGAATTTCATCTGTATATTTTGAACCTAGTCTTTAGAGGGTATAATTAATCATATTGCATCTATGTAAATGTTAACCTGACCTATTGGGGTATATTGCATTTATTTAAGGTTTGTGGGTATTGTATTTATCATATTCACTGCTTTATATATATACATGCACCAGGCATAATAATATATGAAGAATATTATTGATAAAATGTTACATAGCTTTGTTTTGTTCTGAAAGCTTCATTTTCAGAAACTGTACATATTTATTAGAAATAAGACTAGTATGTGCTCTTTATCCAGTCAGATACATTTTCATCATAAATGTCAAATGTACATTTACATAATCTTTACAATATAATATTATGTCAATCCAAACTATCTAATTTCAGAGTATTACTGGTAAAAATATGAATAAATGTTTATGGTGTAATTTCAGGAAATTTTCCCGCTCATTTACTGGGAGAGACAAACTTTGCGGAAAATGTTCAGGATGAATGGTTTATTGTACACTTGATCTTCCAACTTACCAAACAATTTACAGGACTTGTTGCTAGGTAAATATATCATTTACATAATAGGTCCTAAACTATCTGAAAAAGATTTAAGTAACTCTATAAAGTTTATAGAAGCTTTTGGTGACTTAAACATGTAGGAGTAACTTGTTATTAAGACAAGGAAAAAGTTAACTTATTGTTTAAGACCAGACATGATATTCACATATGATGGAGACAAAAACACACACCGGTTATCATAACCTATTAAAAAGATATAAATCATTTTATATTGAACCTTATGCTCATATAGTTTATATATAGTTTACTGCTATTGTATCATTTTAGAGTGAAATAAATAAAGTCTTTAATATTTGATAAGTTCAACTAAAAATAAAGACATAGATACATTAACTGCTACATTATTGATAGGCACAATAAAAATGAATTGATATTTTGATAATATAGGATTCGTGATAGTGACGAGGAATTTCTGCTGATTGAAGCAGCAGACGCTCTCCCTAAATGGCTTAATCCGGAATCTGCTGAAAACAGGGTAAGAATAACCTATTCTTTTATTTACAGTTAATTCATCAATGCTGTTTGTTATTAGATGCTTGTTGTATAATGTTGATGTAAAAAAATCAAAGTTAACCAAAAATGACAAATGAAACCAAAATTGGCTGCTTTTATCTGTTAAAAATCTTGTAACAATGGGCTAGTTAACAGTGATTTAATTTCTCATGTGTAATAGCAATATCCTGATTTCTGTTATTTTCTTTCTGTTGCCAATTTATTGTTAAGTCTGCCTACATAAAGAATATATTTGTTTCTGAGATCAAAAAGAATTATTCATGGTTAACATAATAATGTTGCGTATGTTTAGTAGTGATTAAACTGAATTTATTTCACATTTATTTTTAGGTGTACATATATAACGGTGAGTTACACATCATTCCTATCCCACAATCCCCAGCTGAGATGGCTACATTCCCACGTTCTGTAACAAGTATCGGAGATGCCGTTGAATGTGTTAGAACTTACCCAGAACAAACTCGAGCTCCTCAACAAGTTCAAACTGCAATAAATAACAGAATAAAAAAGTAAGTGCTTCGTACTCTGTTGTAGTTTTCACTGTTTGTTAGAGTGGGTCATGTTTTATAAGTATTCAAATTTATGCTGTCTTTGAAATTCCAACTCCATGAAAAAAGTATATGATTTATTGAACACCTTGTTTCCCTTTATAATCATATGGCAGCAAGCAGTGCTATCCTAATCATGGATACACTTACATTTGTGTGCATTATCATATTCAATTTGTTGTTGTACTCACATCTGTCAGTGTAAAGACCCAGTTGTCATAGGTCAAGGTCACAGTGACACTTGCATTTCAAATAGTATTCTGTAGACATTGGGCTACTGATAGTGTACTAATTAGTAAATTTCAAATTAAAAAGACTGATTGCTTTATGTTATAAGGAGATGGCATTTGTCTTTGTGGGCAATACAAAATAAATCTATGTTTTATGTTCTATGTTTTCTCACCTATTTTAATAATCTTTTTTTATCAGATATTACAATGATTTTTGTATATTTTTTATCCTCAGTTTTCCGGACTTGATGTCAGAGCATACACATTTTGCACATTGTTACATTCCGGCTGCTATAGCTGCTGTGTTGGATGAGAAACCGGCACTGGTTGCTCCTGCTGTCCGAGCATTTTACTTCAGAGATCCCATTGATTTGAAGGTATACAGTTTACTCTTAACCCACTAGCTGTATTTATTGACTTAAAGTGTCAATTGTATAAGTGATATTGATTGCCCTTTGTGCTTCTTTAATTGTGTAAATAAAGCATATTCTTTGCATTTATTTATTTATTTATTATGCCCCCCACCATAAAATGGCCAGGGCATATAATGTTACAGTGTCTTACATTCTGTCATTCTGTCAACATCATTTTCCATTCATTATCTTGGCAACAGTTTAACTCAAATTTGACATATGGATGATATGGATATATCATAGTAAAATGCAGGTCAATTCGAATTGGTCATAGTTCAATGATTTTTGGCAGAGTTATCCATCTTGAACTTTGAACTTGAACTTTGAAAAAAAGAAAGACATTTTTAGATTCCGTTTATTATCTCCCCGACAGTTGTACACATTCAACTCAGATTTGACATATACATGTACATATAAACAAAAGAAATAACATATCAATTTATTTAATATTTCAGTGCTGCAGAACATTTCAGTATTTTCGGCCTGGTACCAGGGTTATAAATAGGGTAAGTTGAATAAAATAGTAGTAAAATATGTATTGTATAAGGGTAAATTTCTTGTGGATTTTTTTTTATTATTTATGTAGTTGCATTTGATAATGTATAATGGTGCAAATTATAGGGTTTAAGAGTAAATGTGATAATAAGAGATGCTAGTTAAATAAAACATGACAGGGAGCTTTTATTTAACTGAATACTTTTATAATATTAACTTTCATGAGCTGTAAAAGTTGATGTAATACAAGTACATGTACATTGTATTTATATTTCTGTATTGCTGATTGCAGCTGAGTATTGTATAATATGTAGCTAAACTTATAAAGTTACAGGTTTCTGACACTTGTGTTAAAGATTGGTAGAGATACTATAGTTGTAAAATTAAATTGATTGTAATATTTTTTTCAGACTCGTCTGACAAGATGCTTGTATGCACAATTAGTACATCAGAACTTCCAGCCAGACAAAAGAAGTGGCTGGGTCTTGCCGAGCACATCAAGTCCAAAGTTTAGGTCCCATGATCTTGGCATGAAACTTGTTAGTAAAACCTCGTTCTTTCATTTCACTTTTTCATATGAGTAATTTCTCCATCTAAGTAGTAGTCTTGTAACAGTATCCTGGGGTATTGCAATGAAGTGCCAACCAATCTGCTTTTTAGTCCCCTACCGGTTTACCGGAGGGGACTTTAGGTTTACCCTCCGTCCGTCTGTCTGTCTGTCTGTCCGTCGACAAAACTGGATCCTGAGATAACTTGAAAAGTACTGAAAATATTTTTATGAAACTTGATATATGGATAGATGGCAGTATGGAGTTTATGCACGTCTTTTTCTTTTCTTCCTATGTTGAAAATTCTTGTTGCTAAGGCAACAAATAGGCTGAAAATATGGCAAATTTTACACATAAACTGGATCCAATGATAACGCAAAAAGTAATAGAAATATTTTTATGAAACTTGTAATATGGGTAGATGGCAGTCTGGAGATTATGCACGTCTTTTTCTTTTCTTCCTATGTTGAAAATTCTGGTTGCTATGGCAACACATAGACTGAAAATATGGCAAATTTTACACATAAACTGAATCCAGTGATAACTCAAAAAGTACTGGAAATATTTTTATGAAACTTGACATATGGGTAGATGGCAGTCTTGAGATTATGCATGTCTTATCTGTTCTTCCTATTTTGAAAAAATATTGGTTGCCTTGGCAACAAATAGGCTTAAAACATGGCAAATATAACAATATTTGTGATTAGTCAAAAAGAGCTGAAAATTTTTATGAAATTGCATCTTTAATTCAAGAGTTATCTCCTCTTTAAGAATTTTGCTTTTAAAAATGTTATATTTTGGTAACAGGGATGTTTCAAATATTAACTTTAGAGTGTCCTTCAGTCCGTCTGTCTGTCTGTTCATAAAAACTGTTTCCTGTGATCACTTTTAAAGAACTTTTCCAACAAATTTACTTAAAATAGAGAAAAATTGAAACATTAGTGAATGGCCAATGGCCCTTCAGAATGATGATGGGGTTCTAACCAGTAGGGGACTTATGGATTGCTTGCAATGCTATGATAATTGCTTTTCTCTCATTGATTTGTGACTCTTATTTTGAAATATTGCACATGCGCAACAGATATCAGACAAACATACAATGATATTCGTGTATTTGTTAAATAAATTCAATATCTAAAAGTTCAACTGTAAATTACTTCTTAAAACAACCGCTCAAAGATAAGAGCATCTGAATATGTCAAACATGACTGTCTTGCTCAGCTGGACACTTACCCATCGATAGAATTGTCAAATCAAGTGTCTGTTCAAACTTGTGTAGTAAGGATAGTGTATGTACTTTAAGGAGCGTTCCGACCAAACATTTATTTAGGTCATGAATCGATGGGAAGGCACAAATGAATGAAATAACCATCACTTTTTTCCACTATTTTAAACACTAGAACTGTTTAAATGTACAATTACATTTTTGGGTCATATTTATTGTATAAAATAAAGCAAACTTAGAAATGTTATAAACATTAACTCTCCAAATATTTTTAATTAAAAGTGACAATAATTGTTTGTTAAGTTTAAACAATCATTTTGAAATTAACAGTAATTTTAGTTTTGTATTGTTTTCTCATAACAATCAATGTATTGTAATATGTATACATTGTTGCCCCTCTGGCAAGGAATGACACTTCCTTTATATGATATGATAATGAAGTGTATGGTTAATGTGGGATGCGGTACTTGTGACTAGAAAAACAACAAGTCTTTAACAGCATTTATTGAATAAAGGAATGAACTTAAACTGAAATTGTTGTGTAAATCTCAGATACTCATTAGAATGAGTCAAATTATCCAAGGACAGTTTATCTAAAATTTGAGGGTTTAAGAATTAAATATAATACATCTGTTAAGTTTGTCTTACTAATATATTCTGATGAATGATTTGTTTTTCTTTTGCAGGCACACGGGTTTGAAATCATGTGTCATAAATCTGAGTCCAATGGTAACCATGGTAACGCTAATGATGACCCGCCCGTTTCTGGTGCAAGATGGGAGAAATATGTTCAGACTCTAAAAGATAAAAACTTCTTCAGGGTAACTTTATGGTTATATTTCAAAATTTTGTAGAAATTTTTTAAAGATGATATTTAAGTAGAATTGCTCAAAATCTTGCTTTATATTGTTTTGTCAGCCAACTGAAGCATTCCTTATTATCAGTGATAGTTCTGGTTTATTATCATTGTAACATCTATGTTATATTTATATAAATAATAAATTTACTTAACAGGGAGAACTGGAAGGCTCAAATTTATATAATCAATTGATGGAAAATGCTAGAAAGTTCTACAAGGAAAATTTCAAATTCAGTAATAGGTATGTACATTGTACAAGTAATTTAATATAACAAAACATTGTTTACATCTTTAGAACTACCATTTTACAGTGAAAACAGCTGATAGAAAATTTTTTGTTTAGCATCACCAGTGAACATATCTTGTGATCGGTCTAGATAATACATGGAAGTGTTAATGTTCATAGCTTTGTATATAAACAATACATTGTTTTTGTCCCATAGTGATTATCATAACTGAAGTTACAATTCTTAGGACTCAAAAAATGTAATGAATAAAAATTGACTTGAAGTCAGTTTTTAGCTCACCTGTCACAAAGTGACAGGGTGAGCTTTTGTGATCGCTTTTCGTCCGGCGTCCGGCGTCCGTCCGTCATCCGTAAACTTTTACTTTAAATGACATCTCCTCATAAACCACTAAGCCAATTTCATCCAAACTTCACAGGAATGTTCCTTTGGTGGTCACCTTTAAAAATTGTTCAAAGAATTTAATTCCATGCAGAACTCTGGTTGCCATGGCAACCAAAAGAAAAAACTTAAAATATCTTCTTCTAAAAAACCCAAAGAGCTAGAGCTTAGATTTTTGGCATGAAACATCTTCTGGTGAGTGTCTACCAAGTTTGTTCAAATAAAAGCCCTTGGGTCAAAATTGGCCCCGCCCCAGGGGGTCATTGATTTTCCCTATATGCATATAGTAAAAACTTAAAAAATCTTCTTTTAAAGAACCCAAAGAGCTAGAGCTTAGATATTTAGCATGAAACATCTTCTAATGGGTGTCTAGCAAGTTTGTTCAAATAAAAGCCCTAGGGTCAAAATTGGCCCTGCCCCAGGGGGTCATTGATTTTCCCTATATGCATATAGTAAAAACTTAAAAAATCTTCTTTTAAAGAACCAAAAGAGCTAGAGCTAAGATATTTAGCATGAAACATCTTCTAGTGGATGTCTACCAAGTTTGTTCAAATAAAAGCCCTGGGGTCAAAATTGGCCCCGCCCCAGGGGCCATTGATTTTCCCTATATACATATAGTAAAAACTTAAAAGATCTTATTTAAAGAACCCAAAGAGCTAGAGCTAAGATATTTAGCATGAAACATCTTCTAATGGGTGTCTACCAAGTTTGTTCAAATAAAAGCCCTGGGGTCAAAATTGGCCCCGCCCCAGGGGGTCATTGATTTTCCCTATATGCATATAGTAAAAACTTAAAAAATCTTCTTTTAAAGAACCAAAAGAGCTAGAGCTAAGATATTAAGCATGAAACATCTTCTAATGGATGTCTACCAAGTTTGTTCAAATAAAAGTCCTGGGGTCAAAATTGGCCCCGCCCCAGGGGGTCATTGATTTTCCCTATATACATAAAGTAAAAACTTTAAAAAAATCTTCTTTTATAGAACCAAAAGAGCTAGAGCTAAGATATTTAGCATGAAACATCTTCTAATGGATGTCTACCAAGATTGTTCAAATAAAAGCCCTGAGGTCAAAGTTGGCCCCACCCCAGGGGGTCATTGATTTTCCATTTATACATATAGTAAAAACTTAAAAGATCTTATTTAAAGAACCCAAAGAGCTAAAGCTAAGATATTTAGCATGAAACATCTTCTAATTGGTGTCTACCAAGTTTGTTCAAATAAAAGCCCTGGGGTTAAAATTGGCCCCCGCCCCAGGGGGTCATTGATTTTCCCTATATGCATATAGATAAAACTTAAAAAATCTTCTTTTATAGAACCAAAAGAGCTAGAGCTAAGATATTTAGCATGAAACATCTTCTAATGGATGTCTACCAAGTTTGTTCAAATAAAAGCCCTGGGGTCAAAATTGGCCCTGCCCCGGAGGTCATTCATTTTCCCTATATGTGTAAAACTAAAGCAAGAATTGAAAAATCTTCTTTGAAAAAACTCAAATAGCAAGAGTTTAGATATTAAGCATGAAGCTAGTGAGTGTCTTCAAAGTTTGTTCAAATAGAAGCCCTGGAGTCAAAATTGGCCCCGCCCCGGGGGACATTGATTTTCCTTATACAAGTATAGCAAAAACTTAAAAATCTTCTTTTAAAAAACCCGAATAGCTAGAGTTTAGATATTAAGCATAAAACATTTCTAGTAAGTGTCTACAAAGATTGTTCAAATAAAAGCCCTGGGGTCAAAACTGGCCCTGCCCCAGGTGTGTCATTGTTTTTAACTATATGTGTAAAGAGAAAACTTAAAAAAATCTTCTTTTAAAAATCCCTACGAGCTAGACCTTAGATGTTTAGCATGAAACATCTTCTAATGGTTGTCTACAAAGTTTGTTCAAATAAAAGCCCCGGGCTTTAAACTGGCCTTGCTCCGGGGGCCTATGTACAGGTGAGCGACTTCAGGGCCATCATGGCCCTCTTGTTTCATTATCATAGCTTAATAATTATGTGATTTGTTCTTATCTAGGACATCACACTGTTATCCAGTGGAACAAGTGCATTTATTTTTGGCAGGGAAATGTTACTGATAGTCTCTTATAAGTTTTAAATGATTAAAAGTTTAAAATGAACTTGACCTTGTTATCAAAATTTAATTTTTTATGTTATTGCTTGTAATATTTACTTGGAAATGCTTTAATGATGTTCAATGATAGTAAAGATGAAAAATATTTATCCCCTCAAATCAACATTTGCCATTGTTATTCATGTATTATTTGTGTGATCAGCAAATATTTTAATCACTCTTTATAATATATCATCTAGAACAGATACCAGTTCAATATTTTTTGTTCACTTTATTAGGGAAGAAGATGCAGGTGCTGAAGTTCTTCAGTTACTGAAAACATTAAATGTTGATATAGAAGGAAGAAGGAGAGCAGAACAATATCTAGAGTCACCCGATGGTTTGTACACACTTTAAGATTCCAGATTTTCTTACAGTGCAAATGCAGTACACTAAATAACAGTTGATCTTTTTATTAAATGTATGTTTTTAAATTAAAATGTAGCATTTTCAATTGGCTGAAATCTTCTAAAAGAGCTAAATCCTTGAAATCTGAAATCTGAAAAAGTCAATGCCCAAGAATTTAATTTTAAGGGAGTATTGTGGAGATAATATATGTAACTGTAGAACCTATATCTAGTGTTCAAATTTTAAAACATTTTAGCTTAAAACATCTATTCCAAGTTATACCTTAAAGCCGCAAAAATCCCTGCCCTGGTAGGGAGAATTTTGTAGGCATGTTTATCAGATAAATCATGCAAAGGACGCTGTACCTGTGCTAAATTTAGCTGATGTAAACAAACACTATAGCAGACGATTACTGATCAGCAGCTCCCTTCCTAGAGTAATATTTCAAGTTTTTACTGGAAAGTTAACACTGCCACGTGTATTTGTTTACAACCTGCAGTTCATGACCCCATTTACTCCGCCCCGGGATTTTCAAAATTTTGACAGTTAACTGATTTTTTTTTTCACAAAGTACATTTTAGTGAATCTTTTGTGATATTTTCTCTGCCATTTTATTTCAAATGTTGCAAAGAAGTTAAACAAAAAGTTTTTAGGCAAAATACTTCTTGGTTATTTTACTATTTCAAAAAAGGACTGTTAGATGTGAAGCATGTCAAAAATACCATGAAAATCTGCCCCAGCGCCATCTAGTGGCTTAAATAGTCAAGTTGCAGGTTTAAGGTCTATGTATAACCTTTAAGGAGATTCATAAAATTGTGAAGTGTATTTTAAGAATGTAATTTATGTTCAAACTTCTTTTTTTTTGGAAAATTTTATACATTATTGTTATGACATTGATTTCGAACATTATAATTAGAATGTTTTAAATCTGATATTTATTCAGTTCAATGTTTTTCTGTATTTTAGATGATTCATGGATGAATTTGACCCCAGAATCTCTCGATGAAATGATGCGAGAGAGAAGTGGTAACTATGGTAACCAGGAGGATAATGATGGTGTGTTTGATCTTGGTAAAATAGCAGACAATATGAAGGCTTTTGTTGGCAATGTTTCTAGTATAGATGGAGCAGAATTTCCAAAGTAAGTTGTTCTATTTCGGTAGACACATCATTACTGTATGGTATAGGTAAGACATTACTGAAACAAAAAGTTTCTTCATTTCTGTTGAGAAGTAATTTTGGAATAATCAATTTGTTTATTTGATGACTGTGCACAGACAATGAAATAATAAATGAAATAAATTCTTCATTTAATCTCAACTATTGAAAGTTGATAGTTTGGCTATCTTGCTCACACTGTCATCAATATTGGTGTAAGATTGGTTAAGCTTTGTGTTAGACTGAATATCTCACTTACCATGGAAGGTACTCTATTGAAACTTCACACATATCTTTAGGTTATGAAGACCCATTACTCTTTTCTTGATTTTGACTGAATTTTACCCCTTTGTAAAGTTGATAAATTTGTCTTGACTAAAAGCATTCAAGCTATTTCCACAGCCAATTAAGCCATTCACTTGGAACTTCATGTATGTTTTCTGGATCATAAGTATAGACCATTATGCAGGGGCCATAACTCTAGCATGAATACTGAGTGATTTATAAGTTCACTTGAAACTAAATGTATATACATGTTTTTGATGTTATAATCGTAGGTCACTCATAAATTTAGCTGTTTTTCCAATGAATTATGTGAACTTTAAAATGCCTGTAATATCTAAGCTCCTACTTTGCTTTCAAAAAACTTAACTGTCAAATAAGAAGTTTAGGACAGTTGAGCATGCTTTTTGTCCATTAAGATGACAGTGTTAAATCAATCACAGGGCTGTAAAATTAGGAGTTTGAAATGCAAAAAATTGTTGTATAATTATATCTAGGTGATAAACTGAACTTGTTTTCAAATTTACCAAAATATTTTACTGGGCTGAACAATTTCTTCTGTCATACATTTCTTCAGTGATTACAACCAAGCTTCCACAAAACTAAGTCAAATGCCCTAGTGCATATTGACAGGGTTTTTATTATTATTCTATTTATCATTTTTGACAAAATCATAGGCCTGTTTTCATGTAATGTTGGCAGAAAGCCTGTTGTTTTTAACATAGTCCACTAATCTTGTTATACCCCCGCACAACAAAGTTGTAAGGGGGGTATACTGGAATCAGGGCGTCCGGCTGTCCGGCCGTTTGTCGTTTTTTTCTTGTCCGCCCAATAACTTAAGATTCCTTTGACCCACAGTCTTCATATTTGGCATGGAGGTTAGTCATGATTAGTAGATGACCCCTATTGATTTTGAGGTCACCAGCTCAAAGGTCAAGGTCACAGGGGCCTTGACTTCAAAAAGCTTGTCCGCCCAATAACTTAAGATTCCTTTGACCCACAGTCTTCATATTTGGCATGGAGGTTAGTCATGATTAGTAGATGACCCCTATTGATTTTGAGGTCACCAGCTCAAAGGTCAAGGTCACAGGGGCCTTGACTTCAAAAAGCTTGTCCGCCCAATAACTTAAGATTCCTTTGACCCACAGTCTTCATATTTGGCATGGAGGTTAGTCATGATTAGTAGATGACCCCTATTGATTTTGAGGTCACTGGGTCAAAGGTCAAGGTCACAGGGGCCTTGACTTCAAAAAGCTTGTCCGCCCAATAACTTAAGATTCCTATGACCCACAGTCTTCATATTTGGCATGGAGGTTAGTCATGATTATTAAATGATCCGTATTGATTTTGAGGTCACCAGGTCAAGGTCACAGGGACCTTGTCAAAATAAAGCTTTTCCCCTCAATTGCTTCAGAATGCCTGTCCAGAGTGTATTGATTTTGACATTTTCACATTTGAAGCATGTAGAATACATAACTTAGCAATGCACTGGCTAAGTAACCTCAGATTTGGCAGGGAGGTTGTCCTTGAGTTCTAAATGGCCACTGTTGATTCTGACAAAGTGGTATGCGGGGGTATTCACGCCATGATAGTGGCAGTTCTAGTTTTATAGTTATTATGCCCCCGCCATGTAATGGCCGGGGCATATAGTGTTACCCTGTTCCGTCATTCCGTCCTTCCGTCCTTCCATCCTTCCGTCCTTCCGTCATTCTGTCATTCCGTCATCATCAGTTTCCGTTCATTATCTTAAGAACGGTTGGACATATTCAACTCAAATTTGACATATGGATATGTCATGAGAAAATACAGGTCAAGTTCGAATTTGGTCATGGTTCGATGATTTTTGGCAGAGTTATGCCCCTTTTACTTTGAAAATAATATGAAATTTCAGTTTCCGTTCATTATCTTAAGAACGGTTGGACACATTCAATTCAAACTTGACATATGGATATGTCATGAGAAAATACAGGTCAAGTTCGAATTTGGTTATGGTTCGATAATTTTTGGCAGAGTAATGCCCCTTTTACTTTGAAAAAAATATGAAATTTTCAGTTTCCATTCATTATCTCCCCAATGGTACAACACAATCAACTCAAACTTGACATATTGATATGTCATGAAAAAATACAGGTCAAGTTGGAATTTGGTCATGGTTCGATGATTTTTGGGAGAGTTATGCCCCTTTTACTTTGAAAATAATATGAAATTTTCAGTTTCCGTTCATTATCTCCCTCGAGGTACAACACATTCAACTCAAATTTGACATATGGAAACGTCAAAGGAATGCGCAGGTCAAGTTCAAATTTGGTCATGGTTCAATGATTTTTGGCAGAGTTATGCCCCTTTCACTTTGAAAATAATATGAAATTTACAGTTTCTGTTCCTTATCTACCCAACAGTGTCACATATTCAACTTTAATTTGACATATGGATATGTCAAAGGAATGGGCAGGTCAAGTTGGAATTTGGTCATGGTTTGATGATTTTTTGGCAGAGTTATGTCTCTTTCACTTTGAAAATAATATAGATACATCTTAGGAATAAGCAGTTTAAGTTGGAATTTGGTCATGGTTCAATGATTTTAGACAAACTTATCTTTCCTGAATGTTGGAAAAATTTTGAACTTTCAGTTTCACCACTCATTCTTTTAGCCATTATTTTGGCTACAAATATGCAATATGCTATTTCTAAAAGGTTAAGACTGAATAATTTCAGTGCTTTGAACATTGTATGGAAATGGTTTGTGTTAACATTGAAAAGTTTTAAGGGCTTTGAACTTAAAATGAAAAAAATAATTAATGCACCATCTGAAATTTTGGCTGCATGCGGGGGCATCCGTGGCATGATGACACATTTCTAGTTTCTGAATAAAGATTCTTTAAATTCATATTTAAATGGTTGCAAAATTACAACTAAAGTTGCAACATGATAAATTCTCATTGGTTTCTTGTATTAGTTACTTGTTAGAGAAGTTCAGCAGAAACAAGTTTCATTCATACTTTTTTATTTTCATAATTGCAGTAGTCATTTTGCTCTAATAATTATATAGATTTAATTTTATAATAATTTCAGTGCTGGTGATGAAGATGATGAGGATGCAGATATACAGTTTGATGGGAGTGGTTTTATATCTGCCATGCAGGAAATGTTTGGTAAATTTTTACTTTAAATAGATTAAGATCATAAAACCTTGTTTGTATTAGTCATCAAGGTCATGATATGAATAGCACATCCCACTGAGAGTGATAAAATAAAATGATAACCTGAGGCACAGGATGTCAACTGAGGCATTAGCCTCATCTTGTGTCTCATTCAAGTGAACATGTCATTCTATTACCCTCAGTGGGATGTTATATTTATCTTATTATACCAGTAAAACAGTTTTTAATAAATGTTTAAAGCATCTAAGCAACTAGACCCAATACACAGTAAGCACATGAGGGCTATACCGTAATATCAGCAGGCCAAAACTTGATGTTATTATGTGACGTAACAAATTTTAAAAGCCCTGAAAAGCAATATTCTTTAATTAATCACATAAAGTATAAACTTCATAAATTATTGATTATCTGTATGACTTTCTTTAAACTTAGCTCAATTAAATTTTTCAATTACTTTACTTATATTGAAATAATGTTGGTTATTTTGATAAACCACTCTTAAAAGTATAGCTCTGTAAGGATAATATTCTAACAGGGTTTAATGCTTTAATACGCAAGTAATTGTCTTATAATAAAAAAGTGCACCTCCCATTTAATGATTTCACAGTAATTATTCTTATAATATTGGCTATACAGAGTTTGAGGATAGTGGTAGTGACTCGAGTTCGGACATGGATGAGTATGGATGGGAAGAGGATGAGGATGGTAAAACAACAAAACATGCCAAGATAAAACGTCCCCCATCTCTCGATAAATACATGGACATTATGGACAAAGAACTCTCGAAAACTGATGTTGGTAAAAGTTTTGAAAAACAGAAAAAGAAAACAGAAAAGGTATTCAATCGTTTTATAATTAGGTGTTTATGTAGTATTTTGAAATTGAACATGTAGTATAAAAAAGTATGCTAAAATTTAGAAATTTCTGAGTTAAAGTGACAAAAATAAAGTTTGTTTACATTCTTTGTACGCATTTAAGGAAATAACTTTTTAGTTTCAAAGATTATGTTTATTCTTTTTTCTGAAACAATTATTTATGCTTTTTAATTCTTGCTTTTTGACATGCTACATTGTCCTTTCTGTTTTCAGTAAGAAATGTGTAAATTTTTTAAAAAAGAAACTTTTTATTTACCATAAATTTTCTGTTTAAAATTTGCAAGATTTTGCAATCTTTCAAACTAAAAGATGATTATTTTTGCAGGTACAGACCCCAAGTAAAGATATCAATGAAGAAGATGATGACTTCCAGCCTGTAGACATTGATTTAAATACTGTTAAAAATTTACTGGAGTCATATGGTGCCCAGGAAGGATTGGCTGGCCCAACATCTAATATTCTAGGCAGTATGGGTGTAACCATACCTCCAAATATGGACAACATTGAAAATGGAGAGAACACAAATATTCCTCCTACAGAAAAACTTGATAAAAAGCCAACTCCGAAGCCAAGACCAAAGCCTGCTGTGAGGACATCTACCAATGGTTCACAGAAAACACCACCCCCTAGGCCTCCTCCCCCTCAGGCAGGTAGGACTGGAGGAGGGGTACCTAGACCTCGAGCAAGACTTGACAGCAAAGAAACAGATGTATAATTGTCCATATACAATCCTTCCTTAATAAGACAATTTTATTTCTGAAAATAAAACATGAATAAATTTTAGTTTATGAAAGTTTTTGTATCAAATTATCATTTCTGTTGTGAACACATTTCAAACAGTATTCTCAGTTGTTTTCTCTAAGATATATAAAAATATAATAAAATATTTTTGTTAAAATTTAACTAGACTCATTTTAATATTAAAGAAAAAAAATATTTTTCTAGGTGAAAAATTATTTTTCATTAACTTTGTTTTCTTGTGCTTTGCCATTGTGAGAAATCTGTTCATTTTGCTCCTTCTTATGTATATTTTCCTTTTTGTTGATGCTCAATTCTTATTCTTTTGTTGCATAACTATATACTGTGTATTACAACTTGACAAAAATTCTCATTTTCTTGTTGTTGTAGTTATAAATATGCTCTGTATTTTGTTTTATTTTTTACCAGACCGAGCCATTATATTATTTAGTTTTTACCATTTATAGTTTGTATCATTTTCATGTATATTATTTGAGATTTTTCATTTGACCACCTATATGCACTTATATACAAAAATTTTTCTACAGGCAAGCTTTGGTTTTAATTTTAAATACCCATTAAAGGAACTCCACTTTGGTCCAAAAGCCTAAAAACATAAAATTCGAATTTTTAACATCAGCTTGGGTCCTTAAAACAGAGCGATTTGCTAAAGAGAATTAAGAAATATACCCAGAAATAAATTGAAAATGGTATTTTTGCTATACATAACTCAATTGGAGTGAAAAGTTTGCAATGCTTTTAAATTTTGGGTCATTTTACACAAGTAGAATTATTATGCTGGGAAAACAAAATTAGCGGTTGATGTGAAATTTTGCACACAAGTTATCAGGCTAGACCTACGTCAAATAGAACAGTAAACTCAAAAAATTATTTTGATTTTGATTTCCCATCAATTTGAAAAACTCAGTGGAGTCCCTTTAACTTTTAAAATGACAAAAACTGTATGAGAACATTTTGAAAAATTATGACACACTTAGCTCTTTGTTAGTTATAAAAAACTGTTCTGTCATTCATTTCCTACATATTATTTTATTTTCATGTTATTTTCATGGACTGGAAGCCAATTTAATGTTATATTCTTGTGCCTGCGCTAATTAAGATAAGATTGGTTAGTATGGCCTTTTGTTGGAAACTTATTATTCATACTTGTGACACGTGATTGTCATTCTTTAAATATTGAATATGTAAGATGACCATACCATAATGTTTTGATATTTTTATGGCATAAATTTTAGATATTTTTGGGATCATCAGATTTATGTATGGCTTGCAAAGTTGGTGGGTCGCTACAAAATGTCTGGCACTTTCGCTGAAAAAAATTAGCAGATTAACAGTTCATCAAGAATGAAATGTATTGAGATAATTAAAATAATTTGAAGTTAAATTTACAAAAATTGTATCAAAATAATGTAATCTGTGTTAGGAATATGGTAAGATATTACATACTTAGTTGGTCTCACTTTCTCAGATCAAATTGTGTACTAAAATAGTTCTTTCTTATATAACCTAAAGATTTACAAGCATCAGGTGGTTTAATGTTTATGAAAGTACCGGGTATTGTGTAAAATGGCATGCATTTAGATACTGTCTTTTTCATCAGTGCTGTGTAAAAGTAACATTAAGTCATATGATAATCAGGGAGTTGTAAAATATTCCAACTTTATCCATTAGTCATTTATATTCCAAATTACAAGCTATGTTCATTAGTCATTTATATTGTATTTTTTTTTAATATTTTATTTTGCTTTGTTATTCTTGTAGTTTACAAAACTATAATGCTTCAAAGTGCTTTTGTTTAGCTATGTGTTTTGTTTTTTTAATTACTTTGAAACTAAGTTTCTGTTTACATTATGAATGTATGATATAGTATATGTATATAATTTGATAAAAACGACAAAATGTTTTGTAAAACATAAACTGGGCAGAGTCAAGTGAATAATGATTGTACGTATATGGTTGTTTAGAACAAAGATTTGGCTTAAAAAGAGTCACTTTTTCACCTCATTGACAGCTTAGTATCATTGTATTTTATCAACCGTCCATCTACAATATGCACAATAATGTCTCCTCTATAACCATGGTGTCAATTTTGACCAAACTTCAAAGAGAACTGTATTGTTTTATATCCTTTGAAATATAGGTAGTTGTTATATGCTTAACTACAATAAAAAAAAGGAGACAGATTTCAAAATTGTTTCATGGAATAATTGTGTAGGATATCCATTTCTTAATACCTCTAAATTGTTTTACTACTAGTACCTTAAAAAATGTTGCACTTACAAGTGAAAAATGTTATTGAAAATATATAGGAGATTAGTTGCGTGTTATATATTAACCTAGCACTGATTAATACCTTCAAAACATTATAAGAGTAGAACAACCTTGAACAGGTCATTAATAACAATATTTTAATATAGTTGGAGAAGAGAATGAATGGCCATTAGTAGACCTGATTGTTTTCAAGTTGCAGAGGATGTAGCATATTCCTGTTCCTTTACAATCGTTTTACTGATCAATGCAGTATTTGACATTATAGATTTACCATAAACCATTGTAAAGTGAGATTTAAAAATTTTAGATTTTTGGTTGGTTGAATTTGTTGTTATTCCTAGATCATCCTGTGACATTTTTGGAAGTCCTGATGACTGTAATAGAAAGTGCTATGGAATAATATAACAAAATAAGCAAGCTTATAACAGATGTGACCCAAATGTAAACTTTTTTTAAACCTAAACCTCACTGCTGTTTGAATAACAACACTGTATATTTGTATATATTTGTATTACTGCAAACTAACACTGTGTTCAAAATTTGTATGATTGTATTGTATTAGAATATATTGCTAGTCAGTAGAAATGATGAATGTCGTGATCTTGTCATTACAATGTACTTTTAAACTGTAAATATATGTATAATGTCACTTATACAGGATGAAAGTTGGATCAGAAAATATACTGAACAGATGACGGAACTTTTTCTCCTATCTTTTTATAAATGACATCAAAATATATAATTGTAATAACTTTTTTGGGGGCTGGGTTTTAAGTCAAGCTGACATTGCAACTTTCCAGCTTTATTGGAACTCAGTTGCCCTTCGGAATATAACATGTATTTCAGGTAGAAGTAGGCATGTGAGTTGACAAAATGTATATATTCTATAATTGAACATTTTGCGTTGTGAACTTACCATAGATATAGTTATTAGGAAATGTTTTTTTTTTCATTTGTTAACAGTTTTGTAGACATCTCAATTCATTATCTTGCACTTATAAACATGCACTAATTAAAGTGTAGTTGTTTAAGAATAGTCCGAGCTACATTGAGTAGTATCTTTTTGTAGTAAATGTAATCAAGAATAGCTCATAATTCCATATGTTTTACAGGATATAGATTGCACAGTGCCATATGTTATAATATATAAGCAGTGCAATATTATACTACTCTGTACACATGCCTTTCATCTTCACCTTTTGAGATTCTCTTTACAATGTTTACAGCAGCATGCCTTCCAATTAGGTGTATATACATGTATATTCTAAGGTGATTTTGTATCAAGAAATTAAGATTGAGCAGACAGCAATATACAGTGTGTTATCAGACTGCATAGAATGATGTACATGCTGGCTGATGTATGCAAAACTAATCTCCACATGCATTCAAAACTTGTACAAGAAATAAATTATTTTAACTATGTCAAAGTAAAAACATTTTGTAATGGAACATTCATCAATTGGTTCTTTGTTAGATATAATCAACTTATGGCAGAAAAAAGTAAGATTGTTCACTTCTGACAGGTTTATACTAATGATAGTATTGGTATATAGATTATACACTTTGATCTTTCATGTATATGTCTCTGTTAAACATTATTGGTGCAGTTATTTTTTGTTTATCTATGTGATGTTTACAAACAGGTTGCTGATACTGGTTGTTTTGTTATGTATTTCTCTGCTGAAACAATTTTAAACATTTAATATGACATGCATGTTCACATGTGTAGATATTTAGATAAAGTGCATTTGTAGTAATAGTTTGCCAACTAATTATGGCTAATTTTGGCCAATTAGGTATATGAAAAGTTTGCATCATTGAAAAAAATGGTTTACATTGTCAAAAAAATGTCACACCTGGCAGGTTCTTAGACATATTGTTAATTTTATTGAACTTAAAATATTTAATTAATGAGTATTCCAGTATTAATTGCTGTGCTTGCTTGTTTTCAATTTAGCACAGTCCATTATCAATTAAAGGGATGTCAAGGTTCACAGTTGGTCAGGTTACAGTACAGATTGCCCAGATGTGGTGCTGAGCTCGGCTCTTTAATTTAGAATTTCAGTGTCAGCAATCTTAGGTTTAAGAGATTATGTTGTTCTCTGGTATGATTTACTGACCTTGACATGTCAGATGAAAGAGACCTGTGATTGATATTTTAGCTAGATGTTGATGCAAGTTTCTGACCTTTAGTAAATGAGAACAGGTTTATTGACTGACAAAGTTTACATCATCTTTATTGTGGTCACTTGGAGATAACAGTGGGCATGTTAGTTTAAACATAATGCAGCTATATGGATGTATTTTGTACACCTGTTAAGCAGTCCTGATTTAAAAGTGTTAGTTTTCATGGTTGAATTTCTTATAATGTTTTATAAATTAAGCATTTAATGAATGAAAAAAAAATATTTGTGACATAACATATCAAAATATGTTAACCAGATGTTGATATTGTTAATTGTGAATGACATAAAGACAATTGTATTTAACATTAATCATTTAATGTACATGTACTACTTTTTTCTAATATTTACATTCCTACATGCACTTTATATAAACTTTTGATAATATACTATTATCATTCTGCCTTGAGTATTATATGGTACAGCTTTAAAATGATATGCCACTTGTTTAATCAGTGCATCTGTTTATTAAGATATTATTTCGTTTAATCAAAATTATACAATAAAATAAAGGACAGTGGTAATATGTTCAGGGCAGAGAATTATATATTTCACTATAGGGTTACAGTATAATATGCATAATAAACACATAACTATATTCAAACTCTTTATTTACACACTTCTAAAACATAATGCAATATTGACGATTTTTTTCTATAGAATAAATTTTTGAATTCTAAGTGTGTTGTTGACTTTTATCTAATGTATGTCAAATATACTTGTATAATAAAATTAGTATTGACTTATTTGGAAATGCTTGAAAAGCAATGTCTAAAGCAGACAATGGACGTTCCGGAACTCGGCAAGTTTGGGTTTTTCCCAGCTAATCTGTAGGTACAAACTAACTTTTACCATTATAGCTTCATGTTGCAATAACCGTCACAATAGATTGGTCAACCTGTTTTGCTTATTTTTGTAACTGTAAAAGTTTGTTAGAAGGTATGGATTAGCAGCGAAAAAAAAAAATATTCTTAATTCTTGAGTCTTTTCATTGAATGACATTGAATGCTTGCAGTTAATAAACCATCATCATCATATAAAATGCTTAAAATTCTTGGAACAAGTCTGTTAAATGCTGATTTTCTTTCAAACATGCTATGCTATTAGACAGTAATAGATATCACTTCTGTTTTTCTCAAATAATTGAATATATTGTTAAACCTGTATGTTCAAGACTGCAATAACTTATATGTAAAGCATTGAACGACGTCATTGAATGTATGCATTTTAGTAAGAATATAAAGATGACTAGTTAAAGAGGTCAAGGTCACTGACCATAATGCTGAATTACAGCTAGGTATATGTTGCACAGAAGTGTATTTCTCTTTACATTACAATGTTGACGGAAATAGTTTTGTGAATGTTTGGATGGACACTGTGAAAATAATAGATTGAAATTGCTGGAGAGATGTATGATGTAGATGTACACAAATAAGCATGCTTCTGTCAAATTTTAGAAAAAAATACAAGAGATCTTCCATAAAGTCTGCAGCAAATTAGAATATTTACAGATACTAGTAAATTATTAAAATCAGATGAAATAACACCCATCTTCCTTGTAAATTATCACAATACTGGTAACATTTTGTTAGTCAAAGGTTAAGGTCACTGTGACTTTTAACACTTAAAACAAATTTAGTTCAATAACTACTTGGGAGTTTACCCTACAGGTGCCAAGATGTAATCAAGACTTAATGTGATTTACCTCTATCATAGTGGAGTGTTCTCACTTGAAAATTCATTTAATAATTGCTTGCAGTCAGTAAAAGACTTGAATTACTAGTATTTCAAATATAAATGTTGTTACGACAATCCTGACACTATCATCCATTTTTACAAGCAAAGTTGTCACTGACTTAAGAATAAACAATCACATGAGGAGAGGTAGTCACTGAAGTTGGGGGATGATGAAATCTTATCCATGTATATATAAATTTGATTGCTTTATAATTTTATTTATTGAAACTATTTCAACATCATTCAAAAATTTGATTAAACATGTAAACTTTTGATGTTTGGAATGTGAACATAATTCAATTTTACATACATTTTAACGATAATTATAACTGATATGTGATAAATACATATTGTATGTAAATACACTACAAAATTAATCATTAAAACAAGTTTATCACAGAATCATTTAGTTTCAATACTATACATAATTGTCTTTAAACCAGCTTAAAGGCAATGATAAGGAATTTATCAATGTCATGTATTCTATGATAAGCATTTAGAAGTGTTGTCCCTGTATCCAGACAGTCTTGCTCTGCTAAAGGCATGCCATCTAAGTATGGATAGTGTGCAGCACCAATTAACCTGCAACAGTTACAATAAATATAAATGGTAATATATAAAGCAATACAGTCATATAATACTATGTTTACTGGGAAAAACTTTTTGTATCATTTAGTTTGATTGTGTAGGAAGCTATAAACTTATTGAAACACTCAAATTCATTCTTGGAATCAACCACTACTAAGTAATTAGTGTTAAGTTTCTTGCTCATGGAAACAACTGCTTGCCCCTGAGGGTGATTGAACCCACACAGCCAGCAATCCTTAGATTACTAGTCTGACAAATTAACCACTCGGCCATGTATATAAGTTATTAAGTATCAAAGTCCTTTACATGTACTTGTTTTGACTATTCGGTAAATGTTAACTCATGAATTGTATACTAAAAAGACCTTACCTACTTTACTTATTAAAAAGATGCAAATGTGTTAATTTCTATATTTGAAATAAATACAAAATAAGAGTATTACCTTCTAATGATTTCACAGGCAGTAAATCCTGCAGTTTCAGACAGAAGCTTGCTAACATACTCATCTCTGTTACCTGTACTTTCTGACATATTCTCCAGGTATATGTTCACTGTAATAATGTTCATGTAAATAGATGAAGTAATGTAGTAAAAATACATTTGAGTTATTAAAATTGAAGGGTGTATCATTCACACAAAAAATGTGCTTTTTACAACTAAAGATCAAAAGGGGAGTATGATTATGAATTACGCTTATGATTTAACAAATCATATTTATCAAGAAGACTATGAAGCTCAATTTAACAAGTGTAATATTCTACGACTCTTGGATTATCTTAAAAAAACATAATATTGAAAATACGTAAAAGATGGTCTACACTTCATTGCACAGGTTGAAAATGTCACCCAAGTGTAGTAATAGGTTAACTCCTATAAAATTATAAAAGGATTTAACTTGTTACTGCACTTAGGTAACAAAATCATAATTTATGAAACTCCATGCTTAATTACATGTTTTAGTTTATTGACAGTACAATAATAATTGTTAAAAGTAAATATTATAAATATATATATTTACCAAATGCTTTACATGCATCAACCATCTTGTAAGCAAATACTCGATGGGTGTCATTGTCTTCTTCTGTACTAATATGTCTGTGATAGGTGAAAATAAAGTTGGCAAGTACAACCCCTAGGTCGTATCCAGCTGGACCAACAGTACAAAACTCTAGATCAAACATCCTTGTGTCCGTCCCTTTAACCATAATAGAACCAGCATGTAGGTCACCATGTATCAAACATTCTTTCTTCTCTGTAAAGATCTTACACAAAGCTTTGGCAGCAGAGAGGACATTTTCATCTTCATACAATAAATTCAATCGTTCTGATACTTCTGGTGAACATTTGTTTGTATCATCCGGTTTATTGAATGGTTTAGTGAAAACATACTCAGCAGTCAGCCCAACCATTGTTGAATTGCTGGAAAATAATATATAATCTTAATAAAATGAATGTTTAATTGAAATTTAACAACAAAACATGCAAAAAGGATTGTTATAAGTACAATAACAAGTAAATCAAAGTAACAGACCACTGTACTTTCTTACTTGGCAACAGACAACTGTACTTTCATACTTGGCAACAGACCAATGGCAACAGACCACTGTACTTTCATACTTGGCAACAGACCACTGTACTTTCATACTTGGCAACAGACCACTGTACTTTCTTACTTGGCAACAGACCACTGTACTTTCTTACTTGGCAACAGACCACTGTACTTTCATACTTGGCAACTGATAAATGGCAACAGACCACTGTACTTTCAAACTTGGCAACAGACCACTGTTCTTTCATACTTGGCAACTGATAAATGGCAACAGACCACTGTATTTCATACTTGGCAACTGGCAACAGACCACGGTACTTTCTTACTTGGAAATAGACCACTGTACTTTCATACTTGGAAACAGACCACTGGCAACAGAACACTGTACTTTCTTACTTGGCAACAGACTATCGTAGTTTTATACTAAAGCAACGGACCACTGTACTTCATACTTTGCAAAAGACCAGTGAATTTTCCTACTTGGCAACAGATCACTGTACATGTACTTTCATACTTGGCAAATGACCACTGTACTTTCATACTTGGCAACAGACCACTGTACTTTCTTACTTGGCAACAGACCATCGTAGTTTTATACTAAAGCAACAGACCACTGTACTTCATACTTGGCAACAGGCCACTGAATTTTCATGCTTGGCAACAGATCAGTCTTTTATACTTGGCAACAGATCACTGAATTTTCATACTTGGCAACAGATCACTGAATTTTCATACTTGGCAACAGATCACTGTACTTTCATACTTGGCAACAGACCAATGGCAATAGACCACTGTACTTTCATACTTGGCGACTGATTAATGGCAATAGACCACTTAACTTTCATACTTGGCGACTGATTAATGGCAACAGACCACTTAACTTTCATACTTGGCAACAGACTAAAGGCAACAGGCCACTGAATTTTCATGCTTGGCAACAGATCACAGTCTTTTATACTTGGCAACAGATCACTAATTTTCATACTTGGCAACAGATCACTGAATTTTCATACTTGGCAACAGATCACTGTACTTTCATACTTGGCAACAGACCAACAGCAATAGACCACTGTACTTTCATACTTGGTGACTGATTAATGGCAATAGACCACTTAACTTTCATACTTGGCAACTGATTAATGGCAACAGACCACTTAACTTTCATACTTGGCGACTGATGCATGGCAACAGACCACTTAACTTTCATACTTGGCAACAGACTAAAGGCAACAGGCCACTGAATTTTCATGCTTGGCAACAGATCACAGTCTTTTATACTTGGCAACAGATCACTAATTTTCATACCTGGCAACAGATCACTGAATTTTCATACTTGGCAACAGATCACTGTACTTTCATACTTGGCAACAGACCAACAGCAATAGACCACTGTACATTCATACTTGGCAACAGACCAATGGCAATAGACCACTGTACTTTCATACTTGGTGACTGATTAATGGCAATAGACCACTTAACTTTCATACTTGGCGACTGATTAATGGCAACAGACCACTTAACTTTCATACTTGGCGACTGATTAATGGCAATAGACCACTGTACTTTCATACTTTGCGACTGATTAATGGCAACAGACCACTTAACTTTCATACTTGGCAACAGACTAAAGGCAATAGACCACTGTATTTTCATTCTTGGCAACATACCACCTGGCAATAGACCACTGTACTTTCTTACTTGCAAGGGGCAGGACCTTAGCTTGATGCTTTAAACAAGAAAAGAGTGTAGTCTTAGACTAATGGTGCCAATTTACTCTTAAATATTCAGGAGTTTGGTTCAAATATCAACAGGTATGACAATTTTCTTGAAATATTCATAAAATATAAATGACCAGTACCTAGCCATAAATGTTTACTATAACTTAAAGTACTGTTAGACAGACCAAAGAAAATGTTATAAAAAAAGTTTTTGAAGGGATGCCAATAAAGGTGTCCAGTTTTTATGTCAATCTGCTACAATCTGCTTTGAGTTTTCAGGGTCACAAACCATTCTGTGCCATAGGAATTACAATGTTTATTTTTAGTAAAAGGCACACTGAAAATAAGTATCTTTACATAAGAGATGGTAACTAGTTAAATACTATCTGTTTAACAAATGTCTGTAAAGTTTGTAAACCTGTTTAATATAGTGCTTAAAACCAGCTGAAAACCTTCTCTAGATATAGTTACCAAAAAGATTTTACATCTGACAAAAGGTTGTTATAAAATGAAATTACTCTAAATGTAGAAAAAGCTCATTTATTGCATCCTCCCCAATCTTGCCTATGTGTGTTTTACTGTGAACTGTGGCTAGAGATTGACCCAAGTTTTCTGCAATCTTCTGATCAAACTGACCACTGATAAGATTCTGTTGAAGAATGTTATATCCTTCAAGATCTTCCAGGTAAACTGCAATCATAATTTTTTTCAAACATACAACAATTTGTCAATTTTGTTGAAAACTCAAACAATACATTATTTGTGAAATTAATCATAAATTGTCTGCACAATAAAACATAAAATTTATTTATGTAATAGAATCATTAAATGATAGAAAAAAACAACATACCAGCATTGTGTTGCTTGTTAAAAAAGTATGGTTGAGGGACACAGCCAGGAGCCAGCTGATGAAATTTTACCAAAGCCTTGTACTCGGCATCAATTCTTGCAACCCCAAGTGGGTATCCTTCTCCTAGACACTGGAAGGTCAAATATTATTATATTAACATGTTCAAAAAGAGATTTTCATAAAATACCGCTAAATCTAACCTGATATATTAACCTTATGAATGTTTATGGCCATGTTAAATGCTAACATTATAGAATCAGGTCAGACTACTCATCTGTCTGGTCTGTCTCTACAATGCATTAATGGCTGCTAAATGGAGCATTTTGATAACAAAACCCCTAACATCAACAATGGTTTTAAAACCATCATACAGATTCCAAGTAATTGAAGTTGGACAACTGTTCCATTATACAAATTTAGCATGGTGAAGGTTAATATTTAGTTGATAAAAATTGAATCATAGTTCATCAAAGAAATGAAAGCTTTAAAATTAATACATATTTTAACATCCTTTAAATAAATGATATGTGCAAATTATATAATATAAACATGACTTTTGTTTAATGTATACCTTTATATAAGGCAAGGAATGTTTAACAATGACACTGCGTCCATCTTTGGTGTAAACACGTAGCACTACATTCAAGTTCCCATCTCCTATCTCATCTACACATATTTCATCAGAACTACAAAACTTCTGGAAAAAAAATATAAGCTTTACTTTCAAACGATCTTCAACTAATATATTACTTGCTTGAGACTATATCATAGTTTAGTACGAAACTGTGAAATGAAAAAGTTATTCATAGAGTATGTCATATGTTTACCTCCAAAGTGCATTCCTAAATTCTGTTGCAAGATTGTTTTAATTCAAAAAAAAAATTATTCCTTTAGTAATAATAATTATAATTAGATCTATAATAAAATCTTTGTTTGGAGAAAGTAACGAAATTAATTGCAGCAATTTTTAATAGTTTTGCTGGTGGATATTTAACTATAAAAACAACAACTACCACCTTAATTTTCCATGAAGATTACCATGACAAGGGTAAATGTCTTTATAAATTATAATTACATTCTGCCAAATTATTACAAATTTAATAAAATATGATATTTTGATATTGTACTCAAATGTTCAAAATGTTTTGGTTTAAACATATTTATTTTGAAACATCAAATCTTTTAATTTCATCCATATAATACTATAAATAAAGACTGTTCTGTTCTCTACTGTATACATGAATTACACATACATGTAACTGTAATGTATGTACAGTATATGCATGTATGCGACGCATGATGTATATGTCATATTTAAATAACCCCCCCCCCCCCCCCTTAAACTGAATTTTATCTTTAATTGATTTATGGAATGGAATTAATGCTTAATTAAAGTTTGCATATCTTCATTTTAAAACGTACCAAATTGTCCGGAATATAAGAACACTCGCGCACAAGCACACCCCATTTTTTAATGTCCATTGTAGGTCATAATTTAGGACGTTCATGATATATTTGGGTCTTTCCGCATTTTCTTTATTTAGAAACAAGACGTCAGAGGTGTGTCAATATGAACCAATGACCGTTGTTCGTCATTTGGCATATTGCCAAATATTCTGACGCAATTTTTCTGTCCGAATAACATATTTTCTTCTTCCGCATTACTGATATAATTCTTGCACTTTTCCATTCATAACACGTTAATTAAAGCAGTTTTACATTTCACAAGGTAATCATATTGATTAAAAACTAAAATCTAAGAAATAATTTGCAATATTGACTCAAAATAAGTCGTTTAGAGAGAAATCAAAAATAATTTGCGTAGGAAAATGAACTTTTTTCGGCAAAAATAGGATGAAACTACGCACGTTGCCGCAAATCATGACTGAAAGGTAACGAATACAGAATAACAGAACACGCTTACCGCTAATATGGACGAGTGAACCTTCACAACAAACCTGTGCAAAAGCAGTGCTTTGCACCAAGAACAATTACATTATCAACATGGCGTGAGTATTAATTTATTCAATTTTATTAATTATTTTAACACTGATTAATTTAATTCATTGTGATTATCAACGTGGCATATCCCGCCATTTTGAGAAAATAAAATTGAATGATAAAATGTTAGAAATGTTTCCTACATTGTTGTTGTTAATCCATTTGTTTGAATATCTATTAACGTTTCTTTAGTTTTCTAAATATATATATATTCATATGTCATGAAATTTTTGTTGATTATCTCCTCAAGGAAATATAAATTTGTCCTTGAAAGCGTGAATGAAAATCACACAGAAGACATTAAAAAACATGTTCAAGTATAATGGTCATTTTAATGAAAATACTATATAAAAATGACTGATTCCTTCTAAAATGAAATGTTTCTTTGTGTATATTATTTAATGTCCGCTGGCAGAATAGTGTGCTTCCCTTGTTAACGAGACTCTCCTTGTATTTTGCAGGTCTTTTCACCATTTCCTATTCCTGGCAATTGCCATATATCAATTTGAAAGTCGGACAGAAATAAAGCAAGATGGAATTCATGGACCAAATGAATTTGTTCGAGGACCCATTGGGTCTGACAACAGACTTGTTTGTGGATGATCTGGGTACGGAGGGTAGCATTCTTGATTTTGGCCTAGATGGGGGTCTGAAATATCAGTCAGCTACCCAGGAGTCTCTAGAGGACTTGCTTCTTACAGATACTCCAGCAGGTAATTATGATTTTTGTTGGTATTTATTGATATGCACTATCTACAAGGGCTGAGAGTTTCAGTCTGTTCATCTGATACTTATACTTCAGTTACTTGTAATTTGTTTAACTTGGAGAAACACAAATAAAACAAACTGAGTCCTCACATTGATTAACAGTATTAAGTTTCTTGAATGTTATCATTGTTATGTCCTAAACTGGCAAGCAGACTGAAAATTTTCATAATAAAAATTGTTTCTGATACCAATAACCTCAACTTATATAATGTGCTGTTTTTATTTTAGACTCTCTTGGAGAAGAATGGATGGAAACTGTGGATTTCCAAAACCTCCTGAACACTGACAGGGGCTGTGAAAATGCTCCAGTCGCAATTAAAGTTGAAAAATCAGAGCCTCGCCCTGAAGGGATGAAACAGGCTGCCTTTGATATATTGAAGGCCCTGTTAACTGGCCAACAGCCAGCAAAGACGGAGATATCTCTAGATTTGCTCAAGCCAGTTGAGAAAGATCTTCATGTGGAAGCAGTAGCTGCAATCTCCCCAGTTGCTGAGGTTCCTGATATAGACTTTCCCACCTATGATAGTATCAACATGTTGCTTGGAGGTGTTGACAATCAAGTCATCCATTCTTTTGAAGATTTAATTCAACCTGAGGTTTCTTTAGACAATGGTGATGTTATTGAATTACAACCATTACAGTCTGGTCAAAATTTTTCACTTGACTCTTCTGTTGAGGCTCCAGTGTTACTTTTACAGGACAACTTTAAGACAGAGAGTCTGAGTGTAAGTTCTTTCTGTGATGCAGATGTTGAATCAATTTTATCTTCAGGACCTACCTCCCCATCTGATACTTGTCAAGACATGAGCACAATTGATACCAGCTATTTCAGTGACAGTAGCAGCCAGTCAAGTTCTGCTAAAAGTATACAAGTGTCAAGTGAGGATTTCACAAAACTTAAATCAAAAAGTAAGAAAAACAAGTCTAAAAGTTCTCCGTATGATTCACATAAAGTTTCAGATAAAAGACTAAGGAAGAAAGTGCAAAACAAGAATGCGGCCACCCGGTATCGAGAAAAGAAAAGGCAGGAAAAGGAAACGTTGCAGGAACAGGAAGTTCGTCTCTCGGACACTAACAAAGCTCTACGTGAAAAGGTTGAATCAATTCAAAGAGAAATTCAATACATGAAAGAACTAATGAATGAAATAAATAAAGCTAAACAATCTAAAATATAAGTTGAAAAAGTGTTTGTAGAGATCTACTTTATGTTTCTGTAACATTGCTTTTTTCATTCATACATTGTACATTCATTCATCTCATTGTAATTTATGTCAAATCATTTTAGTTTGATTAAAATGCAAAAAGGTAACATGTCTTTGTATTATGCAGTCATTATTTAAACTGTTCTTAATTTTGAAAATTTTAATTGATGATTAGTAAATGATCTACTGGTTGCTGATAATGGTAAAGTACTTTGCCACTGGAAACAAGGTAATTGTGAATATGCTTGCATTAACCAAGGGGATGATGAATACACTTGAATAGGTATGCAAGTTAAATTTATGAAAAAAATTGTTACAGTTTCCAGCATTGAATTCATGAGTCCAAAAGAATGCAAGTTAATTTTGACTATTGAAAGTCTTTTCTGTATAAAAATATGTGAAAATGCTAAATTCACAGTAATCAGGACTTATATCCCTTATGCTACAGTATTGTGACATCTTTCAGCACTGCAAAGCAACATGGTTATTAATTTAATTTTGAACTGGTGAATATGTTCAACATACAGTAGTTATTCTTGAATATCGGTGGTCAAGAAATTGAGAACAGTACTAAAATGGATGCTCAGAGGAATGAATTCTTATGTGCCCTCTTTCAGCACTTCTGCATGATAAAAAGGTCTGCTGACGACAAACTAATGTTTGTGTTGTCATCCTTCCAAAGCCGTTACCTTACACCCCTTGTATAATAAATCCAACAATGCAATGGTTTGGCATTATCTAAGCATACCTTCAGTTTACCTTTAGAAACCTTGTTTAAAATGTCTAACTAAGCCATTGCTCTTGGATTGTTCAAGTCTAATCCATATCGAGCAAGGCCGTCATTGAAGGTCCGGAGATGGCTCGTTTAAAAATGTCTGGCCTTAGCTATAAACCTATGCTACTGATTAGCTATTGAACTGGTCGCTTTAATATACATACTCGTACATGATGCTTAATATCAGGACACTGTTTATTGACCAGGTGAAGGGGCGTCCGTGGCCGAGTGGTTAAGGTCGTTGACTTTAAACTACTTGCCCCTCACCGCTGTGGGTTCGAATCTCGACAGGGACTTTGGATTCTTTCATGCGAGGAAGCTATCCAGCTAGCTTATGGAACGTCAGTGGGTCTACTCGGGTGCACTGAAGGACACCCGAGGTCTTCCTCCACCAGTAAAGCTGGAATGTCGCGATATGACCTATACTGTGTCGATGTGAAGTAAAACCCAAAACAAACAAAAACAATTGATCAGGTACTATGACGTCAAGTTTGAAGTGAACAAAATATAAGTAACTGTTGACTGGTAATATACTATTTGAACCATGTTAGCTTTAACCATAGCATGACTGCCTCCGTGGACGAGAAGTTAAAGAGTCAATGACTTCTAATCCAGTTACCTCTGGTGTCGGTTTGATCCCTGGGAGATGCTTAAGTAGTTTAGTGCAGAGGAAGGTAGTCTAGTACTGGTGTAACTCCAGGAACAATGATTAGGACACCCACCTATATGACTGAAATACTGTTTGAAAAAGGTGTAAAATGAAACAAACAAATGTGTGAACACAATCTACGCACTACTTTACTTACATGTAATATTTCTCGTATTAGTCTTTTTTTGTTTGTAATGTATGTGTCTAATAAAGACTATCAAAATACAGGGTCACCTTGTATGCACTTCTTGCACATGGAAATGGCCTGTCATTCAAGGTTATGTGTACACACTACACAGGGTGATACATTATTACACCATTTACAATGTGATGATGTAGAATGCACGGTGCTATACATGTGGAAAACTTTGTGCTAAACAAACTTCGAGTAGTATAAATTTCTGAGCAGGTAGGGTAAAAGAGTCAAGTATGTTTGTATCACTTAACAATAGATTACAATTTCATGAGGTTGAAAGACTGCAGTCCATTCAGACATCTTGAGACTACAGAGATGTGGGGATGAGAAGATTCCATGAAAATGCTTGTTAAGTAAATGCAGAACACAAAAGGACACATATACAAAATTTTCTCTATCTACAAGCTAGAATTATATACCAATGAATTTGCTTTTCAAATCAAACAAGAATAAGTACATTTGTACATAAATTACAAGATAAAAGTAATTTATAGACAAATATTTTCTCGGGGGTAATTAGCAATGGTTGGTGTAATAGTACAAAAGTAAAATATTGCTTGCATGATCACCTTAATTAGTCAATGATACCCAGAGGAAAAGTTAAGGAATTTTCTTGATGGCTTTTGTAAAAATGACATTATCTGGAATATAGGCGAAATCTTTCAAGAGTTCTTATGGAATTCTATATAAGTATAAAGAGAACACAACCAATACAGGGGATCATGAGGTTTGATGTAATTCAAGATTTAGCAGATGGGGTTTCAGTATGAAATAATCCATTAAAGTTGGAAACATCATAACACTTAAAGAATCTAGTAAAAATATACTATCCTATCAAGTATATCTGAAATACATGTACAGATATTTATTTTAAAAGAAAAAAAGATGTTACATTTTCCTTCTCATTCCAATAAACATGTCTTTTACATAATACAATGACCGTTAGAGTCATGAACCTGAAAGCCAATTTTCCATTTAACATCCCTATTAAGATTGGTTTCTTGCTTTAAGAAATACAGTCTACAGAAAATGTAGTGTACAACAAGGGTGTTTTCTTTTTGTTGGGTTTTACATCACTCCAATACAGTATAGATCATACGGCGACTTTGGTGCCGTGAGCAACAAACAGGTACCATAGCAGAACCACTAATGTTCATAAACTAGCTGGATAGCTTCCTTACTTGAGAGAGTCCAAAGCCCTGTTGCGATTTGAACATACAGTGGTGAGGGTCAAATGGTTTCAAGTCAACAATCTTAACAACTCTGCCACAGATGCCCCTTGTACAACAGGTAAACATTTGCAAAAGCATACCTCTTATAAAATAAAACTTTAAACACTATGATAATACAAACGCAGGAGCCTTAACTCATTGCATCTTTATTGTTTACATTCAATGTTCATTATAAATATTTAAAACTTTTGTTTCTGTTAAACATTAGAGAGAACAATTATGCAAAACAAACAAAATACAAAATTCATTAATAATTTTTTATCACATGGTCATAGGTATCTTATAAAATTAAAATAAAATGAAAACAGTATAAGCAGAAGTGTCCATAAATTAAATAAGAAGTTTTACAGTTAACGATGTCCTTTTCAAAAGGATATTGATCTGTCTGTTATTTTTCATTCAAATGTAATTTTTTCACTTGAGCGGATTGACTGAATTTTCTGTATATTTTAAGAGAAAACTCTAGTGTACATGATACTGTCTGATATTAACAGTCACTTAAAATAAATAACATAATTAGGAGCAATAAAATAACCCAGCATCAATTTTGCACCTGACTTCTGTTTAACAATTATCACTCACTACCAGATTCCTTCATACATTAATTACAGAGCCACCTGGTGTAAATAATTCCTATGTAACCAATTCACAGAGAACAAACAGAAAGACATATTTTACATTTACTAGTCCTACTTATTTAATTAGCTGTGATCATGTAACAGGTATAAAACTTTTAATTGATTGTAATATTTTTGCTTTATCAGTTTTGTCATCTCGTCCATATTTCTTCCCAATTAACAAAAGAATCATCAATGCTGGTATATGAATTAGAGTAAAGCGGAATAATTTTCTTGATGAATTGCTATCCCCTTTTCTATAGAAGTTCCAGGCTAAGTAAGTTAGCCAGATGTTGAGTGGTAATGAATCCACAGCAAATGTCCATGTGGTGAGATCAACCAGAGGTGCCACACTACACAGTCCTATCATTCCTATACTGTATCTGAGAGCTACACGTTTACACAGTTCTGGTTTCACCACACTAGCCATTCTGTATCCACCACGGGAATAATCTGGTCGTAGGTTCCAGCTAAGTGCATTAAAGTGAGGAAACTGCCAGGCATACAGGATAGCACCTAACAGGAATGCTCCTATAGAAACAATAACATAACATGAATTAATAAATACTTTAACTGAGAAGTTTTTTAAAAATGTAAATTCCTCTTATGTAGCAATAATAATACTAATAGACTTACACACTAACATATGGACATCAAAAAGAGACATTACAGCTACTAAAATATACTTATTGAATATCTAGCAGCTATACATCAGCAAATATATTTTCCAAAACAAAATATGTTTTAAAATAAAAATCTGTCCTACTTTGTAGGATTGTGAAAAGGTAACCTGGGGGTTCAGGGTTCAAGTCACTGTATGAGTTAGGCTGCACATTTCATATTCAATAAAAAAATTATTTCTCTTTGTCATTTGTTTTATTTCTGTTTTTTTATCATATAGGTTCTTCTAGTACCTGGTTAAAATATAGAAAACATCACTGAATGTTGTTCTACCACAAACCCCACCACTACAGATATTCTGAATATTTACAATATATCTCAATGGTTATTTAGAATCTATACTGATTTTATATGTACCTGGTTCCAGCATTCCTGTACAGGCTGTCCATCCCATCATAGGAGGTATAGCACCAACAATGGAACCAACCCATGTGTTTAATATGCTGTATCTTTTCATTGGTGTATAAACTAATGTGTACAATCCAAGGTTAAAAGCTCCCAGGGTGGCAGTGAGAGGATTTACACCTAGGGACAGAATTGCAAGTCCTGTAGACCCAGTTATCACAGCAAATGTTACTGCATGCAATGAACTGTAATACAATAAGCATAATAGTAATGTTAAACATGAATTTTATAGAAATATTATGTATATAAATCAATAAAGATTATATTATGGTAATGTTAAGCATGAATTTTATAGAAATACCATGTATAAATCAATATAGATTCTATTAAAGGATAGAGATTTAGCAAAACGTTTATTTGATTAACTTTTAAAAATAATTTTTCAATACATGTATTATATGACATGTAGTTAATTCGATATTTAACATGATTACTCGATTCAAATACTTTACATTGTCACGTCAAAAGCAAACATAATGACTTGTGTCCATTACAAATTTCTTACATCTCAACTCAATGGTGATTTTTTAAAATTTGGGAAAGATGTTTGTTTAAAACATTGATAGACAAGCACATTCAAGTAATTTTGAAATGAATTAAATTACATTTGATGTTTAAATGAAACATTTGAAATAAAGAAAAGTCTTGCCAAGGAAGAAAGACAGACAGGCCCTTCAAGAAAATTGATTCTAGGAATAAACTTTATTTACCTCAGGTGTCCTCGGACTAAAACCCGGTTCTTTGTTCTATTCATCTGGGAGTCAAATGGAATTTCAAAGTACTGAAATTAATAATGCAAACATTTAGTAATAAATTACAATACAAGTTTGAAGACTGGTCACAAGGTAAATGATAGGTTGCAAACCTTGCTACATGTATTTCAAAAACACAGACATTACATTATAAAAATTTGTAAAACAATAATATGTTTAAAACATATTTAAAATTTTTTCACATCATGTCTTAAAACCCTCGAAAAATTTGCCACAGTATGTAATGATCTAAAGTTGTGTTAAGAAGTTCCATATACTACATGGATTAATCATTTTGATTTTGCTTTTTAATGGTTATTAAATGACCACAAAATGTGTTGTTATGCTCTTTAAAATATAGTAATGAGAGCAAAATAAAGAAGTTCAGCAAGAATACTAAACTATTTATTAAAGGTTTAAATAAAAAGACAAAGCCCAGAACTATCCAACATATTAAGTATTACATTTTCTAAAAAAAATCTACAAATCCCATATTCTGCATTGATTAAGATATGTATAGAATTGTTTACCTGATTCATTGCATTAGCGGAACATGAAGTAAGGGCTGTACCAACAGTACATAGAAGAAATGTACTCAGGATGAATGGGTCTGGAGCTACAGCATACCCTGCCATTGTTGTAATTACTACCAAGCCTACAAGTGAAGTTTATGAAATATTATTGACTGCATTGACTGTTTACTGAAGCTTCTACTACTGCATAATACTGCAGAGAAGATCCTAAAAATATTTTCAAGCAAGAAAATTGATGTACTGTATTAGGTACAATATGCACTTTTAACAAACAAGAGCTTGTCACAGACAATGCTGCAGTCCCTTACTTATGTAATGTTTGATTACGGTTACCTACCATAACTCATATAATTAAAGGAATTGACCTTTTAAGAATTTGTCTAAGATTTTTTAAGAGTTCACAAATAACTTGGAAGAAATCATGCTTGTACAATTTTAAATATTGAAAATGGCAATTCTTACAAAATGGGATCAAATGTAAACTTTTTCAGCAATTACAGGATCACATTTACATATAGAAGAAAAGTAAAAAAAAAACAAAATAAAAAAAAAAAAGAATAATGTTACCAGATACATTAAAATACATTGTATTTATATGTCTCTGATGTTACAGTCAGTATGTAACAAAAATGACCATTATTACATTGTACCTGTCAATCTTATTTTGGAAAGCTTCATGTAGTACTCAGGTAGCTTAGAGTAATCCAGTTTAACTTCCTTCCATGTATACTCTGTCATTGACTCTATTTTCTGAGATGGATTGGTGTCATCTATTTTCATACCATCATCATAATCAAAGTTAATTTGTAATGACTTGTTTTGTTCTGGGAGCTTTACCTCAACTTCTTTCATTTGTCTTGCATTGTTGACATTCAACTGAACTCTACTGTTTTTAATAAAAAGAGTAAGGTCGTCACTTTCAGTAGTAAAATCATGTTTCCCTTCAGTCTCATCTGAGGTAGATTGATTTTTAACAGCTGCCTTTTTCTGGAGTAAATGTAGTTTGTCATTATCTAGGTACTTAGATAGATCTGTTGGCACTTTAATTTGGATAACTTTTGTCTCAGATTGAACTGGTTTCCTTGGTTTTTGTTCAATGTTTGTTTCACAAACTGTTGCTGCAACCTTTGGTTTTGTTGAATACTGAAAACAAAAAGAAAATAGGTCAAGCATAAATTTAACAAAGGCTACTGGCCCCAAAGCATTCACCCGAGGACAAAGTGGTATATTTGTGTACAATGCTGAAAGTTAAATACACTGTCATCAAGTCAGTTAACAGGAACTACTGTCCTGTAAATAAAATTCACAATGTCTTCTGCAAATCTAGCGGTTGGTCTGGCCTATATAAATTTACAAAATTACACAAATATGACCATTTTCTTACAAATAAACCAGATGTCATTTCAGGGCTCGAGCTACTGGGCGATTCGGGCGAAATAGTCGCCGAATTCCGTCTGACTTCGCCGACATCCTACATGAAAGCGAAGATGAAGTCGCCCGATTTTATTGATCCATTATTGAAAATTACCAACAATAACTGTGAATAACATGTTGTGTGTGTTTGCTTTGTTTACCCTCGCCGCCGGAAAAGGGCATCTAGAAAAAGGGACTGTCATGCATCTCAATCAACGCGTATGTCATTAATCCGTTTGTTTACCAACATGTCATAAAAGTCTAATTAACAGACACTCGAGGAACAATTAGACTCCGCCCACGGCGAGATTACCGATACGTGCGAGAAACCAATCGTAATTCATGTTTCAATCGAGGCGACATTATTAAACCAATCATTAAATCGCTAACATACAACTACCAGTAACAATTATTTATGATGGACGGATCAAACGTCAATTAAATTTTCACTATCGAATGATTGTAAGAATTAAGAGGACCGCTAGACATATAACTGGAACGGTAATTTTAAATGAAAGTTATGATAGCCTATTTTGTCGACGAGTTAAATTTGATAAAATTGACGGCGTATTACACTGTATTTATTACAAATGTAGTTAAATTAAAGATCGTTTCTTTCGTTATCTACTTTCATTTTCTTTACAACATAAGTGAATATGAATATAATGTCTGGCACAAGCTTTTTAATAGTAAATCAGAAGGGAATAACTGTTAATCCACCCATGATATGATCCATGATAGGAATCAACTATGGCTTTTTTTCTCTTCATTTAATGCAATGGTTGCATTACATGATACTCATTCTTATTATTACTTGTTTCAAACTACTTTTAAATTAAAATTGAATATTCTGTTGTAACACAAATCCAATTCATTTAATAAGATATGTACAGTGAGTCAACATAATTTCAATAACATACAAAAAACATCGATAAATGAATCTCCTCACTTCTCCCTAAAGTCTCCCCACTTCTCCCTAAAGCAGCTGGAGGGAGAAGTGACTTCTCCCTAAATTTTGAACCTAGCTTGAGCCCTGCATTTTATTTTTTATTAACACATATACTAGTACAGTCTAGTAATACCGAAAAATTCCTTTAATAATAAATATACGAAAAATTCCTTTAATAACAATTGAATATATTGTTTATTTTATTTATCTTCATATGATTATTTTAAGATGAGGGCAAAAGGTCATCTCATCTTGGGGCAAATTGTAATAAGGCAATCATCAGTTAAAGTTTTATAAAATTTCCTTAATGGATTTCTCGATTTTATTTCAGCGCCATAAAATATCCTGGTTCGTCCCAGAACGACACTAAATCAGCTCTACTTTGAATAAGTTCATATTTTATTAATTAATTTTTCAAAAGTTCAAAATCAAAATATCAAAGAGCTATTCAACTTTCTGAACTTTGCCTACGGCTACTGTCTTATTAATATTATTGACAAACCAACAGTTAAAATGATTAAATCCTGTTCTTGAAGATAGATACAGATGACATTTTATTTAACAAACTTTTTAAATGATAATTTTGAAGTGGTGTGAATCGTTACTATTTGGAGCGAATACTCGGAATAGTAACAAAAAGTGGGGCGAGTCGTTATGGGGCGAATCGTCAATGGAACGAATCGTTATCAATAACATGTTCCAGATTTCGCCCGACATTATTTCATGAAAATTTAAAATTACTGATAATTTGCTTATTTAACACATATATGCTTGATTTACAATCATAGATATAATGAAAACAATGTTACTAACAGAATGCACTCGCCAAACATGTTTAACTTTAGGTTTCCACGACGGTTTGGCGACAGTTCTGCTGTACCACCGTAGTGTTATCAGAGGTAAGTTTTGGTGACATTTCAAAACCCCTAGTGGAAACCCCATAGCTAATGAAAGAGAATGTCAGTTTGGGCTACATTTTTATTTAATTTCAAACTTATATAAAATATTACTAAACAACAATGGGCGCAGCCATATTGGGTTTGAAGGTCATATTCGGAATACCTTTAAAATTTCGTAAAGAACGCAAGGAATTCTCATTACTCAAAAAGAATAGGTTAAAAGAGTTGAAAAAATATATTCTTAAATGATGAGGAAACACTGTCGTATTATGCCAACTAAATTCAAAGAAAACTATTTCTTTTTTAATCATTTACAATATAAAGTTAAGATTTTATTTGGGACATAAAATGATTGTATGTCCCAGGTTATAATAGAATGTTGAAGGACCTAAAAGTTTCGTCTATGAAATCATATAGAATTTAAGCCATAACAAAATGGATATAACTCTACACAACTTTTGATTTCATAAAACATTTCATTTAAACATAATATGAAAGACAAAAAGGTTTACCTGGGACTTAAAATGTTATCGTAAATCCCAGAGTTAACAAAAGATAAATATTAAAAAAATAACACGAATTTTTTAAAGACAATCTAAAGATAACATAGTAATATAAACAAGCTAATAAAAAGCTTTATTATTGCTGACAAAAATGTTTATTTGACTTTCAACATAATCTATCAAAGTACTGTCCATTAAAGAACAAATGAAATGTGGAAGAGATTATTATTATATGTATATGATAATATTTATTTGCTAATTCACAGAGAATATCTGATAAATATTCGCATCTTAATTATCTCATATCTTTAATTGTCAAGATAAGCTGAATTGACTTTATTTCCAAAGTTGATTGAGTAACAGCTGATATTGGAAAATGTCAAGGAGAAAATTTTTAATCTGCCCAAAAAGACTGCCCCACTCTTAAATTGAAAGTTACATGTACATGTACCAGTAAATTCCGATAGATATTTACAGAAAACAACTTGGGCCATGTGATTTCGAGTTATTTATCGCTCATGCGAAGTAAAGAATAAAATTGAAAGAATTATAACAAAATTCAAACTGAATTTTAATGGTTGATACATGTAATGTCTCAAACGATTCTCAGTTCATCGTAAAGTTGTCATGATTTTATATAAAAAAGTACACTTTTTATCAATGCAGAATATGGGCTTTGTATAAATTTTTAGAAAGTGTTATACTAAATCTGTATGATAGATCTAGGCTTTGTCAGGGTTTTGTTATAAATAGTGGGATTCAAATGTGCGGCGCTATCTCCGATTTGAAAAAACATTGTCTGCAATAGGATTTATAACAGAAATCTACCTTATTTCATATCATATTTATTATTATTTAGGGAGCCCCGTGCCGACTTCACACCTCTAAATCCGTCCAATGCATTTTCTTCTTTTTGAAATAAATCCTCGGAAGTCAGTTGGTCGTGTGTGGTCATGTGACGGATATTTCAGATTTTAACAATGTTGACATATGAATAAGAATTAAATGCAATGCATCTTCACGTATCTAAATACATGCATGCATGTCACTTCCGATGAATTAATACTGAATAAAAATGAGAGGCACACAGTTATGCGCTTTAATAATTGTCAGAGACTTTAAAAAAAGAATAATATCACAAATAAATGCAACAAATCAATAGCAAAGAAGATCATCTTTATGTTTAGCAGTCCAGTATGAAGCAAAATGGCTTTTAACAGAATGTTTATATAAACAGGGTTTGTTATAAGCTCAAACATTTTCTGGTATACTAGGGTATGTCATAGAGAAATGTCACACATATAATACAATTTTATCACATTTTAGTATCAACTTATATTTAAATATTATTATTATTATTATCTATATTTGTATCACTATATTGAGTTCTTATTTACTGTCCCTTTCAGGTTTTCTAGATTTAATGATAATTCAAAGTACAGACCTTCATCTTCAAGCCATTTGTGTTTTGCAGACACTTCACCCATCTTTTTTTCTGATTTTGAGTGTTGTTTTTTTTTTTTGTTTTTTTTTTTTACACTAATGACAGTGAAACATGTGAGATGTGGTGATTAAAATATTTATTGTTTTAACATAGTTTTGTTATGCTCCCCGAAGGAAGGATGAACATATAATCGCCGCTTTGTCCGTCCGTCCGTCCGCTTTTTTTGTCCGGGATATAACTCTGTAACAACAAGAGGTATCAACATGAAACTTCATAGGTAGATAGATCTCATTGGATAGATGTGCAGTGCACAAAAACCATTACTCTGCCTTGCCTAATTTTGGAGGAATTACCCTTTGTTCAATTTAACACTTTGAACTTTGTCCGGGACATAACTCTAAAATTATAAGAGTTATCAACATGAAACTGCACAGGTTAATAGATCTCATTAGGTAGATGTGCAGTGCACAAGAACCGTAACTCTGCCTTGCCTAATTTTGGAGTAATTATCCTTTGTTTAATTAAGCACTTTAAACTTTGTCCGGGACATAACTCTAAAATTATAAGAGATATCAACATGAAACTTTATAGGTAGATAGATCTCATTAGGTTAAATGTGCAGTGCACAAGAACTGTAACTCTGCATTGCCTAATTTTGAGGTTATTGTCCTTTGTTCATTTCTATTCTTTGAACTTTGTCCGGGACATAACTCTAAAATTATAAGAGATATCAACATGAAAATTTGTAGGTAGATTGATCTCATTAGGAAGATGTGCAATGTACAAGAACCGTAACTCTGCCTTGCCTAATTTTGGAGGAATTACCCTTTGTTTAATTTAGCACTTTGAACTTTGTCCGGGACATAACTCTAAAATTATAAGAGATATAAACATGGCACTTTGTAGGTAGATAGATCTCATTGGGTTAATGTACAGTGCAAAAGAACCATAACTCTGTCTTGCCTAATTTTGGAGAAAATGCCCTTTGTTCAATTTAACACTTTGAACTTTGTGCAGGACATAACTCTGAAACTAGAAGAGATATCAGCATAAAACTTTGTAGGTAGATAGATCTCATTGGGTAGAAGTGCAGTGTAAAAGAACCATAACTGTGTCTTGCCTAATTTTAGGGTTACTGCCCTTTGTCCGTTTTTACCTTTGAACATTGTCCAGGACATAGTTCTGAAAGTATGATAGATATAAACAAGCCACTTTGTAGGTAGGTAGATCTCATTGGGTAGATGTGCAGTGCAGAAGAACTGTAATTCTGACTTGCCTAATTTTGTAGTTATTGCCCTTTGTTTATATTTACATTTTGAACTTTGTCCGAGACATAACTCAGACACTATAAGAGATATGAAGGTAGACAGATTCTGTTTTAGATTTTAGATAGACCTAAAATATTGAATTGAATTGAACTAAAATAGACCTTAAATTTAATAAAAATAAAGGGGGATTTCACTTTTTGTCAATGACTTAAAACTCAGTACTTTAAGTTCTATCATTTTAGTTATCTTATCTTCTTTATTGTTGTTTTGAAATAAGGTGTTTTTCTATTCTTTGATCCATATGTGCAATTATCACATTATTTATTTAGACCGAAAATACCCCCCCCCCCACACACACACACACACACACTAGGATAAAAATATATCACAATATTTTTTTGTATTTTACATGTGATATAAATAATTCTCAGAATTATAAATCACTCTCAAATGAGAGTTAAACATTCTTGAACAATTCATTGGCGTGTTCAAGAAAGGCGACCCTTCTATGCCAAATAACAATCGTCCAATATCCCTACTATGCTATCATGAAAGGGTTTTTGAACGTGTTGTATTCAAACATTTGTATATTTTCTTTTGGGATAACAACTTTCTGTCCACTTTACAGGCGGTTTCACATCATGTGACTCATCTGTCAAGCACCTTACGTCCCTTTATGTTACTTTTTGTAAAGCTGTAGAGGTAGACAGACGTTTCACTATTGAGACGGTTCACACCAAGACGGTTCACACCAAGACGTTTCACTCCAAAATGGGAGTGAAACGTCTTGAAGACGTTTCACTCCCTTTTTATACCAAAATCATTTTGATACTCATGATATACTAAAATAGACCTAAAATATTGAATTGAATTGAACTAAAATAGACCTTAAATTTAATAAAAATAAAGGGGGATTTCACTTTTTGTCAATGACTTAAAACTCAGTACTTTAAGTTCTATCATTTTAGTTATCTTATCTTCTTTATTGTTGTTTTGAAATAAGGTGTTTTTCTATTCTTTGATCCATATGTGCAATTATCACATTATTTATTTAGACCGAAAATACCCCCCCCCCACACACACACACACACACACTAGGATAAAAATATATCACAATATTTTTTTGTATTTTACATGTGATATAAATAATTCTCAGAATTATAAATCACTCTCAAATGAGAGTTAAACATTCTTGAACAATTCATTGGCGTGTTCAAGAAAGGCGACCCTTCTATGCCAAATAACAATCGTCCAATATCCCTACTATGCTATCATGAAAGGGTTTTTGAACGTGTTGTATTCAAACATTTGTAATATTTCTTTTGGGATAACAACTTTCTGTCCACTTTACAGGCGGTTTCACATCATGTGACTCATCTGTCAAGCACCTTACGTCCTTTATGTTACTTTTTTGTAAAGCTGTAGAGGTAGACAGACGTTTCACTATTGAGACGGTTCACACCAAGACGGTTCACACAAGACGTTTTCACTCCAAAATGGGAGTGAAACGTCTTGAAGACGTTTCACTCCCTTTTTATACCAAAATCATTTTGATACTCATGATATACTAAAATAGACCTAAAATATTGAATTGAATTGAACTAAAATAGACCTTAAATTTAATAAAAATAAAGGGGGATTTCACTTTTTGTCAATGACTTAAAACTCAGTACTTTAAGTTCTATCATTTTAGTTATCTTATCTTCTTTATTGTTGTTTTGAAATAAGGTGTTTTTCTATTCTTTGATCCATATGTGCAATTATCACATTATTTCACTTAAATATAAAATATTTTTGATTAAAATAACACTTTAATATAACTAACTATTTGGTCTTTTGTAAACATGGACTCACTGGTAGTGATTTCAATATTTAAACTGATACTTATAATATATCTTTGATGTTCTTTATATGTTATTCTATTTTTTTAAATTTACTATAAATAAAAA